TTTTAATTCATTGACTTCACAGAAAATTAAAAGGCATTAAAATAAGCTGCAACGCTTATTATTTTAATCCAATTGTGCTTATTTTAATCCATTTTGGTATTAAAATAAGCAAACTTGGATTAAAATAATAAGCGTTGCAGCTTATTTTAATGCCTTTTAATTTTCTGTGTTAGTTTTCACTGTTAGTTTTTTCAAAAATGTATCTGAAATAGTTTTTCCTTAGTTGTGAACAAAAAAATCTTTATTTTCGAGTGGAAGTTTATACTGATTGAAAAAGTATACATTCGAATCCCTACAGTTAATACACTATTATTATGTTGACAGTCCTATATAAACATTCCCTTGTCTATTTTCTTGTTTTTTTGTCGACAATAATGTCGACTTTATCCTTTAATTATATTAGAGTGTCATTCATTTAAAATTATTACTTACTATTAACTGCCGAAATTACTCTCTAAATCTGAATTAAGAGTATTGGCGCGTTTGCCTTAAATTTCAATTTTGATAAAAATGTTTAATTAAGTTTAATTTAATTGACAAATAAGAACAGAATTACCACCCCAGGTGGAAAAGTTCCCGATAGTGACTACCGGTAGCAACTACTGGTAGTAACTATCGGTACCGCTACCTGTACAGTCACTACCGGCAGCGAATACCAGTACTCTTTCCGGGAATCGCAACCAAAATTTGTTGTAATTCCCGGAAAAATTACCGGTAGTGACTGTACAGGTATCGGTACCGGTAGTTACTACAAGAAACTTTTCCACCTGGGCAGAAATAAATTTTTCAATTTTTCTGACAAAAAAATTTGAATTATAGTCGACATTATAGTATATCCAATAATTAGAAGTTAGAAAAACCTATTTTCATATTATATTTCACATTTTTCACTATAGAGACAAAAATTATAAAAAATTTTTACGCATACACAAAGTATATTGACATTTCTGTAAATTTTTTTCATTTTCCCAAATTTCCCTGACTTGTGTCTACCCTGAAGAATTATGTGAAATAAATTTTTTATTAAATGTGCTTTATTTTGGAAATATTGAAGCTATTGAATTAATAAATAATAGTCAAAATGTTTAATATTATGTTTGTTGCACTGTAACTATTAACCCAGTAAATTACGGGGTGGTATTATTTTAATACCAAAATGGATTAAAGTAAGATGCATCTTTTATGGCATTAATTTAACCCACACAGCACCGAAAGTTTCCTAAACCTGTATTAAAGCTGTGCGTGCCAAGTTGGAAAAATTTACCGTAAAGCTTAGCACAGGTTGTGTAAATATGTAAATGTCCGCAATTGAGTAAATGTTTAGCGTAAAACTGTACTGAATCTTTAAATTACGTATTTAGTACAGGTTTAGCGTAAAACTGTACTGAATCTTTAAATTACATATTTAGTACAGGTTTAGCGCAAAACTGTACTGAATCTTTAAATTACATATTTGGTACAGGTTTAGCGTAAAAGTTGCCTGAACATTTAAAATAAATCTTTTGTAAAGTTTTATCATAAAATTTGCTTAAAAATTAAAATTAAATCTTTATTACAGTTTTAGTGTAGAAATTGTCTATAAATTTAAATTAAAGCTTTATTAAATATTTAGTGCGAAATTAAACTACAAAAAGTGTTAATTACATTTTCATTAAAGTTTTTTGTAGAAATAATGTTTTTTTCAATAAAAAAATTATACTGAGCGGAAAATATTAACTGCAAATGATGCTATCAATTCATATAAATAAAAAAATAACTAGTATAGTGGGAAATGGTATAATAAAAAAAAGGTTTAAATACAATGAACACAAAAATATTTATTAATAAATTAATTAATGGTAGTGATATGGTGAATCCTTAAAATCTCCTGAACATCTGAAAAAAATGCACTCATAAAAAGAAGTTTTTATAAATTAGAATTTTTTGTTTCAAAATTGTATACTTTTTATGTTCTTTTTTAAATAAAAATTTCATTAATTTCAATAAATTAAAATTATTTAATTTAAATTAAATTATTTTTACCTTTTTTCTGCAATCCACTTAGGATTGGCAGCTTTTTGCTAAGTAATTTTACCATTATGCATCAGACACTAAAACTGTAATAAAGATTTAATTTTAATTTTTAAGCAAATTTTATGATAAAACTTTACAAAAGATTTATTTTAAATGTTCAGGCAACTTTTACGCTAAACCTATACCAAATATGTAATTTAAAGATTCAGTACAGTTTTACGCTAAACCTGTACCAAATATGTAATTTAAAGATTCAGTACAGTTTTACGCTAAACATTTACTCAATTGCGGACATTTACATATTTACACAACCTGTGCTAAGCTTTACGGTAAATTTTTCCAACTTGGCACGCACAGCTTTAATACAGGTTTAGGAAACTTTCGGTGCTGTGTGGGAATCTACAATACCTCATAGTTTACTGTGAATATAAATAAATAAATAAATAATAGATGTAGACCACTTAGAAACTTTGAGATCAGTAGAATATAATAGTTAAAAAAATGTAAGAAATTTCTGATATTTATGAATGAAGCATAATTGCCCTTGTTGAAATTATTTGTAGGAAATTTGTGATTATAATTTCTCACGATCACAATGTGACTCTTGTATATAGTGCGGTTTCACGTCCTTTTTTCGCAACCAGAAACTCGATCTCTTTGAGAAGAACCCGTCGGATGTTTGTGTATTTCTGCTTCTGTCCCCTTGTAAAACATGTGTGCATGGCATGCTAATTTCTTATATATATATATATCTATTTTTATATTTCATAATGAAACTCATTTAATAAATGTTAAATAATAATATGTTACTTTTCATGCTTGAAAAATTTTCTATTAGATTTAAACAAATAAAAATTGATTTAAAAATATTTTGCTTCTAAAAAAAATTATTGTCAATTTAAGACAAAAACATATTTTATTAAACAAAATTTTATCTTCTATTATACTTATTAAAAAAATATTAATTTGTTTATACTCTATGCAAATATTTTCATAATAACATTTTAAATTCACTAAATCAAACCAATCTATTCGAATATTTTTTTAAAATTTTAAAAGTGTACTCAATAAAAGAGCAAGTGTAGAGAAAATGACCTACAGTTTTTGTTCAAGGGATAAGAGGAATGTCGTGTGGGAACTTGATCTTCTGAATCGTCGCACATTGAGGCCATTCAAGGAAGACAACTAGAATTTCATCGCCAAGTTTCAAATATTTTGCGATATTAATATTACAAATGCAAATAATAATAACAATATATTTTTTTGTTATAAAAATTGGTTAATTATTATTGGAATTTTCAATTAGGAGGGTGTATTTTGCATTAATAAAAAGTAATATTTACAAGAAATTCGTAAAATGTATTTTGGGTCAATACATTTTTTGATTAAAATAGATGAAATTTTATAAAGTCAACATTTCAGTAATATATTGCTTTCTGAACTTTATGATAAACGTACAATTAATATGCATGTGGGTTTGATATGTCTATCAGAAGAAGTAATATTAATAAATAAAATTCCAATTCACTTGAAAACAAAATATATCTGTGACAAGTTCGACACTGAGTTTTATATTTCGTTCCGCTACTGATCACAGGACCTGTCTCATTCTGTCTCTGTCCCCTCTCTGTCTTTCTCTCTCTATTTTACTCGTAACATCCGGCGCGACGGCCCATAGTTCCGGTTTTCTTGTCTTGTGATAGGTTTGTTATCTGACATTGCTGAATATAATAGTAAAGTCTATTTAATAAATTCGAACCTATAAAAAATGTGTTAATATAAATATATAGAAAACATTTCAAAGGTTTATGAAAAATCACAAAAAACAAAATTAAAAAAAATATCAAATGTTTTATTGATGCTGTTTTTCTTTTAATATTTTTATCTTTTGGTAAATTTCTCTTTGAGTAACATCTGGTTTGAGGCTGAAAGAACTGTAATGCTAGGGTGAACAATGACGCTTGTAACACTTAGCATTCTTCCCGTATACCATTATAGACTGTGAAGTTTCTTTATGGAGTTTGAATAATGATACCTTATGAGCGCCACATATAATACACAGGACGAGTAGGTGGAGTCTGAAGGACCCCATGTGGTCGAATCGCAACCAATTTTAGTACATACAGTAAAGAGAACCAAGAATTTCAATATTTCGTATAACTGCGAATGAAATTTTAATTATTTAAGTCACGATACTTTTTTCGACTCATTTTTCTTCTCTTCCGCAAAATTAATAGTTCCACTCGATAATTTTTTTAAAATGTATAAGTTGATGTTATTTAAACTTTCATTGAGCCCTTGAAGGACGAATTAATTAAAACACATATTTAAAATTTTCTTCTCAAAATATTTTCGTAAAAATTCAATAAATCTGGTAATATAAAGAGTAACTTGAAAATTTCTGTAATGCCAAAGGTTATTGGTTTATATGTATTCTTAAGAGATATAAAGCGAATTCTTATTCGTGTAACCGACACAGTTTTATTTTAAGTAGGAAATAGTCTCTTGTATATTTTATATAATGAAAAGAAGCTCTGTTTCATATTAGAGTTCTTTGACTTATAATATTGTATAATGATCAACATCATGATAGTCTTCTCAGAAACTCGTAAAATGCTTGGAATCATGCACCTGTGATTGTCAAGGTAGCACAGATATCACCAAAGTTTTTATTTAACAAGCAAAAGTTAAGAAATTTTTGGTGTTTAAAAGTTAGCTTTTTAAAATTATTTAATTTTCCAAAAAACAATAACTCCTTTATATTTGATCAAAAAAGATTCGCAAATTCGTTGTATAAAACAACAGGTTAAAATATTCGTCTTAAAAAACTGTAGAAAATGAAAGAAATGAAAAACGCAAAATAAAAATGGTTTAAAATAACCTCATTTTTCATGTCCCCCTGTGAGGCCTACAGCTACAATTCAAAAAGAAATGAAAATCTCTTGCTCTTGAGGTCAAATAACATCGAAATATGTGAAAAAACTAACCTGCTGTGGTGCAGAGTCGACTGGTGAAAAACTTGAAAGCGCCGTAAGGGGCACGAGGGATGCACACGAAGATGCTCTTGATGGTGGTGGAGTAATACCAGGGGTTGGACTTCCGCTTCCGCAACTGCTAGCACCCCCGCTAGACGCAAGGCTAACACTGTCTGCTCGTCCTCGCCAAGGTGAAACAGATACGTGCTTCAGCATTCTCTTTTACTGGTGCCTGTGGCAAATAATTTCATATTTTCCCTTCAAATCATATTCAATAATAATAATCTATTCAAGTTTTTTAAACGGTTATTATTGGTTTTTTAGTTGGTGACACTAAAATATTTTTGGACATGAACTTGTCGCACTCCATGGAAACATATGAGTGCGAGTGAGACACACTTATGCATAATGCATTTCATATGACTGACATATGATTAATATGTATGTAGTAGATTTATGCTAACAAGTGATACTCACATATTTTTTTTATATCGGCCCAATATGATATTTAGGGGTTTAAACTACCCTTTGAAATATCTACATCACCTAAGAGCAATCAAATTCTTAATCAAACTAGTTGACCAATTACAGTAAAATACAGTGGTTTTTTGGGTCGCTGAATATAAATACATATGTATATTCACAAACATATATTTTTACTGTAATTGGTCAATTAGTTTGATTAAGAATTTGTTTCAAAAAAATCGGCGATTATCACTTGGGTAGTGTAACTTGTAAGTATAAGAATTATGTCAATCGAAATTTATGACATTAAGTATACATATATTTAAAAACATATTTACAACTTATTGCTTCCTCAATGTGAAAATGTTTATAATAATTGTAATTATTTCTTATGAAAAAATGTAAACATATTATTTAAACAATTGCAATCTCAATAAAGAGAAAAAAGGTACAGCTTACCCTTACAAAAAAGCTTCACTTCCAGGATTACGGATTTAAATGCACAAGATTCATATTTTACTTTTTTGAAAAGACAACATTAAATTCCTTTTATATTATTCTATTTATTTTTTAAAAGATGAACTGACACTGTAACTATTAAAGAATCACTAATCACTATTCGATCGATTCATCTTAAAGGTTCAATTTGCGAATTGTATAGAATCGAAATATTCACAAAACAACTTTGTCTCGTATCCGCGACATCATGTGAATTAAAAAATTATTCAAAACTCATTCTGCTGCGTTATTAAAAGTAATCATTTTGTTTATAAACAATTTAATTGCTTTTCATTTTTTGTGAAAAGAATCGTACAATTTCTTTCTATTTAAAAAACTATTACATTGTTGAAGACACAAAAGATTTGCAATTATAATTTCCAATTGAACCGACACAACTCACAGAACATTCACAAACTTCAACTGCAGACCAAAGCCGACTATCGACTGCCGTGATCTACAACCGAGAAAATACATAATATACTATACTGTACTTTACACTGAACCAAACTATACCTATAAAGGAGGGGACAGCAAAGGAGCTCAACCGAGGCAAAGAGATTTTTTAAAATATCCTCCCTATTTTTTCTTAATATATTATAATTTGTGCTTAAATATTAGTTTTAATTTATGCATTAAATCTAAAATTTTAGCACAATAGATTATATAACAGTAAACTATGGGGTATTAAAAATCATCGTATATTAAAGTAATACCATAAAAGATTAAACTAATACCCCACAATATACTGTGATTGTATAAACTCAGAAAAAATTTTGTTTAAAATAACCAAAAAATTGTAATATAAATACATATAATTAAATTGTTACTACACTGAAAAAAATAAAATTAGAAAACGTTGTTAGCACTGCAATTCATTTCCATGACTTTTTTGAGGAAACCTGTACAAAACTTTCTGTTTTCTATATAATCAACCATCACTGAGTTATATGTTATATACCTATACTCAAAGTTAAGAAGTTTTGGACTCAGTCCTGAACCGAACAAGATTGAACTACAAAACGTCGTCAGGAAATGAATTGCTTTACGAACTGGACTCATTAGAGTTAATGGTACTATTAGTATTAAATATAATTCTTGAATTTTCCATTTTTCTCCGTGTAATATATTAATACTTACAAATTGATTGATTATAAAGATTCGTTAATTTTCCTCATGCAATTACAAATTTTACGCGGAAGTCTTCATATCAAGTGAATGAGAGGTGCGCATGAGCCCATACAGTATTGTATTTCAATTTCCCACAGAACTCGTCATTCATGTTGTGTTATTTGTAATATCCGTGTAAAAAACTTTCTTTTAATCCGAAGTGTGATAATAAATTTTTTAATTTATTTTCAAGAGTAATCAGGACATAATAGAATATTCTCAATATGAGAAGATTTCTCCCAATTTAATATTGAATACTCCAACGTCAGTTCCGACTTCAGGACTCACATTGGAAACAACAATGTAAATTATGTATTACTAACATGCTTTGTAGGGTGCTTATTATCCTATTATTGCAGTGTAAAAAACAAAACGCTTCTGATGAGTAATTAAATATTACCGTGTCAAATTTTGCTAAAATAGTACTTTTATTTAATAGTCATATACATATATAATTATTGGTTAAGAAACATCAATTCCCTTAAAATTAGGATTTAACATTTTTTCACAAGAATTAAAATGGTTAACTCTGCGATGTGACAATATTTCAGGAAGGTTCACTTAAACTTACAAGGGAAGGTTAAGAAATTCTAAAAAGCTTGGAATAGATGTAGTTTTATATGACAGTATTGAAAAATATGGCATTGTGGTAATCCGCTTCTTCGTTTTAGAATTAAGAAACAAGAAAGGTCTAAAGGTTGTTCGTGAACATTCTAGGGCGAGCGGAAGTCTCTTCTTAAGACAGATAAGGAAACGAAGTAAATAAGAGCAGGAAAAGAACAATTACGAATTTTTATTTAATTTTTATCAACGGAATAATTTTTATAGTGTCTTATTCAATTCTAACTTTTTTGTTGAAACATTCCTAAGCATGCGATTCAGTTTTTTTTTCTTTTTATATATTAATTTGTAATCGAAAAAGAGAATGAATCAATTTAAAATTAATTTTAGAGGAAATTCTTATTATATTTATGACAGAAGAGTTTCTATACATAAGATTGTCAGTTTTAAGCAAAAATATATTTTAACCTTTAAATTGATATGTAGGGGAGACCGGGGCTGAAAGTGCCGGGGGTAAGTTGTGCCGATAGGAATATCTCAAAAACAAAAATTTTTTTTTCAAAAGTGGAAGTGAGAGAAGTATTGTTTTACTTATGCGCATCTTTGGCAACTATTTTGATTTTGTTTGCTTCACGGAATAATTAGATGTTAGTAACTTGGTGCTTTGGCGTCATTTACGTGCAAGTTTTCATCTTTACACATTTTGGTCTATTTTTTGCATTTTTAAAGATACGATACGTATTTTTTTTAAAAATGATCCAAATTTATCGAGTGATTCAATGGTGTATTGATCTTAACACTTAATTTATCGCTTGGGGCTGGTTGTGCCGCTATCAATCGCTACGTAACCATATTCTACTATTGCCTCGTTTTTTCGAATTGTTATTCCAACCCGAAATCAAGAGAAAAGTTGATTCAATGCATAGTTGGTAAAAACTGGGTACATTTAAAATGTGTGAAGGGTAAAGAAAGGGTCAATTGTAATTTCAATAAATCGCATTCGGAATAAGTAGGGTAACTGCACCAGTGGTGGATCAGTTAAGCCCCTTAACTTTCTTATTTTGACTTTGAAGTTCTGTATAGGTTGCTTTTAGACAAATTCGAGGTTATTCTTCATAGTATTATGGACCAGATAGTTCCAATAGACATTTCCTTCAAGGTTGGACTTGATTTTGACAACTACGTTTACTTTAATGCTCCATCAAAGATAATTTGTCAATGATCCTATTCTGGATCACTGTTTGCACCAGTCATGGTTATAGATTGCTCCAGTGGTGGATCACTTAAAAAATCATACTAAAAAACATTGCATTTTAAAATTACGAGACTGAGACGTTTTGCAACTTTTATAAGGCTTTACGGATAGATTTTCAAATTCACTTTCCTATCCATATCCCCTCCTCTTTCATTTCTATAGGTATAATGTGACTAAATATTAATTAATCATCTTTTTATTAGAATTTTTGGTAATAAATAAATAGAAACTCTTAAAGCTTCAGTTTCAATGATAAATAACATTTATTAATTCTGGGTATTTTAATTCAACAAAAATTTAACAATTTGAAATCAGGGGGTCGATTACGTAACTTTCCCACTTCCCATTTCCCACATCTCACTTCCCACATTTTACATCCCACATCCCACATCTCACTTCCTACATTTTACATCCCACTTCTCAATTCCCACATCCCATTTCCCACATCTCACTTCCCACATTTTACATCCCACTTCCCACATTTTACATACCACTTCCCACATCCAACATCTTGTGGGAAATGGGAGAGATGTGAAAAGTGGGATATAAAAGGTGGGAAGCGTGATAAGAAAAGTGTAATGTACAATGTGAAATGTAAAATGTAGGAAGTGAGATGTGGGATTTGGGATGTAAAATGTGGGAAGTGAGATGTGGAATGTGAAATATGGGAAGTGGGATGTGGGAAGTAGGATGTGGTATGTGAAATATGGGAAGTGGGAAGTGGATATGAAATATGGGAAGTAAGAAGTGAGATGTGAAATATGGGAAGTGGGATATGAAATATGGGAAGTGAGAAGTGAGATGTGAAATATGGGATGTGGGATGTGGGATGTAAAATGTGGGAAGTGGGATGTAAAATGTAGGAAGTGAGATGTGGGATTTGGGATGTAAAATGTGGGAAGTGAGATGTGGAATGTGAAATATGGGAAGTGGGATGTGGGAAGTGGATATGAAATATGGGAAGTAAGAAGTGAGATGTGAAATATGGGAAGTGGGATATGAAATATGGGAAGTGAGATGTGAAATATGGGATGTGGGATGTGGGATGTAAAATGTGGGAAGTGGGATGTAAAATGTAGGAAGTGAGATGTGGGATTTGGGATGTAAAATGTGGGAAGTGAGATGTGGAATGTGAAATATGGGAAGTGGGATGTGGGAAGTGGATATGAAATATGGGAAGTAAGAAGTGAGATGTGAAATATGGGAAGTGGGATATGAAATATGGGAAGTGAGATGTGAAATATGGGATGTGGGATGTGGGATGTAAAATGTGGGAAGTGGGATGTAAAATGTAGGAAGTGAGATGTGGGATGTAAAATGTGGGAAGTGAGATGTGGGATGTGGGATGTGGGAAAGTTACGTAATCGACCCCCAGGTGTAAACAATTAATAAACATTTGAATTAGTGTTAACTAAAATTTAACTTATAAAATTTTCAATAAAACAATGCGTCAACAGGCGAAAAGTAGGACTGATCCACCACTAGATTTTGTTACTTTTTTGGTTCCAGTCGTGGATCACCCGAAAACAATGGACACGCGCTACTTACAGACGTAAATATTGTTCTCAGGGCTCTATGGGGATGAAACGAAATGCCTCCTATTGTGAAAAGAATTAAAAATTGTCCTAAAATGGCTCCAAAGCTTTCTATTCCAAAATATACTCTTAACTTACATGTTAAGGAAAACTCTTGTTTTCTGTCACCACTTTAGTAATTGTTGTCCTGCTTTCTTCGCGATGAATTTAAAATTTTTTTTAAATTGTAATATTGATCTGTATAACTTTCTTAACAATTACCGACACTTGCGGTTCATTTACTTACAAACGTGTAAACACAAATGACCATTTTTCTCGCAGTTGATCCACCACTGGTGCATGATCCACCACTGGTGCAGTTACCCTATTCACGTTTTAAAAATATTTATTAATCAGAAAGTAGAGTTTTACCAATTAATTAACGATACAAATAATTATTTCAAAAAATATTTTAAAAGACTGACTAATTATGTAATTGTAAAATTTAAGTCAAAAATGTTTATTTTTTTAGAAAAATCTATAAATTTTATGATTGTTGGAAAAATCATTTGAATGTTTATAATAAAAATAATTATTACGAAAACTATATTTTAAGTGACTGACTATCTATGCAATTATAGAATATAAGTCAAAAAATGTTTATTTCTACTTACTAAAATCTAGAAATCTTAAGATTGTTCCTAAAAACCTTTAAAAGTTTATAACAAATGATTAATAAATAATAGTAAATCATATATTGGCAATAATTATTTTATTTCTTACGCACTTTCAGCCCCGGTCTCCCCTATGTACAAAAAATTATATACAATATTAAACTCTGAGGACATTAAAACTTCTGGGAAGTTAACAGTGTTAACTTAAGGCCGTTAACTTCCTATAAACTTCGGTCCTGTCTGGATTGGCGTCTGGGCACTAACAATAAATTGAAATAAAAAGACCTCAGGCGCAAAGCCAGTATAGTGCCAAACACAACTTAACTTAAAATAAAAAGACCTATGCCGGCACCTAACAGTTTTTTTTTTATAAAATTTATTGTTCTTTAAAAAAAGTAGTAAATGAAAAATGTTTAGATTCGCTATACCTGCGTTTATAACATATCACTATACACTTTTCTTCGATTTACAGAGGTAAAGAAGAAACCAAAAATTTTGAGTTCTTGAAATTTAAACAATGTGATTCGTGTTACAAACTTAAGTGAATATTTTCCATTCCTGATATGTTTTCATTCTTATTTAAAAAAATATATTTTTCATGATCATATACAATACAGTTGAAATATGTCTTTCCTTTATTCAGGATCTGGCCTTTAATTACAAGACTGCTCTCTGTAGAAAAAAGCATACTAAGAATCTAATTTCTGTGGCTTGAAACTAAAAAAAGGAATGACATATCGGAATGGAACAATGCATCAGATGCGTTTTTTGTTGTTTTCACCATGACCAGGGTGTACAGCAAGAAGAAAAAAAATCCCCTAACTTTTCCTAACTTTCTTCCAACTTTTCCTTAATAAATATTTAATATTAAAAAAATGAAAAGCATCAAATATTAAATTATATGTGGGCACCGAAAAATAAAAAAATTCATAAAAATGTTCCTTTTCGGCAAAATTTGAAAAAGTTTCCTGACATTCCCTGACCGCTGGACATCCTAAATGACATACTTTTCATACAAATTTGGTAATTTTTTTTAAAGAAATCATTCATTTGAAATTGTTATTCATTTTAGTATTAGTGTACCACTGATTTCAATACATATATATGGTGATGAATCAGTAAAATTTAACTGATTCATCATCGTATATGCTTATTGGAATAAGTGGAAAACTTATTGCTGAGAATCAGTAAAATTCCAATGATTCAGATTTAAATTTTTACAACAACCAAGTTTTGTTTACAAATTAAACTATGTAGTCAATATGCAAATATAGGGTAAAAGTACCAGTGGTGGATCAGAAGCAAAAAAAAGACTCCATTGTGCTAATTTTAAAATTTGTTGTCTTCCTATGTTTTAAGGAATCCCTTTAAACATATAGTAAGTAAAATAAAAATAGCACATTTAACCCTTTTATCACTCCTGATTCCCCTTGTGGTGCTTTTACTCTACTTGACAAAAACACAAATTAAAGCCACCCACCGAATTAATGACAAATACATGTAAAAATAATGTTTGGTATCTATTAGTATAAATGTGAAAATAAATTAAGAAACATTAACAAAAGACGTAACGCATATTTTCAATTTTCCACATTTTTATGTCATGCCACGTTCGGTAAACCCCTTTCCTCTCTGTCATAGAGCGTGACGTCATTTGTTAATGTTTCCTTAATCATAAAATAAAGTTGACTCATTTTCTATAACAAAAGTAACAATTAAAATACTGTCTTATTAACAAATTTAACACGAATTTATTATTGAAATATTTAACATAATATGATTTTGTTGAATTAATTTTACATTCGTTATTTATTATATTGTTGATTAATTTTTATGAGGCCTGTACCGTTTAAAGACCTCGTAAAAATTAAGGGAATCCATAATATGATTTTGTTTATTATCTATCAGCATTAAAGTTGAATACTACTTTAAATTGGAGAAATAAGCAACAAATAGATTATACTTACAATTTTAATTAAATGTTCCATTGTGAAAACATATCAGGTAGTTGTTATGATTTATTTAACTACTCAACAATTCTGCAGAACATAACCTCAGTTATACTTCGTTGAGTAAAGCTGCTTCTACAACAACTTTTTTTCATCTACATAAGGCTGACTGAGCCTTAAGGCGCTTGTATACCTCACTACGGAAGCTCTACGCGCTACCACAAAACCAAGTTTATGCTCGATTCATTTTAGCCTCGAAAACTAAAGAACCGTTTGTGATTTCCACGTGATTTCGCTGTTTCCATGTTTTTGACGTGAAAAACCGCGAGGTGGTTCGGGTGTTCGGTCGTTCGCACGTTCGCAGATTCGACAATTTGTCCAAAATCGTGTAACATTGTCTTTTTAGTTATATTTATAGATAAAAGTAAATAAGTTGATATTTCAATTCTTAAATTTTATGTAAGATTTTATGATGTCCGCAATTAAATAAAGTTTTTGCTTTTATTTTGAGTAGAAAATATTGGTATTTTGAGGTGGATTGGTGTTTTTCTTTGTTATCTATGTAATAATAAATATAAATAAATAATCGATTTATTTTAATATAAGGTTATGTAGTATGTATGCACGTGAGATTTTACATAATAATTGTCCTTCCTTTTCACATGTTTATCTTATATTATTTACAATAATATATAATGCTCAGAGAGAAGCAATTATTTAATAGGATGTTTATAATCCTGTGTAATTTCGTGCGGGGTTTTTTTATTTCTATGTAAAGTCATCCCACCAAGAAATTGCTTTTTGACAGCTTTAGAATTTGATAAGCATGATAAACAACGCTTCCAAATAAACAAAGTTTTATGAAGAGGGATCAGTCCAAATTATTTTGAAACATGTTTTTTAATACTTAATATAATATTGAATGTAACTAACAAATTTTTGATTTTCAACAATCACTGACACATAAATTTATGTACAAATTTTTTACAAAAATGAATGTCTGACTGAATGTCTGTCTGAATTGCTAAAGTCTTTTTTATGAATTTCAGCCAATTTATAAATTTTTTTTATTATATATAGTACATGATATATTTCGTTTTGTAAATTAAAAAAAGACGCATGTACATCTTACTTGAAAATGAGATTCTTTTAAATTTATAAAATTTACGAATAATGCGAGATTTCATTACAAATAAAAGAAAAAGAAAATTGTAACTCTTAAGAGAAGTTACTTAACAAAAGAATTAGAATTATTACGACATATAATTACATGTGAATACTTTTTTAGACATTTTATTTCTAAATTAATACAATAAATAACTATCAATTCCAAAAAAAATTATTTTATATGATATGACCAATCCACCTCAAAATAACGATATTTTCTACTCAAAATAAAAGCAAAAACTTTATTTAATTGCGGACATCATAAAATCTTACATAAAATTTAAGAATTGAAATATCAACTTATTTACTTTTATCTATAAATATAACTAAAAAGACAATGTTACACGATTTTGGACAAATTGTCGAATCTGCGAACGTGCGAACGACCGAACACCCGAACCACCTCGCGGTTTTTCACGTCAAAAACATGGAAACAGCGAAATCACAAACGGTTCTTTAGTTTTCGAGGCTAAAATGAATCGAGCATAAACTTGGTTTTTTGGTGGCGCGTAGAAGCTTCCGTACCTCACCGATCCCGAGTATTCTATCGTCGTGCAGCATTGGAGTAAAAGATACAAAAGATAATTGTGTCTCTTTTACTCCAATGGTACGCGACGGAAGTCGTGATCGGGATCGGTGAGGTATACAAGCGCCTTTATGCTGATTCTACACTCACCGAAAACTGAGCGAGCGGTCCGCTTTTCCGTAACGCTTCCCATATTCAACTATATCTATATATATAAAAAACGTAACGCAAATGCGGACCGCTCGCACAGTTTTAGGTGAGTGTAGAATCAGCATTATGCATCTCGTTCTTGAAACGACTTTGGCGAATCTATTGGGATCTGAAATACTGCGATACGCCATCTGGTGAGAGCCTTGTTGTGGTGGCCATGTTTTCATTCCGTGTTTCTCTAACATATACAAAAGAAAGAGATAAAAAACCAAGATGGTTGTCACAAGAAGGCTCAGGGGTGGGTCAGTTTCGCGTGATTTCTGATCCCAATTATGCGTTGGTCTTAAGGGCCACAGCTCAGCTACTTATTGCGCTCTCACACTTTTTTAGCTGCCTGCAGGTTACCATGGTAACGCATAAGAATGAATGCGACAGAAAATTTAAATATTCAAATTTTCTGTCTCACTCACACCCGTGCGTTGCCATGGTAACCTGCAGGCAGCCAAAAAAGGGTGAGTGCGCCATTCAAGAAGACTAGAACCAGGAGAGACAACTACATTCAAAGCGTACAATGATGAAAGGAACACAGTTTGGGGGACACGGTACGAGTAACTTTAACTTAGGTTAGAGTGCGAAAGACGAATTTGGGTGTTCTGCGCATTCTAACACATATGTAATGTAAATACGTTATATACAGCACGTTGAATCGTTATTCGTAGTTAAAAAAATAATTATTGACAAAATATTTTAGAAAAAAATAATTATTTTCGAAAGGAGTAATTCTGGCTCTTCTAAAATTGTTGGAAATTAATATTTATTATATATTTGTTTGCGTTAAAAACAATTTTTTAATTTTGACAGGTTTTTGAGGTTATGTTTACCCTCCACCCTCCTTAACCTAAAATTGTCTACTTGGAGAATTTAGATGATAATATATGCAAAAGCACATTTAAAATACAATTATTTAATAAAATCTATCAAGAATATGAATATTTTCGATTAAGTATATCAGATAATTTTACATTTGATGTCATTTCTTTTTTTAAAACACGGTAATAACAATAAAATAATTATACTGGGTTTGTAATCAAAACAAATAAGCATCGTCAAAGCTTCCGTCGTGAGATACGGATACGGAGCACGCACGAGTGGGTCGATTCAATCGTGCCTCGTGACGCGAGTGAGTGCTTAGTGGTGGCGCATAGAAGCTTTCGTAAGCTGAGCTATGTGGACATACCCGTATCTTTGTATTGTAAACACGACTTTAAGTTATAGTTAGAAAAAGACGAAATACTCAAAACGAAAACGGTCATCGCGCGAATCTATTGTGCGTTAGCCTAATTAGTCTACATAATGAAGTGTGACCTTACCCTAATACAGTCGATAATAAATAATAAATTTACATATTCAGAATTCATATTAACGTTATAACATTTATAATGTTATTGTAGTTATAGTAAATAATTTTATCCGTAAGATATATATATATATATATATATATACATATATATGTAAATTTTAAATTTAGAAATTTTAACAAACATATCACCTATTGTATATTCAAAAGAAAAATGTCTGAGGACAGTTTAGACAAATTAAAGGACAATATATTAACGGATAAATGTACTAAAACAGATCGTAGCAATTATTTTAATCAATTAGAAGCATGGCTACAAGAAGTATATTCATGGCAAAGTGTCATAGCCATATTTCCTCATTGTTTGGCATCTATTCAAGTATTAAATAACACTCCAGGTATGACGTGTTAATTGAATTGAATAAAAATTGCAATTTTTAATATTAAAAGATCTAAGAGAGTTTTTTATTTATCATTTAAACATACTTGCGTTTTTTCTATAATCATATTTTCAGTCTGTTGTGAAAGAAATAAATTTATCTTAAATGTCTAAAACGGAAAAAATTTCTCCAAGTACCTAACTAGCCAGTTAACTGGTCAACAAAAGTAATACAAATTACTTGGCAAGTCCAATGCCCACTATATTGAGGAACCTTTCCCAAAGCTTTCAGTAATATTCGAATTCCTGTCTCATTTGGAAACAGAATTTCTTTTAAAGATTCTCTAAATATTTATTTAAAATTTTTGATTTTCTTCTAAAATATTTATTTTACAATATATTATTTTTTATTCTATACATTTACTTAATCTTGGTTTTTATTTCCTGCATATTACTAAATTTTTAACTTCTTACATACAAAAATAAAACGTGGAAAATTTAGAACAACTTATAATCATTTTTAATTTTATGATATGTGTACAAATTGCGAAAAAATTATACAGATCTGGAAGGAATTTTACAACATCGTTACATAGGATTTTTTCAACTTATTCCAAATAAAATGAAAGTTATTTTTTCTATTTTCTCATAAATATAAGAATTTTGTTTTGCTTTCTATGGATGTTTAAAACAATTTCTCGAAAATATCCCACTAAAATCTTCTCTTTTATTTATTAAGTAAATAATCAAATTTTACATGAGATTGAAATGATCAGATTCCATATTAATTATTATCCCTTCGAGAAGCAGAAAAAGTAAATTTACAAAATTTATCTTATGAAGTAAAAGTGGAAAATAATTAAATGTGATTTATAAAACTAACAGAATTTTTTCTTGTGTTTTTTTGACTTCAGATTCATATACATAGATCTTCTCTTTTTATATTTTATATAATTCATAATTATAAATTGTAGGTATTTCTGTTACATCAGTTTTTTCTCAATCAAATCAACAAAATAATGAATCATTGCGAGAAAGAAGGCGAAATGTACAAACTGAACCTTTTCATCCTTTAAATGTTGAAGGTAAAATAATTTAATTATATATTTAGCATAAAATCAGAAATCTTTTTAACGTATCTATAAAGAATACCTTTTTTCATTTATATTTGTCTTAAAACTTTTTACTTAAAAATCAAGCATTCATAATTATATTTTGAAATACTTTTTCATAAATTTAAAAATTAGTTATTAATTTGTGCATTTTAAGATAGTAATAATAGTTCTGCCAAAGAAATATTTACTTTACATAGATTCTTTTGTTCCTCATAGGACAGTGTAACCACTTAACACATTGCAATTAATTTGAAATATTTTACAGGTTTTGAATACCGAATACCCCCTATTTGGAAAAGATTTGTCGCAGAATCTATTGATTCTATTATGTTATTTTTATTAAAGTTAGCTATTACTTTTATTGCAGTCGATGTTTTCGATTTCATGTAAGTTATTATGAATTTACAAGATAATGTAAGGAATAGAGAAAATAAGTAAATTATGGTCTTATTTTAATTAAATATGTCCTTACAGAAATATAGAGCCATCTGATATTGATCTACTTCAAAGAAATTTAAAAATTGATTATAAAATGGCTGTAGAATTAACTTCTAGTATTTTAATATTAGAACTAGTTCATCGAGTAATCGTTTGCATTTTCGAGGTAATGAAACAAATACATAGTTACACACAATTGTAACGTTTTATGAATATATTTGCAAACTTTCTTAAATGTTACATTAGGCATTTTGGCTGCAACGAGGACTTTATGGGCATGTAGGAGGTGCAACGCCTGGTAAATCTGTAATGGGTTTACGAGTTGTTCAATGTCGCAGTGTCATTCCTGTTGAACGACCAGACGGTGAAATTGTGCTTGTTTCTCCTGGAACAGATCTTGGTTTGCCCTTAGCTTTGGGTCGTTCGGTAGTAAAAAATTTAATTTTGGCCTTTCTTTTTCCTATTTGTTTCTCACTTTGTTTCTTTAGATTTAATCGAACTGGATATGATTTAATTTGTAACTCAATTGTAGTTGAAGATCCTTATAGAAGCAATAACAATAATACCATACGTAGAGCTCGTCAATGATGATGATGATAATAATTATAATGTAGATATAAAAAAAAACCTGCGATAGGATATTATATGAAAGTAATTTTTAATTATAAAGTTTTCCTTTGAATAATTCCAAATAATTGATATATATATAATATATACTACATTAAGCTCTTCCACTTTTCTCACGTTAGTACATACGTTTATAATTTAATAAACAAATTTTTTAATACACCTATTTATTATCTATATACTATATTTTACTATTTGGTAATAACCCAATAGTATAATCTCTAAAAAAAATTATTAAATTATATTAAGATTCCTACCTAAAAAGAAATACATTTAATTTTTCAGTCAATGTGCAACATTTAATATAAATATTAACATTTTTTCAGTTTTAAAAACATTTAAATATAAAAATCATTTGATTTTTATTAATAATAAAAGTCCATTTGGTCTATACACTTATAAGCTGTTGTATATTAAATAAGAAAAATTACTTTACATACTATTTGTTACTAAATTTTTGAATGAATTTAACTCATTGAGTTATTTTCTTTAAAAGAATATACTATGTATGAATTTGTCGAATTTATCACTTGGCACAATAAATAAATTTATCAATCAAAATTCAAGTCAAAAATTTATTTTGACTTGGATTGATTGATTAATTTTTATCTCTATACTATGTATTTAATTACTCAATGAATGCTTTTGTAAAAATTATAAGGAATTTTGTATCATATTGTAAACATAAGCGTAGAATACGTATTTATAGTAAAGTATTATAATTTTTCGACCAATTCAAACGATATTTCTTTTATTTATCTTAGAATTTATTTCAACATTAACTAATCAGGAATTATTGCCAAAGCTGTAAAAGTGTGTTTAAAACATAAGAGTACACTATTATTCAGTTTATCAACGTTGTAAAAATGTTTAAATATTTACAAAAGAAATCAATAAAGTTTTAATTATTTTATATTTACAAATATCAGCTATAATTATATAATGATTTGGTTTCAATGCTCCCATATGGTTTACCTTTAAAAAAGGCAATTCTATTAATGTCAGTTCAATCCAGAAGATGTCTTCAAAAATGCATATAAACCCAAAGCTATAATTGTAACAACAGTTATTGTTTTATAGCTTCGCATACGATAAGGAAGTCTTCGTCGAGACTGAACAATTTTTAAATTATTTTCCCTTTCTTTTCGACTTGCTTCTACTTTTGCCTTCCACTCTTGTTCTTTGCGACGCCTTTTCAAATCGTAATCCCGTACATCCTTATTAATTGTACCTGGTGGATATCGATGATAAAGATTATTTGCATTCACAAGTAGGTTTTCAATTGGTAAATTATCTGGAAGCTGTAAATATGAAATTTATTGCTATTACAAAACATTGTTAAATTAGAGCTAATTAGAATTAAAATCTAATTAGAATTAGATCCTACAAGGATAGTTTACAGCTCTTTTTATAGGATACTATAAGAAATTAAATCGATAAAATCCTATAACAGTTTATTTATTATATATGTAATATGTAATATAAGGTATCCTTATAGGAATTATATTACTATTTTATAAAGAAATATTAATTTCTATAACTTACAGAACATAAAACTTTATGCGTATGCCCCATGTCTGGAATAGTATTAAAAATTTCATCAGCTCTATGAATGACTATTATTGTACTCAAATATAAAGGCATGAAAGGTGGACTTCCAAGAAAATAGTCAAAAAGCCTATGTAGTAATTTTCTGTTCTCCGCATATTTATGAGCATACCATGTCGTATATTCTGCTAATGCAAAATGAGGAAACAATTCTACACTGTAAAATTGGTTTACTGAATTATCAAATTTTTTCAATGTTTACCAATTATAGGTCTATCATATTTATTCTTTCTTCTTTTCGCTACCTCAGCAAAATAGACAAGAACAATAATTGATTGATTTAAAAAAAATTAAAAACTAACTGACAAAAAAATAGGGGAATAATTATAATATTTTTGTTTCGATGAATTGTAATATTATATTTTTTTTATTAAATTATTTTTAGACTTAGCCTTTTCTGTTGTCATTTATTATCTATGTAATACTTTTTTGAGATGTATTATGTCGTAGCGAAAAGAAGATAGGAAAAAATGACAAACCTGTTATAAATTTTGAAAAAGTTATTATTTTTCGAAAACAAGGAAATATTAAAAAATTCACACCAAATTTGTCATGGTAAGTATACTCGGAGAACTATCAGTTTATGCAGATGAAATCTTAATCCGATCAGAGAAATAAAATAATATTTATAGTTGTTGATTGACACTTACTTTTCTAAATGTTCTAAAAGTTTTGGATGTTCTCTTTCCAATAGTGCAAATATAAAAAAGAGTTCTTGATTTACTTTTTCCATTGTCTTTTCCATAAACCTTTCTAAGTATGTCAAAGAAATTTTTTCTAAGACATGTAAAGCTCTTTGAAGACCCATTATTAAAAGAATTGTAGCAGCTACATCATTGTAACCTTGATAATAGCTAAATTGAATTTGAATTATAAATTAATTGTACGTGTTGTAATTAGTAGTATTACTATATCTAGGATGATTCTCCTCAAAGTAACAGTTTTATAAAACCTGTTCAATTTTAATAGTTGACCACTTCCATAATTTTAATTAAGAATATTGTAGGAGCTAAATGTATTTCATCTCCAAAGCCTTTTTAACAAATCTTTAGCTCGATTTCTATAAGTTAATTCAATTTTTTATTTTTTGAAAATAGTCCCTATAATATCATATCTTTAGTTTGTTATATTAACCACTGATAATTGAAGCCTTATGGTACATGTTAGTATACATTTTTATTCGTTTAAGAATTTTTCGCATTTATTATTTCTATACAATTTTTTTCCCACATAAAAATATATAAATTATATTTGATTTTTTCCGAATCTAATGGCAATAAAATCTGATACTTATTCACTTTCAAAAGAATCACCTAAAAACATTGTCTTGTTTTTCTTCTTTTGATTCTAATTACCATGACTATGGTATTAAAGAAAAGTACAATCTTAGAATGATAATTAAATAAATAATTGCTTACTGTAAACTAGGATTTCGATATAAAACCCAGCAAATTAATTGTGTCATTTGATCTTGAAATCTTGAAATTTCTTCTTCGGTTGCATCAGGAAAAAGATGTCCTCCACTTCGTGCAACATCTTTTAAGACTTGTTGATAAACTTCACAAGGAATGCATTTATGTACTGTTTCCAATTCGTCTACAATTGGCATTTCCTTATCAGGTAATCTTAGTAGTTGTGGCCATAGAATTCTCCGTATATCATCTACAAATCATCTTAATGATTTCAAGCTTTAATTGAACAGAATGAAATGATTTTTATCTTTTTGGTTACCAAAAAACCTATTTCAATTCATTTTTATGGTGTTATTGTCAAGAAAAAGCAACAAATTATACAAATAAACGTGTCAGTCATACTGCCCGAATTAAGAAAAATTTTCATTTTTCCAGTTCAAAATATAATACAAAAATACAAATTTTAGGCCTCTGTTGTTAAATCTTGTGAGAATTTGGATTTTTGTGTCGAGTCGAATTTTCCAAAATCAAAATGTTTTTTATGACAGACATGATGGTAATTTTACAGTATATATAAATATATATGTATCTTGTATTTATTTCTACAGAGTTTAAATTGCACACATTCTTCGAAAATATTTTATAAGAGAATTATGCTAAATGTATGAGAATTGTTGGACGCACTTGTAAGTTTTCTGACAGATACATATATATATATACATATTCATACATTATTGTAAAAATATTTTTAATAATTACCAATAACTAATCCTTCAGAACTGGTACTTAGTAATTTGAGTTTACCAAAAGTGAGATTTGATTTAATAATAGTTCCTTGTATTACTTTTATCTTCATTCGTTCTCTTTCGGTAAACTTTTCTAGATTTATAACATAAATCTGTTAGAATTATATACACATTATTTTAATTAATATTAATTACCTGGTGAATCAATATTCAAAATTTCTGGTAATTCCGGAATACCATTAATCCATGCTTTTTCTGTATCTAACGAGAACTCAATACTTTTATTATTGTAATTAAAGTCATTTTCTTTTATTAATGAAGAACTAATTTTTTCTATCACATTTCGTCGACGAACCTTTGAAGAATGTTTTTCATGTACACAATTATTTAATTTTGTTATCGAAGTTTCATCAGCTTTTGGTTCAATTACTGAACATTCATCCTCTTCTTTATTCATTTTAAAATATATAATAAATACTTTCTTAATTTACTCTATAGCTTAATTAATTTTCTCGTTTAGAAAATGAATTATCATTGCAATTATAGTTTTCTAGAACTTAAAAACATTATATACACATTGCTTACTGACGCATATGTGTGACTACAGATGTCTATCATCCATGACAAACAGCAAATGTCAAAAACGTCAAAAATAATAAACTTTAGATAGAATCACGGTCTTTTATGTACTGAGCGTTCAAATTGCAGTAGAATATCCGAAATGTGACATTGTTGGAGGAGGATTTTGCGTAGCGGTTTGTAAACAGACTGTGACGTCTGGCGTCTGCTTCTAGTAAAATTTTCTAGGGAACTCGAAAGTGAATGAAATGAGTCGAGAAATTTCAATAGAGATTTAAAAATTTAGACTCACATGAAATTTTAAATTATTTAATTGAAATATATTTTTTCTTTATTTTTCATTATGAAATATATATTTATAGTAATTGTTATTATAAAATTGATATTTGTTGTTATTTAACAAAAAGAAAATATAAGCTAAATATTTATTGAAAAATCCAATAAATACTATTTGATATTGTTTATAAATTAGTAAATATTTTTAAATCATGAAAAATTATCGTTAATAATTTTAAATTATATTAAAATGAGCGTAAAAGTATTTTATAATCATATTATTTATGCGATTAAAATTATATTTATAAAACAATTGTAAATAAATAAACAAAATGTTTATTTATAGTTTAAAATTAATTAAAATTGTAATATATAATTATTTAGGAGTTTTGGTCTTAAAATTCTTAAAATTTCATTTTGAGAATTGTTAGAAGCAAAACGTTTTGTGCGTAACTTCTGATTTTCAAACTAAGTATTGTAATTAACTTAGAGTAATTACAATAAATATTTTATTGTGAATAATTAACTATTGTGAAATATCAAATAAATCGAAATTTTATTTAAATTAACAAAACAATAATCATAATTCTACAAATCAACTGAGAATTATTAAATTTGTTAATTTTCAATCTTCAAACTGAATAAAATTGGTTTTTACCCGAGAGGAGTTTTTCCAATCAAATAAGTGTTTATTTATTTAATATCCTACAATTGATTTATTATTTATAATAAAATAAAGATTTAAATTTAATTTGCATTTAAATTCCGTGCCCGCTTTTGAGCGGATAATAAAGTGCAAGAATCCAGCTCATTGGCTATTTCATGGATCTAACGGAAATTTAGTTCCTTGAAGTCTAGGACGTGTCACAGACCATAAGAGTATTTTCTTCATAACTTAAGGGTATTGGGATCTGAAATACTGCGATACGCCATCTGGTGAGAGCCTTGTTGTGGTGGACATGTTTTCATTCCGTGTTTCTCTAACATATACAAAAGAAAGAGATAAAAAACCAAGATGGTTGTCACAAGAAGGCTCAGGGGTGGGTCAGTTTCGCGTGATTTCTGATCCCAATGGTCATACCTCAACTACTTAAGTAGGGTCGTCATGGTAACGTATAAAGGCATTTGCACACCGCGTTTTTTTATGCCTATTGAAAAAATGCGATTTTTTAGCAAAGAATTTTAAATTTGATTTTAAATATTTTTGGAAAACATAAAAATATAAAGAATAAATTAATTTTATTATAATTTATTCCCCATTTATTCTTGTTAAGGCGCCGTCCCATGACAGCGTAGAACGCCGGCGTAAAAGCGGAAAGCATGAGAACGAAAGAGATGAACATATCTCACTATCTCTTTTGTTCTCATACTTTCCGCTTTTACGCCGGCGTTTTAAGGCCAACGCAGAATAGAAACGTAACCGGAATCGTAATCCCAAACGCAACCGGAAGAATGAATTAGAGAAGGATAGACATATTGTTTGTCCTTCTCTAACTCATTCTTCCGGTTGCGTTTGCGATTACGATTCCGGTTACGTTTCTATTCTGCTCAGGCCTTTACGGTGTCATGGGACGGCGCCTTTACCTTTATATTTTTCAGAAATATTTAAAATCAAATTTAAAATTCTCTGCTAAAAAATCGCATTTGTCCAAAATATAGATGCTCACAAGTTTTCGATAGACATAAAAAAACGCTCACAAGTTTTCGGTAAATCAAAAACTTGTGAGGTGTGCAAACGCCTTAAGGGTATGTGGGAACCTCCCATGTGACCTAGTATAGGAAAATGTGTTTTGGTAGTATACATTTCACTCTAAAATGAGAAATGATTTTTGTCTAAAATTTTGAAGGATGATAGATTAGGGTATACAAGGAATCTCGCCGTTCTCCGAAAAATACATAATTTTGCGTTAAATTATTAAAAAATGAAGTTTAAAAAGTGTGATTTTTAAACAAAAATGAAAAGAAACATGACGGCGCATACACAGACGTTGCTTGAGTGTGTCAGTGCTCCAGTAAACAGCGCCAATTCGAGCAAGTAGCCGCTAAATCAACTATGATATAATACATTATTTTACTATTTATTGTTTTATTTTTATTATTTTTGCGTTAAGTTATGGTAAATGAATAGAACAGCGAGATTCCTTGTACCAAACTAAATCATTTCTCCAAAATTTTAACCCGAAATCATTTTTATTTCAGAGAAAGTTTCAAACCACAAAAAAACGTACTTTGCCCATATACCCTTAAGAGTGAGAAAAATGTTCTTATTTCTCTCACTCTTATACGTTACCATGACGACCCTACTTAGATAGCTAAGCTGTGACCGTACCTTTAATTATTATTTTTTTTAAAATGTAAAGGTTTATTTAATTTTTTTTTGATAATTCAAATCTTCTTTTATTTTGATAATAAACTAATTTTTATAAAGTTAGTAACGCGTTTTACACTTACTTTCGTACTTTAAAACCATTACCAATTAGTGGGACTTTTCAAATTGACCAGATGTACAACTTATTTTTTCTTTACCAGTTATTGGGACATGCAATTAATTGAAATTATTATTAAATTAGCCTTCAGAATTGCACAAAATAACTTGTTTTTACTGACAAGAGTTGAAAATGAATATAAGTTGACAAATAAAAATGTTTTTTTTATATGTAAAACTTATTTGACATATTATTTAATAGTTAAATTCTTTATTAAACCCTTAACTGATCAGGTACTGGGACTTTCACTTTATCTCTGAAGACTCAGTAGTTGGTCAATTATTATCTAAATACTTTACATGAATTCCTTTATACCTCAATATGAATTGTATATCACTGATTCAAACATTTTTTTCACTATTATAATAACTTAAAAAATATAAAGTATTGTATTAAATATAGAATGTTTGATACTAAAATTATAAAAATTTAATATATTTGGTTCATCATACACGAATAGCTTAATAAAAAATAAAATTCAAAGTGGTTAGGTATTGGGACGTGGCCAGTAACTTATGTACCGTTATATGATACGGCTTAAACGATAGCTATGTGTTTTTCATATTGAATCTTTTGCTTCTTTGTAAAATAAGTATTTAAATTGGAATATAATTAATCAGCTATAAAAATTTTAAACATATTAAATGGAGGTACGACGAAGAAAAACAAGAGATGAAAATGAGAAATTTGATTTTAATACCGAAAATATTAAGGAAGGAATTTTTCAAAAAACGGTATGTAGAATTGTTGAAAGATTCAATTTTATAACAGTAAACAAAATCGTCTTTTACATAAAATAATAATGAATATGAAATGAATATTGATGAAAATTTTAAAATATCCACAGAAAAATGACCCATCCATAGAAAGAACAAATAAAGAATTAAAAAAAGGAAAGACTGATAAAACTTTAACTAACAATATCATTAACGTTAAAAATGAACAAATATCAAATAATGAATCTTTAAATAAAGAAAAAATGGAGCAATTGACAAACACTTCATCACCAGTTCGACTTAAAGTAAATTTTGAAATAGATTTAGTGGCTGTTATATTATTAATATCTGGACTTGTTACTCGCCTCTATCATCTGGAAGAACCTCGCAATATCGTGTAATATATATTTTATTTTATTAAGTTAATTGCTTCCTCGTAAAAAAGGTAGTATAAAAAGTTTTCAATATCTTATTGGATTTCGATTTTCTTAATATTTTTAGTTTTTACATTAAACATTACCTAATTGACAAGAATTGAATTTCCTAAAATTCTGAGAAATAATTGAACTTTACAAACGTGCATATCAATGATATGATGATAATGTCAATGTTGTACCTGTTGCATTTTAATATTTATTTTGATAATAATTTTTGAATTCTCTTTAATAGATTTGACGAATTGCATTATGGTAAATATGTAAGTCTCTATATGAAAAAAATATTTTATTTTGATTCCCATCCTCCTTTGGGAAAGCAACTCATATCAGCTGCAGCATATTTGGCAAACTTTGATGGTCAATTCAAATTTGATAGAATAGGAAATCCATATGGAGAAAATGTTCCTCTCTTTGCATTAAGATTAATACCTGCTTTATGTGGAAGTTTTCTAATTCCTACTGCTTACTATTTGTCAAAAGAATTTGGACTTAGACATTGGAGTTGTATAATTACTGGCCTAATGTTGCTTTTTGGTAAAATATATTTAGTGTTGTTGAAAATTTCCGTAACATAAAGAAATGAATGATAGGTAATAAAAGTTGACATTTCAGATAACGCTCTCTTGACCCAGTCACGTTTCATCCTTATGGAAAGTATTTTAATACAATTTTTACTTATGGGTTTATTGTGTGTAATGAAGTTTAGAAAAGTTCATGATGAACCTTTCACTTTTGCTTGGTGGATTTGGTTAACATTGGCGGCAACTAATTTGACATGCGCATTATGGTATGTTTATATTTTTAAAAACAACTTTTTCTAAATAATAAAAAAAAATAATATGCTTTAAAAACTTGATGTTCTAGTGTCAAATATGTAGGATTTTATTCATTATTTCTTGCACTTGTTTTGATTGGACGAGATTATTGGAATTTACTATCAAAGAATGAAGTTTCAAATTTGATTCTTTGGAGTCAATTATTTCTGCGGATTTTGACGTTATTCATTATCATAACAACGGTCTACTTAGGAATATTTTATGTTCATCTGTCGGTACTGACAAAAGCCGGCCCTCATGATTCCGTGATGACAAGTGCATTTCAGGCTAGTTTGGAAGGAGGATTGGCTAGTATTACCAAGGGACAACCCTTGGAAGTAACTCATGGTTCGCAAATTACACTTCGCCATACGTATGGCAGAGCTTGTTGGTTGCACAGTCATAATCAAGTCTATCCTTTGAGATATCCTGATAAACGAGGAAGTTCACATCAGCAACAAGTGACATGTTATTCCTTCAAGGACGTTAACAATTGGTGGATTGTTAAGCGACCTGAGATTAACGATTTGGTCGTTACGAAACCTAGCGAACCCATCAGACATGGAGAAGTTATACAATTAGTTCATGGAATCACTAGTCGTGCTTTGAATTCACACGACATTGCAGCACCAATGACTCCACAGAGTCAAGAAGTTTCATGTTACATTGACTATAACGTTTCAATGTCTGCTCAAAATTTGTGGCGAGTGGAAATCGCTAATCGGGATCAAGCCGGCAATGTTTGGCATGCTATACAGAGTCAAGTTCAACTAATTCATGTAAATACAGAATGTGCCTTAAAGTTCAGTGGTCGAATGTTACCCGAATGGGGTTTCAATCAACACGAGGTTGTTGCGGATAGAATAATTGAGCAATCAAATGCCATATGGAATGTAGAGGAACACAGATACACAAAAAGTGAGGATCAAAAGCAGAGAGAACGAGAATTGATTAATGCAGAAATGATACCATTGAAAGCTACAAGTTTATCGTTTTGGGAAAAGTTTTTAGAGTTGCAGATGAAGATGCTGTTTGACACTCATGAAGAACAAAATAGTCATATGTATTCCAGTGGACCCTTGGAGTGGCCCTTCTTAACTAGGGGCATTGCATATTGGATTTCTGCCAAAAGTAATGTGAGTTAAATTTAATATTATTACTTATGTGCAAAACATGAAATACCTTTATAAGAAAAGTATTATTTTAAAGAACCCTTTTTTAAAAAAATTAACATTGTATTATTTTTAGGCTCAAATCTACCTTTTGGGAAATATAGCAGTTTGGTATACTGGGACAATTGCAGTAATAGTATATTCAGGACTTTTAATTTTCTATTTAATGAGACGAAAGAGGCTTTGTTATGATATTTCTGAAGCAGAGTGGAATAAATTTTCAACTATTGGTCAAGTTTTATTAACGGGATATTTGTTACACTACTTACCTTTTATATTTGTTGAAAGAACTCTTTTTTTACATCATTACTTACCAGCATTTATGTATAAAACATTATTAACTGTTGGAACAATAGATCATATATACTCTCTACTCAGGTTAGTTAAATACATTTCTTCATTAAATGTTTCTCCAATTCGGTCAAATCAAATCTTAAAATATTAATTTTTTCAGAATTCATTTCAAGCGGAGGCACTTTTGGTCTATTTTTAAGTTATTCACCATTTTTTGGATTGGATTTATTGTTTTCGTTTTTCGCAAGTTTGCTTCTCTCAGTTATGGAATGACACCTTTGAGTGCTAAAGAAATTTTAAAATTAAGATGGAGTGATACCTGGGACTTCATTATTCATAAAACTTGAATAACTTTATTTTTTCATGTTTTCATAAGTGAAAGCCGTAAAAATAATGTATACTAGTTTAATTTTGTTAACAATTCGTATTTTTCTCAATACATAATATAAATTAAAATTTTATAAAATAAATGGAGAAATTTTAGTTATTAAAAATGTACATATACAATTTATATTTATATGTGGATAAAGTTGTTTTTTCAATAAAATATTTTTATAATTTATTATATAATATAGTTGAAAATTCTCATTTGTTTATTTAACCCTGTCCATTATTATAATTAATATGATTAAGTTGCAAAAATTTGCAACTTTGTAAACAAGATTAATTTATTTATTAGTTGTGCATATTATTTATGACTTTAGTACATTTTACTTATTTATATTGCAAAAATTGTTCAATTTATAACATTTTAAATTAAATTTTTTGTCTGAATATACTATATAAAATAAAGAAACTTTATGATAATGATGTAAGAATACGCATAAAATTGTACCTCTGGTGTACCTGTATAAATCTTCTACTTTAATTAGCCAGTATTTTTTTTACTTAATTAATTGATAAAATAAACATTTATATTTTATAAATTCATCACTTGTTAATTATTATGACATTAGCAGTGTTATAACAAAAACCATAAAAGCGTTAATACAGATTGATACTCGTGTATTTTAATCTAACAATTATAATATTTCTAATGTAGTTATTGATTAATGTTATATGTAGTAAATATTTTTATACTTAATTGTATAAGTATATACAAAAAGTAAAACAATCAAACTTTCATTGTCCAATCCATTATAATTTTGAAATTATATGTGTGAAATTATTAATTTTATATTAGGCATTTTGAGTTTTTAATTTTTTTTGTTTTATAATTAAATATATACAACTAAAAATAATTTACATATAATATACATGTATTAATAATATTAATAAGAATACAAATTAAAAACAGTAAAATATAATTTGTGCTTAAAAGTATATATATATATATATTGTAGACAATAGGCGTAAAGGAAAATTAGGTTTTTAAATTATTTTCCAGGCATTAAGCTAACAGACAACAAATAGACTTCACATGAGAGTACACTTATTATTTTTAAATCTTCTTGAATGCAATTAGTGCTTATAAGCATTAAAATGCCTTAAAAGTTCTATACAAATAGAAAAAATAGTCTTTATTAATAGTTTTCATTTTAAAAAACTGTTGAAATGTTTTTTATTTCTACTTAACCAATTCTTCTACTTGCCGAGAATACTGTCGGAAATTTATTCAATGCGTAGACGTTAAGCTAAATGTTTAATTAAATCCAGGCAAATAAGAAAATAAGCTTCTCTTACGAGTGCATTAGTCCATTGGTCGATGTTTAATCTAATGCTTTGAAAATAAGCTAAATATCTAATTTTATGTAATATATTCTATTGTGATAATTAATATTTAATATTACAATGCGTATTCAAATTTGTACATGTATTTTTAAAATTGTTTTTACTTCAACAAATAACAATTCACGCACAAAAGAAATTTATATTGACTAATAAACATATACATCACTGTCTCTTATATCACAATTTGACAATTCATTCTGGTTTGTTTTCTTGGGTTTAAAATTTTAATGATAAGTAAACACAATAGATCTAATTAATCCATCTCGACTATTATTGTCTATATTTCCTACTCCAAATGTGAAAAGAACAGTATCACAGTTCATACTTTGAGAACAAATTCCCATAGGATACCGTCCAACTTTGTTGAAAACTACTCCAACTCGATATACCTGTTAAAAAAATTTCAGATTACACAAGTTTTAACTAAAACCAATTTTTTTCATTAGAAACCTTTACGAAGATGTTTTATATTCACGAAAAGTGAACATTTTCCACACAGTTCAGATAAAAATTTAAGTTACATTTAAAATCAAGGACTTGTTTCTCCTATGTATATGAAATTGTTGACTTTATTATTTTCAATAATTTTAATTAAAATTTTGAAAAACTCAATTTTTTAGAACTCAATTATTGTTAAAAATTTGTAAACAATATTCACCAATTGAAATGTAGCAAAATTCCAATTTCAAATTTCCTAAAAATTTTAACTGTAATTCTTGAAAAATGCCATTATTTTATTTTGATAAATTGGTTTAACTATTTTTTACGTATTAGTATTTGAATTTAATAAGTCATTGATAGAATTGGATTTTAATAATTCAAGGCGATTTCAAGGTTTTAAGGGTTGGTGAATTATTTGTATGTAAAATGGATAATCTCACCTTATTTTTTTGTATGTAAACCGGTCGGTTGAAGGTAATCTCAACAAGAGTACCGCTGTTAACTTTAGTAGTAAAGTGAGTATAAGTTAATCGAGAACCATCTGAATCAAGGAGGTGAGCATATAGGACCTCAGTATATGAAGAATCCATTTGAAAGATATTCCCTTGGCTAGTCAACTAAAATGAAATGAAATGAAATTGAAATGAAATGAAGAATTTTGTTTATGAATATTATATGCTCACTTGTATTTGTGTTGGAACTTGAACTCCGAGAACACAAATGTTTTTATCAACTGTAAATGTTACTGAACAGTCCAATACGCTTGTGTTGACGCAATCGAGTGGTGTAAGAACATTCCTTGTACAGTAATATTTGATTCCATCTCTGTCAAACGTATGAGATGCGATAATTGTTGAAGGATGTTCCCCTGATGCTAAAGATGACGGACCACTTCTTAGTGAATTTGTTCGATGATCTAAATCATCAGACAGTGGTACCATTGTCGAACGCCCCATTGACGTTGTTGGAAAATTAAAAGAAAAGTATGGGCTGTCTACCTTGTGTGGAGTTGTGCATCTCGGATACAATTCTTCGCGATTTGAAAGGCGTTTCATAGGCGTCCAGTCAATTATAGGAACCTTTAAAATAGTAAGGTTGTGTTAAGTACTTGAAAGTAAATTTTAAAAAATAATTATAACCTACTGTTTTTTGAAGCATCTTGTTAATTCTTTTTTGCGTGTTTGTGGAGAAGCCTTCGGGCATAGGAACTTCACTGTTGCTCGACGATATATTCATTAATATTGCAAAAGCCTCTTCTTTTGACAATAAACTAGATCGTCCAGGTCCTTCGGCAAATTCTTGAGGTGTCAAAGTTAAAAATCTAATTTTCGTTAAAGAATTACCAATAACAGATCTTTGTGATTTTTTATCTACATGATCCAACGATTTTCTAACACACTCTGCTTTTGACCATCGTTCTAAAGCAGTAAATAATTCTATTTCAGAAGAAATTAGTAAATCGTTTTGTTCGAAAATTATTAAAAGAGTTCCTAGTTCTATTTCTTCCCAACTAGATTCTTTGAAAACATCAAGTGTTTTTGTGCTTATTATTTGTAGACATTTCTCCATTAATACTGGTTCTTCAAAGAGTTTGGCAAATTCATAGGCTCTGCAGGCTTTTTTTGGTGACAAGTCCGACCACAGAAATTTTGTACATTCTTCAACAAGAAAAGGCAGCATGTACTTTTTAGCACAATAACACAATTCACAGGCTAATTCAAATGATCCCAAGTCTACACGATCGGTATAAATGTATTCTAAAAGAGCTTTAAAAGCTTCTGGTTGAACATCTCGGATTGGTATTGGATCACTTTTTTCAGCCATTCCTCCATAAAACATTGCTTCAAAAACAGGACTCGACATAGCTAAGAAAACTTTGTGTCCTTCGAGGACCTGTTGATGTGGTTCTCGACCAACGATAAATTTACAATCAGACCATTGTCCAGTTTCTAACAGATATTGCCCTCTCTGTGACACTTTCTGCTTTTTAGTTTGCCAATCACAGGGAAATCCCATTTTTTTGGGTGACCGCTTGTCCAACTAAAAATATCAATCAAAAAATAAAAACCTACAAAATAATTCTCATATTATATCATCAATTAGAAATTTCATAAACATTTCAATTTATTAAATTTATCAAGTTGTTTTTTCTTTTACAAGGTTGTAAAAATGACGATAACTTCATATTATAAACATAATGTGAAAAAAATAGCTATGACATTTTTTTTGCATTTGGCATGAAAAAAACATTGAGAAGAAAGTGCGACAAAAACTTACATTTATTTGACAAAGATCCGTGTTGTTTTCCGTATTGAAAGATAATCAGAAAATATATGATTTGTGGCAGAAAAACATGTAATCGTCTTGCTGGTGTATGACGAAGGGTTACGAACGTTTCTATTCTTACGCTTGCTATAAATATGTTGGTATAGTTAAACATAAACAACAAGGAGAATAGTAAAAAAAGTGTTCATTGGGAACAAATTATGAATTATCATATAGATACGCGTGGAAGAAGTAAACGTTTAGAATATTTAATGTACGAAGACCGCAGAATCTAACAAATATTATCAATTTCAATAAATTACTCAACAACTATAAACGATCTGTCAAAATACAAATTCCACTTATTTTATAAACACAGAACGTTTCGCCATCTTGGTTCATATGGTAGTCGTTGAACTTTTGTATTACACATTACATGTAATAAAAAGGAATAATTACATTTTTTAAATTGTACATAAAATCATATGATTTGTTAAAACTATTTAATAATCGCTCGTTTAAAACCTAAAAAATTTTAACTTGTATGAGGGGAGGGTCTCATTCTTACATATACATATATATGCGTACAGCATAGTATGAGTGGAGATGAGAAACCATGAACATAACCTGTGTTTATGCATGTATATACAATATATATATACTATACATATACTATACATATACTATACATATAATATTGAGGTTTATGTGACAATTTTATATACATGTGGGGAAATTTTTTTTTTATAATTTATAATTAGCGCATATCTTAATTTAACTTGAGTTTTTTTACATGCAGAAATAAATAGAAATGCTAAAATTAAATGAATTTCATGTGAAACGTGGAAATTTTTATTATTGACTGTATGTATGTATTTGTATTGTAGAATGGTATAGAGCAAAAGAAAAGGAATGGATTTGATTAGTGCAGTACATTTTCCAAATGGCGCATGTACCGCTCAGCTGGAAAATATTCATTTGCGCGAAGTAATAGAGAATGCATTTTTATTTGGCGACTTTTTATAGTATTAACAAAGTGGTGGACACTGTCTCGGTGATTCTATAGGTACGTGAAAGTGAATTCTTTTGTTGATTGATTATTGAATTGAAAATATATTTAGGAAACGGCGTCTTTGTAGCACCTGCCGTTGGACCCTCCTAAACTCGAGACAATCGCTGCTGTCACATCAGACACACAACCGTACCTCTTTGATCTGTCAACAAATAAATTTTGCCTTTTGTACACCACAAATACTTATTTTAAGATATTGTGATTTTACCTTTCATTGTGCAAGTACATGGAATTTAATTACAAGTGCACGCTCGCCATTATAGACAGAAAAAAACTTTCAAATGTATGTACTTTTCAACTCTAAATTTTTTTACAGGTGATTTATTTGTAAATTTTTTTTTCTTTATCTTAGTTTTTCTTCTCAAATGTTGTGACGATTATTGAAAAGTTTGAATTAAAATTAACAAAATAATCATATTGGTTGCTGCTTTGTTCTTGATAATTGTATTAGTTAATAATATCTTTGTCGAGTATTATTACCATTATTATATTATATTATTTTCTATTTGTTGGTACTATTTTAAACGTCAAGTAATATTATTATTTTATTACAGAAAAAATGGAATTTTTATTAGCAATAGTGGCTGTGACGTTATCACATTTTTGCTGCATGTAATCAAAGATGAATGATTTTTTGATTTAATGAGCAACGATCAAGAGAGCAGGGTAAAGACTGTGTAGCGATAGCTTTAGAACTGAAAACCATGGAGGCTGTACGAGACGAGGACCGAGCCAGACGTCTGCGAGCTCTTGAAGATCGCATAAAAGATCCTCGCAGTAATGCAAATATTGATTGTTTATTAGATACCGTACAGGCTCTTGTAGCAGACTGTGATCACCCTAGCGTAAAGCGCATGAAAAACATTGAGACATTCATGAACAGATGTAAGTAAAATGCCTTTTGAGGTATTTCATTTATTGCTATTGATAAGATGACATTAAGACATTTTTCATGTCATTCTAGATGACACGGTTGCTCAAGAAATTCATAAAATGCGAATGCGAACAGATGACTTCAATTTGATAAAAGTTATTGGTCGTGGAGCATTTGGTGAAGTACAGTTAGTCAGACACAAATCCACTCAAAAAGTTTTTGCTATGAAGATTCTCAGCAAATTTGAAATGGTAAGTGTAAATATTTATTAAATATTATCATTTTTTTAGACATCACAGAATGTCACCAATTTTTTATCATTTTCACCTTCCTTTAATTTAATTTAATGTAATTTATTTAGTAAAAATTTGAATTCATTTCCAAATTCAATCGTTTCTAAGTTAAATAGTTTTGATTCTCATTTTCCTGGCAATTTAAAAAAATCCTAATTTCTTTAAGTTAAAAACTTAAATTGAAGGAAATTTTAATTGTTTTAATAAACCTGAAATTCAATTTATGAAAATTTAAAAATACTAGTCCTAATTTTATTGGTAAAAATTAATTGATAGAAATTGAATTTTAAAAAATGTCAATGTGTTTCAATGAATTGGATTAAAATTTGAATAGATACATTTTAAGTAGTCATTTTCGTTACATCTATATTAGGAAATTAATTGGGATTCATTTAATGTTTCTTGCAGATAAAACGATCTGATTCGGCTTTCTTTTGGGAGGAAAGAGATATAATGGCTCACGCAAATTCTGAATGGATTGTTCAACTGCATTTTGCCTTCCAAGATCACAAATATCTTTATATGGTTATGGATTATATGCCAGGTGGTGATTTAGTAAACATGATGTCTAATTATGATGTGCCAGAGAAGTGGGCACAATTCTATTGTGCAGAAGTGGTACTCGCGCTGGATGCGATACATAATATGGGGTTCGTTCATAGAGACGTTAAACCAGACAATATGCTTCTTGATAAGCAAGGTCACTTGAAACTAGCAGACTTTGGTACATGTATGCGAATGGATGCTGTAAGTACTGGGTTTTATTGGGATTTATTTAAATGACAATCATATCAACAATGGATTAATTTCAGGACGGTTTAGTACGCTCCGATACTGCAGTAGGTACACCCGATTATATATCACCCGAAGTACTTCAGTCGCAAGGTGGAGAAGGCGTGTATGGTCGCGAATGCGATTGGTGGTCGGTTGGAGTTTTTCTTTATGAAATGTTAGTTGGTGACACTCCTTTTTATGCAGACTCGCTAGTGGGAACTTATTCAAAAATTATGGATCATCGGAATTCTCTTCATTTTCACGCAGACGTCGACATAACTCCAGCAGCTAAGAGTCTCATTTGTGGATTCCTTACTGATAGGACAAGGCGTTTAGGTAGCAATGGAGTCGATGAAATTAAGAATCATCCATTCTTTAAAAATGATCAATGGACTTTTGACACTTTGAGAGAAAGTGTCCCACCAGTGGTGCCAGAATTGTCAGGTGACGATGACACGAGTAATTTTGATGACTTGGAAAAGGAAGACGGTCCAGAAGAGAGTTTCCCCATTCCGAAAGCATTTTCGGGAAATCATTTACCATTTATTGGATTTACTTACTCGGGAGATTATCAGTTAATGGTTAATAACAGTAGAGAATCAGTCGATGGTCTTGAGAATCATATCAACAATGGTATCAGTGATGAAGGGAGAATAGCACAGTTAGAAAATTTACTCGAACGAGAGAGACGGCAGATGGAAAATTTAGAAATAAGACATCGAACTTTAACAGCTCAATTGGAGGCACTTACTGAGCGAGAAGCTCAACTCAGAGAGGAGGCAGGTAGAGCTGATAAGGAATTGGCACTTTTAAGACATAGTCATAAAGAAGCACAACGACGTGTTGAACAGGAAGCGGATGTTCGTAGAAAAGCAGAGGCGTTACTTATGGAGTTGAAGAAAAAATTCGACGAGGAGCAAACGAGGAGAGTGAGGGATGCAAGCAATTCACAACAAACGTCTGAACGCATCACTAGTTTAGAGAAACAGGTTAAAGAGATGCAAGCGAAACTTGAAAGAGAAACAGAAACGGTGAGCAGGTTGCGAAAACAATCAACAGAAGTAACTGTCGCTCGACAAGCGGCAGAACAAATGGCCAATGAATTACAAATGGCTAGAACTCAATTACAGGCGCAAAGGGATTCCTTACAACAAGAAGTTGCAGCCTTACAGGTAAAGATTCTCATTTAAAAAATTCTCAATTTAAAATTAGAATGTGTGCTTTATAAAAAGAGATTATTATTTTTAATTAGGGTCAATTGTCAAAAGAAAGAAGTTCCCGGTCTCAAGCATCTTCCTTCACTGCCGAACTGGAAACAAAACTTTCGGCTTTACATCAGGAACTTGAACACAGTCGTGAAAGAGAAGGAAAAGCTACTTTAGATAACAGGCAACTGAACGAAAGGATTTCAGAACTAGAAAAAGAGGCAGCTACCTTAACTCTTGAATTGAAAGCAGCACAAGCTAGATATGATCAAGAAGTCGTAGCTCATCAGGAGACAGAAAGGTCGAGAATGCTCTCAAAAGAAGAAGCTAATCTCGAAGTTGTTAAAGGTAACAATGTTTTATTTTTCCATCTAAAATGATTTGAAATTTTTAATTTTCTAATTTGATTGTATTGAATTTCATTAACATAATTCGCTCTTTATATATTAATTTAGCTCTGCAAGCAAAATTAAATGAAGAAAAGTGCGGTAGGCAACGAGCAGAATCTCTCGCTCAAGAAAAAGAACGCCAAACTTCCATGTTATCTGTGGACTATCGGCAAATTCAGCAACGTTTACAGAAACTTGAAGGCGAACATCGACAAGAAGTGGAGAAAGTCAAAGTACTGCAAGGTCAAGCAGACCAGGAACAACAGAAGAGGAACAATTTACAAACAGAATTAGCTCAACAATCGTCTGAAGCTGGACGATTACGAGCTCGAGAACAACAATTGATGGATGAGGTTGCGCAGTTAAGAGAATCAAAACGACAAATCGAGGAAGAATTACACCATTTGAAAACCCAAAGAAACGTCGATCAACTTCAAATGAAAGAACTTCAAGAACAACTGGAAGCTGAAGCATATTTCTCGGTAAAAAATTGATTTTTTCAAACTATTTTCTCTTTTTTTCTTCATTTATGATATTAAAATTGTATTCTTTTCCTTTATACAGACTTTATATAAAACACAGACCCAAGAGCTCCGTGAAGAGCTTGATGATAAAACCAGATCACATCAAGAACTAGAAGAAGAACGAAATTCATTTTGTCATCAACTCGAACTTGCTCTTGCTAGAGGAGATGCTGAAGCTTTAGCAAGATCAATTGCTGAAGAAACAGTGGCTGATTTAGAAAAAGAAAGGACTATGAAAGAATTAGAATTTAAAGACAGTATAGCCAAACATCATCAAGAATTAAATGCAAAAGAGCAAATGGTCAATAGATTAAAGGATAATGAATTAGAAATGAAGAAAACAGTAGATCAATATTTAAAAGAGAAGGAAGACTTAAATAAACGTTACAAAGAAATTCAGGACCAACTCAACAAAGAACAATCAAATGTCGATGAAATTGAAAGACTAAGCAGCAAACTGAAGACAGAACAGCTTCTCAAGTTACAAGCTGTAAATAAATTGGCAGAAATAGTGAATCGAAAAGATTTGTCAATTGGTGGAAAGACGAAAAATAAAGCATCTTCTGCGGATTTAAGGAAAAAAGAAAAAGAATGTCGAAGGCTTCAACAAGAACTCACGCAAGAAAGAGAGAAATACGGGCAATTGGCTGCTAAATGGCAAAAAGATCTCCAGGATTTGCAAGTTTGTATAATTTCATTTCAATATATTAATAGGGGCTAAAGGCAGTCATTGTTTTACTAAAAACTTGAACGTCTTTAGCCCCGTGTCGCTTACGTTACTTTTTATTCCAAAGGCACAAACGTATCGATATTTGGTCCAATCGTTAAAAAATGTACATTTATAACAAATTTATATGACTGTACTTTGTATGACTTGTTTTGCGCTTTTATTTTAGGCACAACTTGTTGAAGAAAATCAGTCCAAGTTGAAGCTTCAAATGGAACTTGATTCGAAGGACTCTGAAATAGAAACACTTCAAATGAAAATAACGTCCATTAATTCAGAGACGGCTAGCGTTTCGTCTGTAGAAAACGATGGAGAAGACTCGGTTTTGTCCGAGCATGGTGCCATGAGATTAGAGGGTTGGTTAAATATTCCCAATAAGCAAAACATTAAAAGACACGGTTGGAAGAAACAATACGTCGTTGTGTCATCGAAGAAAATTATTTTTTATAATAGTGAAAGCGACAAAATTAATGCTGATCCTGTTTTGATATTGGATTTGAGTAAAGTTTTTCATGTTAGATCTGTTACTCAAGAAGACGTGATTCGAGCCGATGCCAAAGATATTCCTAGGATATTTCAGGTATTTAGTCTTGTTAAATGTAAAAAAAAAACTATTTTCTGTTTTACTTTAATTCTTAATGTTTAGTTGTTATATGCTGGTGAAGGCGAAGCAAGACGCCCTGGTGACGAAGGTAATTCTTTGCCAGGAGTGGAACTTCCTCAATTGACTGATAAATCGATTCCTCAACCACTTAAAGGCCATGAATTTATTTCCATTTCCTATCACATGCCAACGACTTGTGAAGTATGTTCAAAGCAATTGTGGCATATGTTTCGTCCACCACCTGCTCTTGAGTGTAGAAGTAAGTTGTTTTTATTCACAGTTTTATCAAATTTAGAATTAAGTGCCTATTTAAATAATAATATAATTTAGATTTTTATAGTTTTTCTTCAGATTCAAGTTCTTTGAGTGCTGAAAATAAGATTTAAAAAAAAACTTTACATTCACATTCCTGCATCGGTCGGCCAGTCAAAATAAAAGTTAGTCCAAAAAACTCTGAAGAGTAATTCAGTAAAGGTGTAAACAATTTTATTTTTAACACTTTGAATCATTAAAAGTTGAATTTAAAGTGAAGATTAAAAATTTCTCACACTAAAAAAAATTGTCAAATTTTAAGTTAAATGTTTACATTTTCACGGAGTTTAAATACATAAAAATTTGTTTTTTTATTTAAAGGAGATTTGAAATTAAATAATTCGACTAACTTTTGTTCCGATTGTTTGTCAGTTTCTTAAAACAGCTCTTTTTCATATTTTTTTAACCCATTGTTATTAGCTATCAAAAAAGAAATTCGGGAAATTTGAAAATAATAATTCGCTAGAAAAACTGAGTATATGAAAAAAGAGAAACGTTGTATAGTATTTTTTTTAGTGAACTAATAATTCTGGCAGATACAGTAAGCTATTAATATAATTTTTAGGATGTCATATAAAAGTTCATAAGGAGCATTTAGATAAAAAAGAAAACGCCATAGCTCCGTGCAAATTGCATTATGATCCTAATAGCGCTCGAGAATTATTGGTTCTCGCGGGAAGTCCTGATGATCAGAAATATTGGGTAACACGATTATCGAGAAGAATTCAAAAGTATGGATACAAAGCAAATTCACACATGGATGGAGCAGGACAACGTGTTTCACCAAGGTAGCGTAGCAGAGCAGCTCAACTGGGAACTAAATTGCTCTTTTGTGTTGTGTCATCGCATGATTGGGTGTAGAGAGGTTAGAGTTGTTTTTATCCCTTTCAACCCATATTGGCAAAGATTTACCTCATAAACTCAATTAACATATTTAGTTTTTATTATTTCACTTTTTGTCATTTTCATATTTAATTATTACTTTTCTCATGCAAATTAAATATATTTTTTGCAACACTAACCTCTAAAGTTAAATTTGACACACCGAAAAGTGTGTGTAAAGAAGATCTTTTTCAAACGGTGTGTAAAGTGATTTACTTTACGCACTGAAATTTCTCTCACATAATATAAGGATTGTTTTAGACCATACAAAACCACAAAATTAAAAAACGAACTTTACTTTTAAATTTATACACTCCTGCTTAATGATAATTTTCCTGATCGAAATTATTCTAATAGAGAGTTGGAATTCTTCATAATAGGTACTTAACTTTAGAGGTGGGTGTTGCAAAAAATGTTGTATGATACACGTGTGTAAATCACTCACTTTACGCACTTGTATCATAAATAACTATTTTTCCATTTTTTTATTACGTACCAATTTTCGATAAAACAAATTTTATTTTTTCTGCATGTTAGTAGATCCTACTTAAATTTAAATCAAAAGGTCTTTAATATTAACATTTTTTAAAATTTATATTTAATATATATAGGTATATTTTTCAGATTCTATTTTGTTTAATTCAAAGTTTTAAAATTCATCTTTTAACCTATTGGTGAATATTCTAATTACATTTTATCCAAAGTTATATATATACTTTTTAAAAATAAAAAATATTGTTAAAACAATTTTTACGTTTCAAAAATTAAAACGTTTCTTTTTGGATAATTTTAGTTTAAAATTTTTATATTAAGTTATGATGTATTCTAAAAAAGTTATAGTTATTCAATCTTTATTACGGAATCAACAATTTTTAAATTTTGAATTGTTGGACAGTTTTAATTTTTAATTGAAAAATGTTATTTTCTTTGATAAAAATATAAACATTTCTTGATGCTACTATTTAGAAATGAACTTTTAAAAAATATTACGTAAGTAAAAATAAATTTGATTTGTCCTGATTTAAATCTTCCAATGAAAATACAACTCATTTCCTTAATTGTCATAAAAGTGTATCATTTCATGTTTATTGTTTGTAATGCTTGTTTGGAACTTTTAAAAGAAGCATGAGATTCTACTTTGTTATCAAGGGGCGTCCTTTTAAATTCTTTTTGTCTCTTCTGTAAAGTGTTGTTCGTTTTGAATTACGTGCGAAATTTGTATTGCATTTGTTCGTTTGGCTTTAGTTTATATAAAATTTGTTTAGTCGCATAAATGATTAACTATCCTAATTACAGAGAATCTACGAGGTCAACGCTCAAGCCTTATTTGTCAGTACAACAAAGATCTGCTACATTACCTGCGAATGCGAGTATGGGCAAGTGACTGCCATTAATTCGATGACATTTTTTAGTGTCGTCACTCATGTGTCAATAAAACGACAAACTTTTGTTTGTTGACTACAATGCCCAATCAAATCAGATAATCGTAATTTATCTACTACTGTGCCACGTATGTGATTTTTCACTTGAGAATTATTGCAAAATCTGTAAAAATGTAATCTTTTCCATAATATTTTTACACTTTTCGTACGAACGTTTACTAAATAACTTTTATAGCTGAAAAGTAGTCTTGTATTTTTGTCATAATTATATTTTTTCATCAAGACAAATACACCTGAGCTCATGTTTGCATAAATCGCATAAATTTTTTCACTTCATCGTTCAAATTATTGAATGTTTAAGACAGCTATTTTTCTATTCGTTTTATATAAATAATGATCTTTCTAAAAGGTATACAGATAAAAGAATAGGCTGTACAATAATTTTAGAATTCTTATCCTTTCAAAAGTAATCCACATATGTGCTTTAACTAGTGATTTTAATGCATTTGTAAAATTGGGGAAAAAGATTTTCATTTACAAAACTTGAGGGTCGACATATATTTTTTTAATGGTTTAATCGTGCAAATAGACGTATAGTTTGCAAAATATGTACGAAAACGGAAAAATACAATACTTTTGCTTACTATTTGTACTTATCAAAAATAATTCATGTTACAATATTATTGAATAAATACTATTTTTGCGCTTAGTAATGTACTGAACAATATATTATCAAACAAGAACTTTAAAAATTGTAAATACAATTGAAATTTCACAAAAAATTGAATACACAAGAACAAACAAATAAACAATCAAATTTGATTTATCTTAATTTCTAGAAAAATTTTAATATTGTTATAAACAATAATTTGTGTGTACATATGTATTTTCACACTTCGAATTGTAACTTAATCAATGTGTTAATTAACTATGTAAAAATGAAGTTAATTAAAGACACAAAGCCGAAATAAATTTCTGTTAACACTTTAAAACAGAAAAAACTATTAATTGTTTTTACAAAATAATGAAATTAGTACATTACTTTTGTGCAGAGAGCGTACGATTTTCAGATGACACAAATTGAAAGAATATTTATTTTTTTTCATACGAATTTGCTATTGGAAGAAAATTTTATGAATTATTTGGGAGAAGAAACATCTGATCGTGAGCTTTGTATAGTAAGAATAATTTATAATCTAATCTTTAAAGATTTACATTAATATATAATAATAATAATAATGATAATAATAGTAATAGTAAAATTTATAATATTTGAGAAGAGCTGTAATTATTCAAAGAATCTCTGAATTTCATGAGTAAGGTTTAACTTGGGCCAAATTCAGTAATCAATAACTGTCTTATCTGTTTATATCTCAATCACTGGTGCTTCCTTTCGAGGATAAGACATATACATGCTGTTAATCCTAAGTCGAACATACGTAATTGTTTTCGACAGTTTTTATATCACATAACTTTTAAGAAAAGAGTAGAAAGTACGTATCTTTTCTTGCGTTTTGTGAAGCTTGCAAAAAGCGCTTTAAAGGATACGTACTTTTTTTTAAAAAAAAAAAAAAAAAAAAAAGTTTTGCTATTTCCAAACTGTACAAAACGCAAATATACTTATGTATTCAACTTTGGATGAACAATTACAATTTTAATGTGAAATGTTTACTGATTATAATGTGCCTTTTCCTGTTTGTTTCTTATTGAAAATTAAAAATGTCAGTTCATTGGAACTTGCTAAGTATAGTACATATACAGACGAAAAAGAGAGAGAATTATAGTGAATTTGTTGCTACATGTTATGGTTTAGTCATTTACAACTTGTATATTTATAATATTACGATTAAAACTATTTTGTAGATAATATATCAAATTGGCTATGACTTTCCTATACTTATATAAAAATTATTACACATAACTACTCTACAGCAGTAGAGTTGAGAATTAAAAAAACTACTTCTAGCTAGCCGCGATTAAAAACAGTTATTTACAACTAACATTTCCCGTTAACTGACTGAGACATATTTTTTTATTTATATTTTGTTACTTCCACAATTTTTTGTACAATAGAGATTTCTAATTGACATTAATACGATAAGTACCAAAATACACACATATATATATATATATATATTTAAAACAATAAAAATAATAATTTTTTTTCATTTGCGAACGACTTTTGCGAGACTACTCCTTTATTTTGAGATCATATAATTAATGAATGTCCCCAACTGCAGTTGCCATTTTTCTGCAGTAAAATAAAAAAAAATTATTTATAATTTTAAATTTAATTGTTAATTATTTATCAATTTAAAACGGAAAAAAATGATGTAAGTATATGATATATTTTTTATTTGTTTGATAACAAAGAACGATTGTTTTCGTTTGCAATAATGTTTTAAAATTAAATGCATCAATTTTGGTGAAAATGTCAAATTGACTAATGAAAAAAGAGTTTCACTTTATTTCGAGAAATTAACTTTTCAACTTGGAATATTACACGGAAAGTGCATCATATTCTATTTAACACAAAATGAAATCATCTATAATTACCAGAAGATTTGTTTAAGAAAATAATATACCTACATATTTTTGGCAATAAAGAAATTCAAATAGCCTCCCAAGGACCTCCAAAACCTTGTCTGAATCCGCCACTATTAATGGAACAACATACCAAGATTGCTGTAAGATTGACGCGTAAGGTTTGTATGTACAATATTAAAGCCAATAGAAAGTAAAGTTGTTATACAGCTGAGTTTATTTTTATAAAATTCAACAATTACACGAAACAATATTCGAGGAGTAAAAGATAACTGGATTTAAGAGAAAAATATTCGCAAAATTAACAATTAACTCTGAAAAGGTCGCGGTAAAAAGGCTTGAATTTAAAAGAATTAAAATTTTCTTATATTCTTTGAAGTTTTTAATTTATTTACTTATTCTTTTAAATCCCGTAACCAATCTTTTAATTGAGGAGCCGGATCGTAGAACCGATTCTTCACTAATGCGCAAGTCCCCCGCGCAGCTGAAAGCTGGCTCACTTGAGGGACTCCGGAGAGAGCGAAGAATCGGTTCTACGATCCGGCTCCTCAATTATAATCTTCAAAATTGGAAAAAAATTAGAAAATATTAATTCTTTTCCATTCTAAAATATTTCCTTTTACGTAGTGGAATTGATCTATTATTTTAAAAAATTTTTTTCAATTTCATGACAGTTTGATTTGAAAAGATTAATTCATTTCTTTTTTTTCTCGAAGAGAATTAAAAGGAACGCAAATTTACTTATTATTTCTACTTCATTCTACATAACTAAACGTCAAGTGTTCGAGTGTGCATAACTATGTTTTTAAAAAAATCTTAGAGCTATTTAAAAAAATGAATTTCAAAGCTTAAAAGTACATAGTACTATTTGATGCTCTTGTGAAAAATAAAGAAAAAATATTGGTTTCTCATAAAAAAACTAACTACAGTCAAAATGTCCATTTAAACTTAAATTACAAAATAAAAAATTGACGCGGTAGAACAGTTTGGATTTAGTACTATAAACAATTCACACTACCGACCTTTGTTTGTAATTAAACATTTGCAGGCCTGTGAAATTAAGAATCACATTTTTATATCGCTTTACGTTTATTTTTGTACAACTTATAAATGTTTATAGTTCCTATTTTAATTTCGAATGACTTTTGTTCTGTATAATAATAATGGAGATAGTAATAGAGATTTGTTACATTTTTAGCGAATCTAATAAGCGAACAAGATGAAAGCATTAAGTAGAAATCTTTTTTGAATTAATTTTAATTCCAAGTTTTAAACTCTGACTTATTGTACGTGAATAATATGCATAATTTAAACGAGTTTTAAATAGTTTATACTTTTATATGTTAACTGTGTTTCATTCGAATATGATTCTTACAATTATCAATAAGTATATTGTTTTAATTCTACATGGAAAAAAATGTTCGACTTCAAGTTCTTTTTTCCTTTTAATAGCAGACATTATTTCTGGAACGTTATATGATCATTATTTTAAATATGAAAAGGTTTTAAGAGTAAATTTTCATTGTCGAAAATGATGATGCAACGTTGCAGAAACAAGCGGTGCTATTAAGGCAAAAATGTTGATGCGAACTCATAACGTGTTTCTCAAAAATTTTAGTTGTGTGAGTCATACTCTTTTCATTGCTTACACTGATAATAATAATTTATTTATGTTATAAATTTTATATTTATTTAGATGCAAATTTGGTTAGACTTGATTTGATCACTGTTGACTTTTTATTTCACTATTTGCTTGAAGGTAAGGTGAATTAGGAGTATGTTGATGTTTGTAAGTTTTATTTAAGGAAACAGTTTTCCCCTTGAAAGGCTGTTTCTTTTTTAACGATTCCTGCTTGGCACCTCTGCGTAAAACATAGTAGATAAAACATTGAATAAATTACGTTAAATTAATATGATTTATAGTATATGATAATATACCACTTACAGATATCGTGTGAGATCCTCTACATCTACTAGCATTGAGTCTTGTTCCATATGAAGATCGTCTCTCCTAAGTAAACCTTCTACTAAATTCTCGTTTAATGTGGCTATTCGTGCATGGAGATCATTTGCTAGAACTTGAAGTTGAGCAACATTCAGTTCCGTAAGTAACATTCGAGAAAGTCTTCGTCTTTCTTCACCCAGCTGTATGCCAATCTAATATAATTCAACATTAATCGACAATAGACTTATCTATCAGTTCATTTTTCATAAAAAGTCAAATTTTTTTTTTGCTAAATTTCAAATTAAAATACATTTTAATTGACATTTTAATTTTTAATATGAAAAGTACTTGAGTGAAACTCCGATTGTCAGCCATTCAAACCAATTAAAAGTTCTATCGATTATATTAAAATTAGAAAAGTGAATGTAAAGAAAATAAAATAAAAATAAAGAAGAATTTTTTAAAATATTACCTTCGCAAGACTCGATCGAACCATTTCCGTGATGGGACTATGTTTGAGTTTTTGCCTTTCAACTTCCACCTGCATATGAGCCATTTCTTTAGCTTGGGAAAGCGCAATTCGTGCTTCCATTTGCAATCTTGTTTGTCGAGCAAAAAAATCAGCTTCATCAATAGGTGCAGAATTAGAAACAATGTCAAGTCGTAATGGTGGAAGACTCAATACTTGAGGTATTAAATTTCTTCCAAGAATCTGATGACTTTGCCCTGTTACTATGGATGAGGTTGAATTCGACAAAATCTCCTTCTCCACGCTTGGAGATTCTGTATCTGATGATGCTTCATTCATAAAGCAGATTTGTAGATTCATACCTAGATTGTAATTATTATCAAGATGATAGTATACTTGGGAACAAGGTAAGATTTGAAAATTTACAAACCATTTTGAAGACGTGACTGAAGACTAGGTTTCTTGCCTTTTTCAGCTTTAAGTTCATCTGCATCTGAACCCATAGCCAACCTTTTTCGAATTTCTTCTCTGTCATTTCTTCTCTATACAAATAAACATTTTATATTTAAATCATGTGCCTAAACGTTCTATGGCAATAAATTATTCATTAAATTTATTCCGGCTAAAACCAAAATTTTGTTGGGATAACAAACAAATTTCATAACAAATATTTTTGCAACAAAGATAAACTTTGGTTATTCCAAACAAATAATTTTGTCGTCTATATTTAGTATACCTACATTGTGGGACCAGAATTCAAAGTGAATTATTTCATGGGAAATAACAACCTTTTAAACGTATTGTTACTTGTTTGCAAGTATGCATGGTAACCTGGCAGCAAACTTGTGACAAATACCAAAATATTAATGCATTAATTAAAATTTTAAAAAATTAAAAGCGAAAATTTTTTACAAGAGACTTGCAAAAAATTTAAAAATAATTTTACAGATATTAGAGTACTTTTAAAAACATTACATTTTTTAAAAAGAAATATTACTTTAGATAAAATCTCAAAATAGTTTGAAAAATTCTACGTTATTTCTAAAATGTATTTAAGTTTATTCTAGAATTTTTGTCAAAAATCTGCACTTATAGAGCATTTAAAATCTCTGGTAAATATTCAATAATAACCAATTAAAATTGCACAATTTAACACGACATGTATGTCTTGTTGAAACTAAGCTCTTTTTCACGTAGATTTATTTACCATTGACATTTACTTAATATTAATAACGCAATATGTAAATAATATTCTTCAAAATTATGTTTATCCTCTAAATATATAATTTAATTTGAAAATTCATATAACACAAAACTCCGTGTACATCACTTACCAGATCAATATCTTTGTCATATGTGAACGTATACAATTCGTTAATAAATCGCGAATCTTTTTTATAATGACTTTGATTTTTCCCGCTTCTAATCATCCTAATACCGTAATTTGATCAACAAATTAAGTAATTAAAATTGCTGTTTACATGTGATTATAAATTTAATAATAATAATAATATGAAGTGAATTAGACACGATATTATAGCATACCACGTACCGTTACTAAAACTGATCCATCTCGATAGACATGCTTCTATAATAGAGCTCAGTGAAAGTACAATGTATTGTGAAATTACATTTTACATTTACCAACTAGACATAAAAATAGATATACCTTGTTTTTATTTTTAAAAACAAGAAATGCAATTAAACAGATTCTGTACTTGATTTTTAAAAAAGTGAATTAATCTCCTTATTTCCGTATGCAGTATGATGTGCAAGCGCAGATCACCGCAAGACTATAATGTTTTGTTGATTTTTGTTTTTTTTTTTTTTTGGTAAAAAAAATGTAACTTACCCGACGTTCTTCTTCTCTTGCTGCTTTTAAATGTATTTCTATTGCATCCAAGTCAATTTTAGGCATTGCTGTTTCAATATTGTAGACATCAAAATCGCCTGAAAGGATTTTTTTTTCATAACAATAGGGGAAAAAGCAAAAAAGAGCGTGAATATAACTAAAAAGATTATTATAATATAAAATATTTAAAAAGGTACAAATTTTTCAAATTTACCGGCTAAATTTTCAACATCTGTGGTACACTTATCTGAACATCCAAAATGAGTATGTTCTTTTCTCTTGGCTTGATTTTTAACCATTTTCTCTTTCTTCTTGAAATCTGGGATTGAAGTTTCAGGTAATTCTCTATCCAAAAGTTTATTTGTATCCACCTTTTGAGCTTCCTTCACGAATGCATTAGTAAATCGTGTTCTCGATGATCGAATTTCAACTGTTTCCATTGCAATTACGTCTGGTACTGGTTGAACATATTTCTCAAGATCAACACCAATGTCACGTCCGATACTAGATAAAAGATCAATTTCATCTAGTTTTGAGTAAGGTTGATTTTCTTCTGAATAACTTTCAGAGTCAGTGTTATTTGCCGAATCTTCGACATTATTGGTAATAGATGCCCCCATTTGACGAGGCAATTCTTTTGCTTCTCGTATCAAGTCAACGTCTTCAGATATCTAAAATTTAACATGATAAAATAAAATTTTCAACAGATTTACGGCAGACTTTAAAATAGAAAATTCTCGCGCATTATTTTTAATTATAACTTGATGACGCAAACTTTATCTGCAAGATTTCAACAAATTTTGCAGTTTTACTCTTGCAAACATTCTAAAAATTGTCATGCTATCTATGATACGATACTTTCACTAACCTCACTCGTTTTAGTGAATTCAGATATTTCTTCTATTTCCGGAAATTGAAGACTTTCTTTAACACTAGTCATCAATTCGACAATTTCAACTTCAACTACTGAATCTTCTGTTTTGCATTTTCTCAGAGCAGTCTCGAACAGTTGAAAATTATTTTTCTCTGTGAAATTTTCTACTGTTTCATTAACTTTTGATTCTGCAACATCCTCGTTTTGGGAAATTTTGACAGCTCTTACATAATTTATGCACTTTTCTGATGGAGTTATAACTGAATCACAAAGAGAAGATATATTCTGGAAAATAAATTGTTATGAATGTGACGATCATTACGCTATACATTAGTAAAAAGAATAAAACTTTTTCAATAATTTAAACATACATGAATGTTGAATTTTGGTTTGTCGTAAAATGTCTTATGCTCAAAATTATGACCACTGAGTTGGTTGATATTTTCCGAAGTTAATTGCTCTTTAATGTTATTGTTGAATTCATTTCCAATATCAACAGAATCTTGAATTTTGTTTACTCTTGGAATATCGTGTATGTCTAATTCATCTTCAGTCAGGTCAGTGTCAGAAAGTAAGGATGGACCGAGGTGATGAAATCCTGGGTAATTAGGGTTAACAATACCGCGACATCCCGGCGGTACATTGCTATCTTCTGACCAATCAGACCAATCTGATGGTGCTGATTCATGTGAATGATCTTCAGATTCTGCAAAAATTTTAACAATATGGCTGCTTTTAACATCTCAGTAATGAGACTGGAGTAGAAGGCGGAATTAAAGATATTATAATTCTATTTAATTCGGAAAACTTCCTTTATTTTTAATTTCACATGTAGAATAGAAATAATTCTTCCAATTACCTTCGAAAAAATGAAAAAAGATTAAACTTAGGAGTAAGTTGACAAAAATAAAACTTTCAAATTAAACCCATTTCTGAAGAAATCCTTTTCAGGATTTGAAAATCTTCAATATTTTATACTTTATCTAACGAAACTTGTTCAATAAGAAAAAATTCTTTCAACTGCAAAACGACTGTCTTTTTAAAACATTTTCTTTATCTGTTATAGAATAATTTTCATAATCATGAAATGAATCGTTTAATCGTAAAAATTGACTGAAGTTCATTTATAAGGAAAAATTCATTTCAATGTCAAAAGAAATAATCTTATCTCAAGAATATATTCTACATATTTTATAGGTATAGTGAGTTATTCTTTTTATTTTTATGTTTGACAAAGATTTTGAATTTAAATTAAATTCTATTTACCTTAAAATGAAATCATCTAATAACAAGAGTTAAGAAAATTGAACACAAGTTGCATTTTTAAATAGAAAAGAATTAATTTTTCAAATATTCGCCCCAGTTTGGTGGTAGTGCAAATAGGCATAGGAGGGAATTTTCCGCATTAAATAGAATAAACTAAAAATTTTAGAGTGAGATACTTTTAATTTTTGTCAATTTAACTTCATACCTTCTTATCGGGAAGTACAATAGAGTTTAACAATGCCGTATTTCAAAAGATTTTTTTATTTCATACAAATAAAATTAATATACCTTCGAAATCTTCGAGACTTTCAGTAGAACTACTCTGATAAAGTTTTGAGACTGGGAAAATGTTGTTGATATTATTGCAACTGCCAGAATCAAGATTCGCGTTAGTTCTACTATTCGCAATGGAAGACCATAAACTGGTGTCCTCAGCAATTTGAAAATCTGCGTTTTTTTCTTCGTCAATTGTAGTTGGATCGTTGTGATTTTTAACTTCGTCGAGGTTTTCAAGGTCAAAAGAATTTCTGTGTGATTGACTTGAAAAAAAAATTATTAACATTATTTTGGTTATTCTTTTTTTAGAAATAAAATTTACTAATTTAATAAACATTTAGTTCAATCATTTTCATTAATTTTTGAGCTCAAGTATTTATGTATTGTAAAGTTCACACTTGTAAACTTAGGAAGACTTTCTGATTTAGATTTTCAAAAAAAAAAAAAAAAAATAATAAAAACTTTAAATGCGTTTTTATCGAAAACACGTTTATCAAACTAATGTACCAAAAAAGCTACTTTTTGGAAGACGCCAGCTATAATCTCCAAAATAAAATGAAATTATTAAAAATAATTTTTTTAAACACATACATACAAACATACTTTTTTACAACATTTAAAAAAATTGTGTTTTTGGTGTGTTATTGTAAATTAGAAAGTCCCCTTATAATTAAACAATTATACACAGAGAAAAATATTTAACCTTTACTTACATACAGTGGATAACATTTATTATACAGGGTGTTCCAAAAGTATGGAAACTTGCAAATATCTCGAAAAGTACGAATTTTCGTAAAAAATGTTCAAGACAAAAGTTGTTCCACACAAAAAGATGTACATCTTTGAAACCAAAAAATTGGTCCCGAAGCCCAATGTTGGGCCCTACAATGGAAAAAGTGGTTTTCTTAAATGAGACCACTATTTTTCAGTATCAAATTCGTAATCCCCATGAAATTCTGCGTTCAGACATGTGGTATAAGTGCCCAAAATATTGGGCCCACTCCAAGATATTGGGTCCAAAATTTATCAACAGATAAATAAATTTTAAAAAATCGCATCTTGGAGGGATTTTGAGATCACAGGATTAGAAATTGGAAGCTAATTTTCCAATTGGGCATAGAGCCCAATGTAAGATTCCGCGGCCCACAGTAAAAAAAATTAGTTGTCTTTAATTTACCACAAGTCTAAGCCCAGAATTTCATAACGATTACGAAATGGAAGGAAACTAATTTGAATTTCTAATCCTGTGACCCCAAAAATGCGATTTTATAAATTTATTTATTTGTCAAAAAATGTTGAGCCCAATATTTTTGGCTTTTGTACTTCAAGTCTAAACCCAGAAATTCATGGGGATTACGAATTGGATACTGAAAATTAGTGGTCTCATTTAAGAAAACCACTTTCTCCATTGTAGGGCCCAACATTGGGCTCCGGGCCCAATTTTTTGGATTCAAAGATGTACATCTTTTTGTGTGGAACAACTTTTGTCTTGAACATTTTTTACGAAAATTTGTACTTTTCGAGATATTTGCAAGTTTCCATACTTTTGGAACACCCTGTATATATAAATTAAGAATACAAATTTATAGAAAAAATGTTTCTTTGAAATATTTTTTTATAAAATAAATATTATTTTATTTTACATCAACAAAACTTGTTGACAATAATACTATTTATTCAGTAACTATAAGTGGACGAAATGTATATCATATAGCTATGACTTCTTTATATACAATAATTTAAAAAAAAAAATTTTTATTAAAAATTGTTTAAAATAATTTTAACAAAATTATTATTACTTAACAAAAGTATAACTGACACAAAAATTTATTTTTTTCATTTTTAAAATTATTTTTTCCTTATATAATTTCTTTTTCTCTCTCTAAATTTTTTTTTGCATTTCGACGAGAACAATTGAATTTTCGTCTGTGCATCACGGTGACTAAAACAGATGTATCTTTTTCAATTTCTCTATAAAATGAAAAAATCTGTTAGATACGTGTTTCTATTTATTATCTTTCTCATGAGAATGAAAAATTTTTAATTTTGTAATAATTTTAAAAAAAGTTACAGACAAATTTAGTCACTGTGACGAACCCCTGTTGAAAATTCCGACCTCGTTTACGACGTCGTATTCTAAGTAGTTTGCGACGTAGTAAACGACGTAGTAAACGACGTAGTAAACGAAGTAGTAAACGACGTCGTAAATGAAAGCGGAATTTGGGATAGCAAACTACGTCGTTTACTACGTCGTTTACTACGTCGTTTACGATGTCGTTTACTACGTCGTTTACTACGTCGTTTACTACGTCGTTTACGATGTTGCAAAAATTATTTTAATATTATTTATTTAGTAATTTAGTAAGTCCAATATCCAATATTAAAAATTTTAATAATAATTTAAAAAATCAATAATTTAAAAAAAAATTTATTTTTATTATTTTTTTATAGTTATTATTATTATTTTACTTTTAATATTTAAATTAAAATAAAAAAATGGTCATCAAAATATTAGTGAAACCATTTCTTCCAAAAAAGAATTTGTCTCAAATCCAATAAAGGAGAGACATCGGGCAGAAAAAAATTTCGACAAAAAAAAATTTTTCGATCACTGCTTATATACCAATCTAAAGGCACCTCAACTGCGAGAAACAGTTATGATGTTCGCCCTCCCTGTGGCGTTGAGCGAACTTAAGTCCAGAGCTGAGCCATCAGCGCAGCGCGGAAACATTTGAAAAATTTGATTTTATTAGATATTTTATTTTATTTTAAATATGACAAATAATTAACTTAATAAATAATTAATGTCATAAATAATTATTAATAACATAATGTCATACTTAATAATTCGTTAATTAATTATTTTTAACGAAAATTTGACAAAAACAAAATTTGTTGGCCAAAAAAAATATTACCATTAAAAAATAATTTTTTTGTTAAAATTTCGTAGTAAAAAAAATTTTTTCAAGACAATTATTTGTGACCTAAAAAAATATCACGATGAGAATATAATTAACAAAAAAAATTACTCGTAGCACAGAAAAAATTTCACCATGAGAAAATAATTTTTTTTAAATTTTATTTGTAAAAAATTTATTGGTAGCTCAAAAAAAATATCACGATGAGAAAATAATTTTTTGTCAAATTTTCTCTGTAAATAAATTAATTAACTAAATAACGTACCGTAAAACGGGGTTATTTCGCTCATTGCGGGTAAATTCGCTCACCCACTTTTATGCTTTATTTCAGCTTTAAAATAAAGTTTAATACCTTTATTAGCAGGTAAAAATGTTAAATTTGTTAATAGAAATACTAAATTTTAGTTTTTAATCAAATTTAAAGCAAAAAAATGGGTGAGCGACTTTACCCGCACTGAGCGAAATAACCCTGTTTTACGGTAATTATTATAGTTACTTAATTTTTTACTACGAAAATGTAACAAAAAAATATTTGTAGAACAAAAATAATATCAAGATGAGAAATTTAATTATCTTTAAATTTTCTCTGTAAAAAAAATATTTTGTGGCCTAAAAAAATTATATCACGATAAGAAAATAACTTTTTTGTCAAATTTTCTCTTAAAAACAATTAATTCACTAAATACCGTAATAAATCGTTGATTTTTTTTACTACGAAAATTTACCAAAAATTTATTCGTAGCACAAAAGAATATCACAATGATAAAATAATAATTTTTTTTCAAATTTTCTTTGAAAAAAAAAATTCGTGTTTTTAAAAAAAATCACGATGAAAAATAATTTTGTTGTAAAAATTTCTCTGTAAAAAAATTTAACAAAAAAATTATACGTAGCACAAAAAAATATTACGATGAGAAATTTACTTATTTTAAAATTTTCTCAATAAAAAAATTATTTGTGGCCCAAATAAAATATCACGATGAGAAAATAATTTTATTTGTCAAAATTTCTCTGTAAAAAAAATTAATTAAATAATTATATAATAATAAAATGTTTGGTCTGTCTTTCTGTCCTAACTTGAAGTTGGCCTTTTCTGATTTCACGTATTTTTTTGAATATAGTAATCTTATGACGTGTCAAATTTTGACAATTCTTTTTCTCATTTTTGCCAAAGTTGTATAATTGTGTTTCCAAATTTCGGAATAAGTTTCTTTAAAATTCCAAATTCGAAAATTCAATTCACGAAGCTGAAGTACACAACGTTTACCAACGAAAATTTTTTTAAAGTTGTATATTGATTCAAAAATTGTATACAAATACAAAAAATTTATAATGAGAAAAAAGATGCGCCAGGAAATTTCGTACAAGATAGTAATTTGAAAAAAATTTATTTTTAAGGTACCAGGGGCCAACGATTACCTATTAAATATTAATTATAAAAACACAGGCCTCGAATCAACTTAAAGACACAAAACAGTCGTTTTAGTCGATTTATATTCCAAAAAAAAGTGGATTTGTTTTTCATTTTAACAAAAATATTTTACAGATTTTTAAATAAAAATTTTTTTTTAATAATAATCCTTTTCGAAGGGTTAAAGTTGAAATTTTTAGAAATAATTAAATTTCAAAAGATATAGTTAATTTTCAAACAATTATTAAATTTTACAGATCTAAAAATAATTTATCAAACAATTTTTGGAAAACATTTTTTAAATTTAATTGAATTTTCAAAGATTTAAAATTGAGATTTTTGAAATTAATTGAAACTTTAAGTGTTTTGTAATTAAAATTTTAGATGATTTCACTAAAAATTTATTAGAAAATGCGGACAAAATACAATAATTTGAAAATCATTTTTAATTGAAAAATGGTTTCACATAGTTGAATTTTCAAAGAATATTATTAAAATAGTTAAAAATAATTGAATTTCCTTAGAGTTATAATTGAAATTATTAAATTTCAAAAAAAAAAAATTTCGATGGAAAATTTTAGAAATTTTAGATGCTTTTAAATTCAAATTATTGAAAATTCAATTAATTTTGAATTAAAAATTTTGGGAAATACTTGAATTTTACTTGAAATTTTTTATAATAATTTAATTTAAGTTCATTTTTGATTGAAAATTTGGATAATTAATTTTGAATAGAAATTTTAGAAAATAATTGAATTTTATTTCATTTTAAATTGAAAACTTGGTAAATAATTAAATTTTAAATTGAAAATTTTGGATAATTATTGAATTTTAATTGATTTTGAATTAAAATTTCGGGTAATAATTGAATTTTAGTTTATCTTGAATTGAAATTTTTAAAAAATAATTCAATTTTATTGTGATATTTTTTTTAAATTATAAACAATTGTTAAATTTCATAAAAATTTTAATTGAAAAATAATTTTGATATAATTGAATTTGTGATGTATTTCATTAAAATTATTAAAAATAATTAATTTAGTGAAGAATCATTTTAGTTCAAAATTTGTTAAATAATTGAATTGAAGAAGATCTGAAGAAGATCTACATTTTATACCAAAAAAAATGTATTTTATTTACATTTTCTTTTCAAATGTAAAAAACAAGTCGCATTTTATTAAAATAAGTTGATAAAAGTCGTATTTTTGAAAAAAGTCGGAAAAAGTCGTATAATCCGAGGCCTGTAAACATATAATTTTCATTATTATCATTTAATATGTTATAATATTCTAATAAATTAAATTATTATTAATAATATTAATCTTTAATTTCTTTATAACAAATAATTAAATCCTCAATTTGGCGCGCTTGCGCGCGTTAGTTTTGCTAGTTAGCTTAATAATTAGTTCATTAATTTTTTTACTACGAAAATTTAACCTGCTAATAAAGGTATTAAACTTTATTTTAAAGCTGAAATAAAGCATAAAAGTGGGTGAGCGAATTTACCCGCAATGAGCGAAATAACCCCGTTTTACGGTACGTTATTTAGTTAATTAATTTATTTACAGAGAAAATTTGACAAAAAATTATTTTCTCATCGTGATATTTTTTTTGAGCTACCAATAAATTTTTTACAAATAAAATTTAAAAAAAATTATTTTCTCATGGTGAAATTTTTTCTGTGCTACGAGTAATTTTTTTTGTTAATTATATTCTCATCGTGATATTTTTTTAGGTCACAAATAATTGTCTTGAAAAAATTTTTTTTACTACGAAATTTTAACAAAAAAATTATTTTTTAATGGTAATATTTTTTTTGGCCAACAAATTTTGTTTTTGTCAAATTTTCGTTAAAAATAATTAATTAACGAATTATTAAGTATGACATTATGTTATTAATAATTATTTATGACATTAATTATTTATTAAGTTAATTATTTGTCATATTTAAAATAAAATAAAATATCTAATTAAATCAAATTTTTCAAATGTTTCCGCGCTGCGCTGATGGCTCAGCTCTGGACTTAAGTTCGCTCAACGCCACAGGGAGGGCGAACATCATAACTGTTTCTCGCAGTTGAGGTGCCTTTAGATTGGTATATAAGCAGTGATCGAAAATTTTTTTTTTGTCGAAATTTTTTTCTGCCCGATGTCTCTCCTTTATTGGATTTGAGACAAATTCTTTTTTGGAAGAAATGGTTTCACTAATATTTTGATGACCATTTTTTTATTTTAATTTAAATATTAAAAATAAAATAATAATAATAACTATAAAAAAATAATAAAAATAAATTTTTTTTTAAATTATTGATTTTTTAAATTATTATTAAAATTTTTAATATTGGATATTGGACTTACTAAATTACTAAATAAATAATATTAAAATAATTTTTGCAACATCGTAAACGACGTAGTAAACGACGTAGTAAACGACATCGTAAACGACGTAGTAAACGACATCGTAAACGACGTAGTAAACGACGTAGTAAACGACGTAGTTTGCTATCCCAAATTCCGCTTTCATTTACGACGTCGTTTACTACTTCGTTTACTACGTCGTTTACTACGTCGCAAACTACTTAGAATACGACGTCGTAAACGAGGTCGGAATTTTCAACAGGGACGGACAGAATGCCCGCGCTTATTCATGAAAGTGCCTCTTCTTTTTCTCTGAATAAAATTTTTTTTTCTCTATACATTTGTATGTATATATAAAATTTTTCTTCAAATAAAAATATATATTTTTGTTAATTTCGCAAGGTTGAATAGATGTACGAAATTCGGAAGATGAATCGTTATAATACGAATTTCTGTGCTATAAATATAAAAAAAATGATCCACGATTAAAAAACCAGCCTAGATTTTTCAGGCGGAAAATCGCGTTGAATTTTTTTTCACTTCTTTAATCGTAAGAGATATTAAGAAATGGACATGAAAAGTAAATGGACATGAAAATTGGATTCTTCTTGCGAAATTTAAAATACAAATTTCATTCATAATTCGTACGAATTTTCGTATGAAAAAGCGTTTTAAAACGTCTTACAAATTCCATTCGAATTTATAAGGGAAATCTACACGAATTCCGCATGAAATTCTTCCGAAAATCGTACGAATAGATTTAACTATAGAGAATGCTTCAGAAGTACATATAAAATCAATTGTAAGCATTTTTGTAACTATCACGAAACTTATGATAAATATATGCCAGGAACAAAAAGATAAATATAATGTATTCGTATTTATGTTAATAACATAAAAACATTTAAGAATCGTTCTTCATAATTATTTACAACTCAATTTATATTTATTAGCACATACACTTAATGTAAATTGCAAAACGTCTAAAAGAAACCTTGTAGCATAAACTTGCAGTAAGTAAATACTTAAAAATATTTTCTTAATTCAAAAATGTTTTTAAAAATTGAAGTTGTAAACCTATAGGTATATATATATATATATATGTGTGTGTGTGTTTATTTATAAATTATTATTTACTTGTTATTTAGAACAAAATGCGATGGTACCGAGATGTCGGCATCCTTGAACCGCATTGCGCTTTTTCCCCTGTAAACAAAAAAAATACGCTTTTAAAAATTTTCTATTTGTTACGAATATCTATTCAATGGTAATTGAAGCATTCTTTTTCGTTTATTTTAAATAAAGTGAATAGTTATATGCAATTATCAAACATTAATGAGATAAACTAAATATTAATCATGAAAGTAAATAAAATTTTCCTTTTAATAAGTTTTTCCATACCTTAGTTATGCTTTTGATCAAAATAATATTAAGACTCACGTACCGTTTACCATATTGCAGTTGCGCGCATAGTTGTCCGCGTTTCGCGTGGTTTATCGACTTACGACTGACACCCACCCTTATTTTGTTCTTTTTTACCACCATCCCATTTTATCACTATAAATATCAATCCCATTTCTTATTATTTTCTTTTATTATAGCTATTTTGCGTCTTAATTTTTTTTAGGTTCAAAGCTTGAAAATTATTATTAAAATAAAAAATCTAATCTTTTTTAAACAATAGTAAATATATGTAACAATGGCACTGAAAGAAGATACAAAATTACTAAATGTTTAAGATGTGGATGAAAACGTTTAGCAATCGATATTAAATAACATGAAAAATAAATGTCTATTTCATTTTAATTTACAAATATTCATTAATAATACATACCTTAATTTTTAAGAACTCGTAATTCCAATTTCTGGATTTTCTGTGTTTAAACTGACAGAGCTGTGTTTGACCTTTTTCAATTCGCCTTTTGTAATTAGGTGGGGGGAGGAGAAAATCCAATATGGATGCAAACTGAGGATATAACTCTACATTAACATTTGACAATGTGGGACATATTTTTACATTTTAATTATCCCCATTAGACGAATTTTTTATTTATTAGAATTTTAGTTTCTATTTTTAATGAGAAATTTAATCAACCTAATACAAACTCATTTTAGTTTTCTTAATTTTTTAACTTGTTTCATTTACGGTGTTCCGCAGTACAGCACATTGTAAAAATTGGCCGCAAATTCATATATGTATACTTAACTTTAAAATAAATAATTTTTTCTGACAATCGTAAAGTTATCTCAAAATCTACAAAATAACACGTATCCTCTATTTTTAATCTTTCATTTGCGCATAGGAAATTAAAAAATTTTTATTAAGGCATCAGAAAGTAAAATCAGAAAATTTCAAACGCCATCAGGTAGTGCCATCTAGTGTTTCTACATTTGTTTAATGACTTCGCTTTTTACTTCTTGTCGTTGTAAATGTGAATAAATTTTTAATTTCTTGGTCACAAATGAAAGTTCAAAAATTCAGGATAACTACTACTTTTTCGGAATTTGCGATACTTGTCCGATTTAAGAATAAAATCCTTTTTAAAATCAAGATTACAAATTGGCGGCCATTTGTAAAAATATATATGCACTGAGGATCACCGATAAGCAGTTTTTTATAATTTAAACTTAAATTGAAGTAATTATGTGTTTTTCAATATTTCGTTTAAAAATTATATGTTCGGAAAGTAAATTTTTTAATACATTATTATTTTTAATCCAAAGCTGTCCAACAGTTTATTGCACCTATTTTAACGCATGCTGTAATTTATTTTTTCAAATTCATTTTTGTTTTTGCTTTTATGTTTTCTTTCGCATTATATTAATATTACAGTGTGTTCGTTTTTTTAGTAATTCGTTATTATTACATGATAAATGATAATCTCCTGTAAATATCTAAATCATTAAGGGATTCCCGCATTTCCATTCTCTCTTTCGAAAGACACGAAAGCTTTTCTTTTTTTGGGATAAGGAGATTCTACAATAGGTCCAAAAATCAAGTTAAGGCGGTTCCAGCATAGGTGCAAGAGCTAAGTATGTACACTCATGGTCAGATATGCCCATACTTTTTTTGTTCTTTTCCAACTCATATGTTGCCATGACAACACGTGCGTAAGACAAGGACAGAAAAGTATAGGCATATACGGCCAAAAGTGTACAAGTAGTTCTACAAAAGGTGCAAAAGGCAAGTGTAAGTCCAAAAAAACCATGAGTGCAAGAGAGATAGACTACCAGAAATTAGGTTTCTATTCCAGAATTAGGCTCTGTCACTTGTGACATCAGGGGTCCTATTCTCGAAATCATTCGAATATTGTTCGTATGCGAGCAAATTCGATGGGTAAGTTTCGTGCACGAAGCAACAACCATATTCTCGAGCACCATTCGAAACTTCGTTCGACGATCGTTCGTAGACGAATAGGTTGTATAGTGTTGCCGTCGTTTATTTCTAGTGACTTTCCAGTGTAATTTTTTTGAACCAATGAAATTACTTATGATATAAGAAATATTTATTGACTGCATCATTATTATTATTATTATTATTATTATTACTATCATTATAATTATTCTCATTATTATTATTATTATTATTATTATTATTATTATTATTATTATTATGAATGAAACTCTATAATTGATTACAATTCGAAACTTTGAATCCCTTTTAATATGTGTACATAATATTATTAAATAATACTACTGCGCATGAGCAGTACCAAAATTCGAACACGAAACTGTTGCTTCGAGTGGTTAAGACCACTCGTTGCATTTCACTCGAATCGTTTCGTCTATGAACGCCTAGTGAACAGTTCGAGAATACAGTTTTCGACAAAGTTATTCGAAAGTCTTCGATTCGTGCACGGAACTCATTTCGAGAATAGCACCCCTGATCGAAATTTGAGGTATAAAAGCACCTTAATGGAGCGGTTACACCTCGGCTGCAGGAGCAGTTGCCCATGGCAACCGTGTAAGAGTAAGAGAGATAGATTTTCCATCTCTCTTACTCTTACATGGTTGCCATTGGCAACTGCTCCTGCAGGCGAGGTGTGACCGCTCCATAATAGGTGCAAAAGTAAAGGTGGTTCCAGAATAGGTGCAAAAGCCAAGTACAAGTGCAAGGCCAAGTGACAATCTCATGAGTGCGAAAGAGATAGGTAGTCTATCTATCTCTCTTGCACTCATGGGATTTGCACTTGGACTTGCACTTGTACTTGGCTTTTGCACCTATTCTGGAACCACCTTTAAGGTATGCTTTTAAGTTGGTTTTGTTTGTTGGCCTCTTGTCCCAAAGGTCAAATAGCCATGACTCGTAAGGAGCTTTTATATTTCTAGTATTTTGGTTAAGAAATCGCATAGGCTGGATTGAATTTTCATGGTTGTATCACTGAATGTGATTGACTCTGACAAATATTCCATTTCCACTGTGAAAATTGAATATTTTTAGAGCTAATCAAATTCAGTGATTCGCCGTGAAAATTCAATCCAGCCGATCGTTTGACCAAAATACAGGAGGTATAAAATACGGAAGCTTCTATGCGCCACCACTAAGCACTCACTCGCATTACGAAGCACGATTAAAATCGACCAACTCGTGCGTGCCTCGTAGCGTGCTCCGTATCCGTATCTCACGGAAGCTTTGACGATGCTTATTTGTTTTGATTGCAAACCCAGTATAATTATTATTTTTATTGTTATTACCGTGTTTTAATAAATAAAATGACATCAAATGTAACAAAACAGTTAAATAAAAATTAATTTATAAGCATAAATAGATTTTTATAGGTACTGGTTAACATTATCGATAGAATATTATTTACAGTGATTAAATATAATAAGTGCAAAAATGTTTACGTTTATCCAATTTGTTTAAGTCTTAAAATTTAATTTCGTTTTTTACATAAATTACAAGTTAAAAATCAGATAATAATTTCATTTCTTTATACTTAAATGTTGTTAAATATACATATATTGTTGTTATTTAAAACTTGATAAATATTTTTATTTTTTATTTAACGTATTAAAATCAACTTCATCTTGAAACCTTTTTATCAGTAACATATTTCTCTATTTCTTAATATTTTCTTTGTAAATAATTTATATCAGCAATGTATGTATATAATATGACAGAATAAATATAAAATTTCCAGAAATAATTTTTTTATTTTGTTTTTAACAAAACGATCATATATTAACCTTAAACTAATAAAACGAAAGCACATTCAAAATCCAACTGTTTAATAAAATCTATCAAGAATACGAATATTTTTGATTAAGTATATCAGATAATTTTACATTTGATGTGATTTCTTTTTTTAAAACACGGTAATAACAATAAAATAATTATACTGGGTTTGCAATCAAAACAAATAAGCATCGTCAAAGCTTCCGTGAGATACGGATACGGAGCACGCTACGAGGCACGCACGAGTTGGTCGATTTTAATCGTGCTTCGTAATGCGAGTGAGTGCTTAGTGGTGGCGCATAGAAGCTTCCGTAATAAAAGCACCTTTAGCATAGCAGTATACTGCATAGGGCGGTATTCATAGTCGATACTCATTTCTTAAGCAGCGACTTAAGCTGACACCTAGATTCATAGTCGTGCATTGTGGATTGACTTAAGTCGCAACTTAAGCATTTGCTTAAAGAAGTAAATGCTTTGATTTTGAGATGCATAGTCCCATCTTAAGAATGCCAAGTATTCATAGTCAAATAGGATTTTCTTATTTGACATTACCGGTGAACTTATTTGAACGAATTGAGGTTATGATTTAAAGTCAACGTTTTAGTTGACTTAAGCAATAACTTATTAGTGTATTTATAGTGAAAAAAGTGTTAACAATGGATATAATGCATTATTTAAGAGACATTGAGGATGATATTGATAATGAAGATGGTCCAAACAATATAAGACGTGCAAAACGATACATTCGAGATGCGGAAAATTCTTTTGAAATAGATGAGTGAGAGTTTCAGAGACGTTATCGTTTTCACTCCACGCAGCCTCCTTAGCTTTCAAGGAACAATCGCTTTTGCGATTTTCAATAACATGGGCAAAAATTTTGATAGTTTGCAGGAAAAGTTTTCTTTATCCGTATTGGTGTAATGCTTTTTAGACATTTTATTACTACAAAAAGTTTCATTAATTAGTATTAAAATTTAGTATTATTTATAATAATTTAATTATTTATTGTTTACAAATTTTATATTCCATTATATTTTTATTTTAATATATAATTTAAGGGAGTGAGAGTAGCAGATTTATATTTGGATACATTTATTATTTCTACAAGAAAAAAGAATTTATGTATGAAAGTAGTTATTTTATGTTTATAAACAATTAAAATTTTTTAGCGTACAGCACTTTTTTAAAAACGAGAGTATATAAGATAAGATATAAAAAAAATTACCAGTCTTTTTAATTTGAAAAAGAAAAAATAAATTGTGTTCTACAAATTGTACGCCTAATTTTAAAAATATTAATGTTAATATATTGATCATTATTTTGAATATTTCACTATTATGTATCATTATTTATCAAATTTTAAATATATTTCATTCGTTGATTATTAAAAATTTTTACTTTTAAACAACATTAATTATATTCACAGGTTTATATTTTTGAATTTTGTTTTATTACTGTTTTTTATTACAAACATTTAATAAGAAAAATATTTTACAAATTTACTTTTTTCAAATGATTAAACAAAACAATTTTATAAATAACATTAAAAACGCTGAAACGAAAAACTCAAATTGAATACAACGCAAGTATAAATATTCCTTGGCGCATTGAGGCGAATTTTCAAAACCATTTCTTATTGGTGGATTCAAAAGAATATTGACGGAAAAATCCGATCGTTCAATAAGATCATCTTAAGCATTTGCTTGGTCAAGAAATTCTTAAGCTGCATTTCCTTTACCAAGCAATTGCTTATTTTTGACTATGAATATATATGGTCTTAAGCTCGACTCATTCGAATAAGACCGTCTTGATCAAGCAACTCTTAAGTCCTTGCTTAAGTCGGAACTATGAATACCGCCCATAGAGTGTGAGTATGCCTTCATTCATTAAGGAGGTTCTACAATAGGTGCAAAAGGCAAGTGAAAGTCCAAGAAAACCATGAGTGCAAGAAAGATGTCTAGCAATCTCTCTTGCACTTGTAGTTAAGTTAGATTTGAAATTGCCTTCTGCACTTATTGTAGAACCACCTTTAGGGTGGCGTAGTATAGAGGCGCTTCGGTAATTTTGCCTATTGTGGAATTAACCTGATTTGTCCGTGACCATATAGTTAACCTAAAAAAAGGTTATTGAAACGTTTTAATCGGTATAAATATAAATTATAGTATTGAAATTTCTTTTTAAATTTTGAAGGGGGTTTTAATATGATTTTATGTGAAGACAGTTTTAGTTATAAATTATTAAACCTAAATTTGTGAATATTTAAGTTCTTGATATTAGGGTATCAAAAAAATTAAAATAATTGAGCAATTTTTTATGACAAAAATTTAGTTGGCAACTTAATTAAATTTTTTTAGAGGTTAAAGGTACAAGAAATACAGTAAGTGACATATAAAAGTAGTTGATTCAATGAATAATCTTTATATAATTGACTGTATTAAATAGGTATGTCCTTTTGGTTAATACAGGTGAAGAGCAAGTTTTTTCAAATGGATTTAATTGTTTATCATCAGCGAATGAAGCTCTATAGTTTATTTATCAGAACAGTTTCGAATTATTTGCCAAGTACATGTTGTCAGTCATCTATTTGTGTTACGCAAATTAATAGAAAGCTGCAAGATAGTGCTTTTAGAGGTAGGATTAAATACGTTCTTTTGAAACTGTATGTATGTTTATTATAACTGATTGTAAGTACTGTATTGTACTAAAATACTTTATAAACTAATTTTTGTAAAATAAATGAAAATGTATTTTAGAATATTCCACTAATGTTGAAAAGACAACCTGTCAACGACTTTTACCAACTTATATTTCTACAAATCAAAATTTTTTTGACCGTGGGTACCGTAAATTTCAATTGCAATCAAGAGTTTGTAAATACACCACTGAGAGTTCTAGAAAAGATGCAAACAATTCTTCCGAAGTTCAACAAACCCTTTTTCAAAGGATGAAACAGATGGCAAAGGATTATTGGTACATTTTAATTCCAGTGCACGTGGCTACTTCAATTATATGGTTTTCAGTATTTTATATAGCTGCAAAAAAGTATGTAACTTTATAACATACTACATATAATTACTAAACTAGTAGTACTCACTCATATAACTTGTTACACTTGCCTGAATATTATGGTGTAAAGTCTAAAATATTCAGGTCAGGCAAGACTGCTAATATCTGCTTTGCAGGATTCAGTAAATCTTAGTACATTCAATTTCTGCCCTCTATATTTATATATATAAAAATTGTCCATATTTAATGGTTTCTTGCGGTGCAATATTTCTGTAAAGTTATATTTTCTTAAGCTTGCAGAGCAACATTTCTTTCTGATAGTAGCTTTGTACAGCTTTAAACATGACGTGTAATATTCCTGCAAGGCGGAGATTGATAACTTTGCATTATATTCCATCACAATGTAGGAAAAAAAACTCGTAAAATTAAAATATTTATGTTTTACCTAATCTTTTAGTGGCGTCAATGTTGAAGAAGTTCTGAGATATTTAAATTTAAGTGAAACATACCTGGAAAAAATTCGCAATTCTAGTGCCGGTCACTTGGCAGTAGCATATGCTTTGTATAAAGTGTGTACCCCATTCAGATATACTGTCACACTTGGTGAGTTTCTAAGTTTAATTTTTGTATTTTTCTTTTCTTTATAGCCTCTAAATTATGCTAAACGTTTTTTTTTTAAATTTGATTTTTCTTAAGCTCTATATAATAAATAAAAATATGCATGATCAGAATCTTCCGAATATTTTGATCACCCTATTTAATGTAAAATTGTTTTTTGCAATATAAATTTTAAAGATTTATTGGAAGTTCGATGCTTAACGTTAAAAATGTTTAGTTCAAAAGCACCAACTAACTACATATAGATTAATTTATATCTAATCTTTATTGAAAAGTACATATTTTAAATTTCAGGAGGAACAACAATGACCATCAGGTATCTTAATAAATGGGGAATAATGAAATTTAAAACTCCAGAGAAAATGAAAGTAAGTAATAATATTCTTACGTTTATCTCTGCCCTGAAAATTTTTTAAGAACGCCGCTGTTATTGTAAAGAGAAAAATTATCTTGTATACGAGAAAGCGGCGCTACTTTTCATTGGTAAATTTTACTATTAAAAATTTTAACAACTTTCATGGTCAATTATCAATTTTGTCAAGTAGTTTTTTCTAGAACTTAATCAAAAATGAATTATTCAAATTTAAAATAGATTTTATATTAATTTTATATTTAGAATTTGGTAAATTTAAAATTTTCATCTCAAATTTTAGAAAATTTCTGTCTATAATAAATCGCTGGTGCTCATTCTTTCCTGCGTTTTAAAGTGAATGGCTATGGGCTACACTGTGAACCTAGGTTTTTTCCTGTAATTCTTTTTTTTTTTTTTTTTTTTTTTTTTTTTTTTTTTTTTTTTAAATTAAATTAGAGGCCAGGCCATATATTTATTTTGGTTGAACAGTTTAAACTTGAGGGGTTTCATTGTAACTATAAACATAATCTTTTAATTTCTGTTGTCAAAAAAAAAAAGAAATTTGAAATACTTTTGGTACTGTTTACTGTATATTCTCATTGTTTTCACAGGACATGCTGTCAAGTAAAACGGTTGTGCAAACGAAAGCTAAATTTGGTAAAACAAACGAAAAAACGAAAACTGTGACCAATTCTTCTAAAACGTAGCATTAAATTATTTATTTCGATGTTTTCAATTTAAAGTATGTGAGTTACATTTTAGTTAATTATTTGCGCAAATGTTTATTTTGACATTATCAACAGTAGACTTGTTCGTTTTATTGTTAAATGGCAATATAAATTGTAACAGAAACTACAAGAGATACAATTTTTTATTTATCTTAATCAATGATGAACATCTAGATATATTTATAAATAATTAATATTTTAATATTATTTTTATTTACACCTTTTTATAATATTTATCGGATGTATTTATGCGCTTTGATATGCGTGTAAGTGTATAATTTTGTCTGTGAACGATCATTACAGATTTAAATATGAGGGTCAGTTCGAAAAGCTAGTAGATAAATAATGTTTATAATTGAAGCAATGAAAACATGTTACTGTTATTCAAAAAATACAAATTATCACAGTTGCCTGCGCAACCTATTAATCTTGGTGGCATAATTCTTTGTACATAAACTCAATGTTAATATTTAAAATGATTTAAATATAAATACTTAAAAGAAATCTTTAAAGTATAAAACTAGTCAATTGAACATTCGTTTTTTAAATGAAATATTAATTTGTATATATATATATATATGTATATACAAACTCGACTGTGTTTCTGAGCGTACATATATAAATTATATAAATATTGTTTAATAACAAATACAAAAATTCAATTTATTGGTAAACCTCAATATTATAAAGTTTTCAATATATAATCTTTTCATCTACAATTTATTCTGGTCAACACCTTAATACATCTCTAATTTAAAAAAAGTTTTAAACATTACAACTCAAGAATTTTTAAGCAAATATTTGTATGAATATACATGTACAATAAAAAGATAATGTCATGTCAAGAATAATTTTCCTTTTTTAATTGATTACACTATTTAAGAAATACATTTCAAATCAGTTTATCTTTAGTGATTAACAAATTTTGCGAGGGGTGGTTAGTACTAGAAAAATTTGGAAATTTTTAATGCAGTTAATTATAGGTATGGTCCTTGTAAAAATTTAATTGAAATTTCAATATTAACTTTATGTTATATAATTATGTTGACATCCATATGAAAAAACCAAAAAAGAAGAGAAAAATTGATGATATAAAAAAAGGAGACTGAGTTTGAGCCAAGTACAGTACTTATCCTCCACTCGCTGGCATAATACTTTCGGTAGGATATGGAATATCAAAAAATTTCTTTTTGAATTGAAAGAATTTAATAATAATACGGAGTATTTAATCAAAAATAATTATTTATGGAGTTTCAAAGAATTAATTTAAAAAAATATGTTCGAAAAGTAACAAATTACGAAATGCTAGCCTCACTAAAATGTTATGAATTAAAATAAAAATTAAATTGAATTACATTAAAATGTATTGTCACAATTTGAATCAGTGCAATCAATGTTGTACGTTTAAGATTGTAAAAAATTGTTACGTTAAAATAAATTAAATTATTTGCATTAATATTTCGTTGTGCTCTTACCTTTTTGACGGCAAAGGTAAGAAAACATAGTTACCGACACGACTATATTATACAATAATTAATAATTATTAAACAAAGTATGTTTTTAACATTTTTATTATTTTGTTGCCTTCTATGGACCTAAATGCATTGTACACCAAATGTCAAATAGATTTATTAATATTTGTCCAAGTTTCGACGGTTTATGTTTTAAAATTGGATGAAATTTGAGAATAAAAATTTGTCAGTTTTTGGCCTTTATTTTCTAAAATGTTTGTTCTTAAAAAAACTGAAAAAAAGAAAGATGCACCTTTTTATTTCCTACAATAGTAGTTTTGAAAAATAAAAATTTTGAATTTGAATTTTTTTTTTAACAATTTTGTCCGCTTCACTTTAGAACATGTGGCCAAGCGCGTATCCCCTTATTATCCAAGCATTCAATTGTTAATGGAATTGACGCGGAAGCGAAACTCAATTGATCCCTGCGACAGGTGACAGGTTTTTATTGCCTAAACCTTATTGAAAAACCTTGAAATTTCGTTAACTCAGCTGTCACCTGTTCTTACATTAACTGTTAACATATATCTTTTGTTTTCAAATTTAGGAATTAAAATATAATTAACAATACATATTATATACTGAATAAAAATTGCAAAAATAAATATTATTCAAAAACTAAATTTCGAATGACGTCGTTTCTTGTTGAATGCTGTCAGACATGCAACATTTGAGTATGTATGACTAACAATAAATGAAGTGTAGTTTTTCTCAGTTAAGAAAAATTGAAGGGTATGTAGAATACTTGAGACCAATTAGTTTTTTCCACCAGTTGACATGCAAAATAATGATTAAATTAATGCATTTTGTCAACATTTGCAAATTGTTGTTTATTGGTGTGAAAAATTCCAATTGTTTTGTCTCATGTTTTTCACTGCTTATGAAATATTTTGTATGATAAGTAGATTAAGGAATGTAAAATTTTATTCCTATCTAGGGAACATTTTCAGTCTTTGAAACGTTAAGTAAATTAATTATTAGGTTCGAAATTTAAGTTTCTAACAAATCAATTAATATTCTAATGTACGTATAAATACTGTATAATATAAGCAATTCAGTTGCGTTATGTTTCGGTAGGTTATTTATTGCGCAGTTTACAAGAACTAATTAGTTTTTGTCATATTCAACCCATAAATTGATAACTAGCCGACACAGGTTGAGGAGCTCTCGGTTGGGTATGTGATATTCGCTGAATGTGGCAAGCTCTGCACATCAATCTTCCTTCTAACGGATAACATCGTTTATCAGGTTCGTCTGTCAATTGCATTCCACAGTCTTCACATACATAACAATCTACATGAAAATCTTTGTCCATCGACACAACTCGAACTGTTTCTTCTGTCCCCTAAAAGAAATAAAATATTTTTTCATGTTATCGTCGGGCAAACTGTCAATGTGGTTCAATTTATACAATTGCCAATTGAAATTACAGGCTTTTTCTACATTTTGAGTACTCTAATCTATAAAAAATTTACCTCTACAGGTGTAATTCCTTTGCCGCAAGAAGCACATTTTGGAGCGAACATGCGGTGATAATCATTTACGCAATATATTTTGTTATCTACGTCCACGGTGAACGGAACACCATCAAGACACTCATTACAAACACAACATCTAAAGCATCCTGGATGATATGATTTCCCCATCGCTTGCAAAATCTGTAAATTGACCAATGTTTTTGAGCATTTTAAAAAGTTTGTGATCAAAAAAAATATATATTTATATTACCATTTCCATTATTAAGTGACCACAAATTGCACATTTTTCAGCAGTTTGTTGAAACCCAGAATACTGAAAATAAAAAATTTATGCTTTAGTATGAAAAACAGTTACTGATCATCTTCATTTACATGGTATATTATATAATATTTTACTAAAGATTAAATCAAAATGGCCGCCCGTTTGACAAGTATTTTTTTAAAGAAATTTTTTCCGTATAATTCTAACAGTTGTCGTAAAATATTTTAATTTTCTAGCTTTCATTTGAGAACAAGAAATTGAAAAATTCCAAACAGATACTAATTTGAGATAACTGTTAGAAATGTACAGATCTGGTACTAATTTTGGATATATGGCATTCTAGAACACCGTTATTCTTCATTAGAACACAATTTGCAACTGTTTGAAATCAAAACAAGAAAAGCTTCTTTTTCACGAATTTAGTCTTTAAATACTTACAAGATAGTCCTCTTCACAATATACCCGACCATGAACATTGTAAAATGCTTTTCCACGTAGAGCTCTTCCACATGAACAACAAATAAAACAGTTTGTATGATACAGATTTCCCATTGCTTGACATGCTTGTCCTGCTCCGGTAACTTTTTCTCCACAAGTATGACAAATACCTAAGTTAATCATTTTCGATTTAAAATAATTTCTACAAAAATAATTAATACTTATTTATTTGCATGATGCAAAAATATGTATATAAATATGATCGAACTAATAAAAAACAATTGTCCAACTTATTAACTTACCAAAATATTCTCCTTCTTCTTCTTGCTTTTCCATTTCTTCTTCAAGTTGACGAGTCAGTTCTTCAATCTTCCTTTCTGCTTCAGTAGGTCCCTGTAGAAAATAAAAAGTGTAAAATATTATGTTATATTTATTATTTTTTTTTTTAAATCACATATAATGCGAGTTACTTAATTTATAAAAATAATAAAAAGTTTAAAAATATCTAACAGTGTGTGTGTAAGTAATCCGTTGTCATAACTAGTTTAGAAAGCCTGTATTTTTTCGAACAAAGTTCGTAACAGGGTTGGTTCAACGAATTTTTAATAGTATAGAGCTGGAGAATAAAAACGTATGTTTGCTACTCCAAATACGTCCTTTTTACATTTAGAAAAATAGAAAATTTATTTTCTTTAACTAATAAAAAATAAAAAATTGGAAAAGTATTTTAAAAAACAATTCAAAATTCAGTCACTAGAGCATTTACCTAAATCTAGTGACTGGTACCCATTAAAAAAAAATGAAAAAAAACAACACTTACCGTCACTTCACCCTAATTGAAAAATTGCTAATTAAAATAGTGTAATATTTAATATAAATAAATTACCGAAGGTCTAGGAGGAGTAACATTATATGGTAACAGTCCTTTTCCAGATAGTGATTTAATTGCTGGACTAATGTCTTCTGAGTACTCCACGTTTGGCTCTGTCGATCTTTGAAGTATTGGTACTCCTGCATTAAGAAACACTGGACCAGCAACTCCACTTGTAACACCAGGTGGAAGACTCGTAATTCTTGGTCTATGGATTACAAGGTCGTGTCCTGAAGCAGTCGAAGCACTTGTAACAGGAGCATGTACTTGACCTCGAAGAGGATTGTCCAGTGGAGCACCAGATGAAACAGTGGATTCTAATCCAGATGCCACTAAAATATGATGTGTGGGACTAGCTTTCGGAGAACTTACCGCAACACCGTTATTTGGAACATTTTGCTTTGTGTCACTACGAGTTGCTAAAAATAATGAAGAATTTTGTGATAAAGATGATGACTCGGAATTATCTAATCCAAAGTTTCTATCATTTTGTGTTCCAAGACGACTTTCGCCCGCTCGATTTAGGGAATAGTACATGGACGAGCTTTTAGAAGACAGTTCTCCTGGACTTTCCTGTAATATCGAAAGAACATTAGTGAAAATAAAGTCAGAGAACGTGGGAAAAATAGAAACTTTCTACCCTTACCTGAGGACGATAATGTCTTTCAATTTGAGATATAGAGCCTCGGACTGGTGAGCAACATTGTGAATTTTTGTAAGTAATAGATTCTCCAGAACGAGAAGAGGTTCCATAGCCTTGAGAAGTTTTCGATTGAGAATCTCCATGGTAGTTGGTATACTTATAGGGTTGTAAATTTTCTTGATGAAACTGAACTTGAGAACTATTGCCATCAATGGACGTTTGCCCGGGGACATGATTTGTACTGCCATCCATAGAGGAGGATCGATGATACTGCTGTGATTCTATTTGCATTCTAGTGGGAGATTCACTGTGATAAGGTAAATTAGATCTGGAGGAGTGTTGCTGCGGTTGTTGATCAAGAGGATAAGTGAAGTTTTTATTGGTTTGAAGTTCCGAGGGGGGGACGTATGCATTTCTTCCGGATTGATTGTCCGCAAAAGACAATGAGTTGGAAGAAGGAGGCAAATACTTTCTACATGAGGAATTTTCAGAAGAAATTCCGGAGCATTGAATGTTAGAACCATCATAGCTTTGACCACGAGCTCTTTGGAATTGTGTGTACGAGGAGCCCGAACTTTGGGCTGAATTTCTCGACCCCGGAATCTTTCCAGTCATAACAACATAGTCACTTCCATTTATATTAGCCGGGTAGTAACTAGCACACGGCCGGCTTGGATTGCCATCACCAAAGTGCACTTCCTGAATGTTTTCATAAACAGGAGGTGCTTCGTACGGTGGAAGATCCTTCGCAGGAGATGCCGATTGATAACGATTCCCTATTGGCATTTGAGATTGAGCTTTTCTAAAACCAATGTCATAAGAATCACTCACTATGGAATCTCTGGGACTGTTTCGAGGACTTTTTTTTGATTCAACTGAGTGATAATATGGCGGATAGTTTTGCGACTGCTGAGGATAAAAGTCGATATTTTCATAAACTGGAGCTTGCTGACTATTTGAGCGACTTTGAATGTGTTGTTGGTCTATTGATTTCGGTGTGGCAAAGCGGGAAGCCGCTATGATATTTTCACGTTCATATATTTTGTAATCAGCAACTGGAACTGTAGATCGACAAGTGTCAGGTGCTGCTTCCAGAAAACTTTCAATTGTTCCAAGAGATCTACTGGAGGATCTTGGGGTAACCTGAATCTCAGGTCGAGGACCCAGAATGCGTTCATTTGAAGTTTCATCGCTCAACTGTAGGTAACCTAACTTTTCAATGTAAGAAGTGTCTTCGGAATTACACATCGATAGATCTGTTCAAAATCAAATTGCATACAAAAATTTATTTTTAAGTGCACTAACACAGGAGTATCAAAGTTTCATTAAGTTGTAATATATGTAAACAAAGCGATTTGTAACATTTTTCTCAACTATTGATGAATGATAGCAAGTCGTTGGAAATGATTCACCTAAATTAGCAATGAAAGAATTTTTAAAGAATGTCACGGATTTTTTAAAGCACACTTTTATTTACCTTTCAAATGTCCATTCGTAAAAAGTAGAATAAATACATGCACAATTCAATTTGTATGCCGACAAGGTTTTCCTCGAATTCAGATATGCCTACAACTTTTACTTTTATTTCTACAAGTAGTTACAAATTTGCGATAGATAGGAAACAAGATATTTTTAAAATTAATTAAATAGAAAATTTACATCACAAAAGTTTCCACACGATAATTTTTTCCAAACTTAGATGGTTCGGACTTTTTGGGTGAATATTGTCCATAGAAAGTAGATAATACGAGAGTCCCGACACATGTTATGTACAGTACATAGTGTCTACGAAACGAATGAGATAGTGAGATATGTTCATCTCTTTCGTTCTCATGCTTTCCGCTTTTCGCCAGCGTTTCACGCTGTCATGCTGATTTTACACTCACCTAAAGGCCTTTCTCCAATAGGATCCTAAACTCTTGCGTTGCGTATGCATTGCGTCGGTTGCTATTGGCAACCAATGCTAAAATCAACGCGTCAGTCACGCAACGCAAAAGTTTAGGTTCCTATTGGAGAAAGGCCTTAAAACTGTGCGAGCGGTCCGCACTTGCGTTACGTTTTTTATATATAAAGATATAGTTAACTATAGGAAGCGTCACGGAAAAGCGGACCGCTCGCTCAGTTTTCGGTGAGTGTAGAATCAGCATTATGTGGCGTATAGGCGCTTCCGTATGGCCCTTTCCGAATTGGGATTTTTAGCGCACTTTTAAGGCCTTTCTCCAATAGGATCCTAAACTCTTGCGTTGCGTATGCATTGCGTCGGTTGCTATTGGCAACCAATGCTAAAATCAACGCGTCAGTTACGCAACGCAAAAGTTTAGGTTCCTATTGGAGAAAGGCCTTTAATAAAATGTATACTCGGCTCGGGAAGTATGCAGTGTCCTTTTTCCCAATTCGGAGCTGTATTGTGCGTTGCCCTTGAAGATTTGATGTAAAATGCATAATATGTTTACAAGCATTTTTATATATGTGAAAGAAATTTCAACGAACAATATAAACAAACATTTTTAATGGAGTAACAATTTATAATAATACGTATTTTCCAAATTTCTTCTATTTATTTGTAACCACAGAAAGCTTAAATTAGGTTAGACTTTGTGAAAATAATAAATAAATTTGTTTAACAAAAGTTATCTGTACAGATAATTTTCAGAAATAAAAATATCTTTATTTTTTTATGTTTACAAATAAGTATTAAATAATTATGTCTATTTCGCCACATGTCTGGTAAAATAAGTCAAGTATATTATTTTGCCAGTAACAGTAAAAAATTAAGGTTACTCGCGTCAATATTTGACTTTAACCATTTATCATTAAAAAAAAATTATAGATAAATGTGGATATTAGAAAAAATAGGTCTATTTGGTTGTTTCTCAGAGATGTATGAATTAAAAAAATTATCTTCCGCTTAACTTTCCAGAAGAAATAAAGATATTTGTCCCTTAATCTTTGATTTCGTCTTTTCAAAAGGAGGTTTTCGGTATTTTTAACTTTAAACTTTTAAATTCCACTTATTGGAAATTATAAGTCACTCTCTCGTTCACTAGAAATGTATACTTAAAATAAGTGAAAAATTCATTTATTTGAACGAAAGAGCGATTTATAACTTGAAATAAGTGGAATTTTACTTATTCAGATTTAGGGTAGTACAGACGGTAAAAACAATTTCTTAAAAGTAATTTGAAAAGCTGTAAATCACACGAAATTTTGTAAAATGTCTAATATTTTAGCACTGAAAACTAGTCTGACTGATAAAAGAAATTTTCAGAATTAAAATAAAATTTTTTACAAGTTATTGGCAACAAGTCGATCTAATTTAATATGCATTAAAAAAATTATTCTAGCTGATGGTGTAGACATACTCTTACACGAAACAAATTAAAATTTGAAATGCTCATATAGAATTAAAATAAAATATGGAAAAAATCGAGTGTCCAGTTTGCTCAAAAGAATTTCCTCTACTGGTTATTGAAGAACATGTCAGTCGATGCTTGTTCTTGAGTGAACCATCACAAGTATTACAAGAAAGCCACGGTGTGCAAAAAAGACCGGCTTCTAAAGAGAAAAACAACAGCCCTGTTTTAAAAAAATCTAAATCAGAGTACAAAAAATGTGGAAATTTGCAGAATAAGTTTTCATCTTCTAATCCTTCTAATTCGGAAAATAATGTTGAAGAAATAAGTATTAACATGAACGTAAGTAAAATAATGATATTGATAATTTAATGTTTGACATACATATAATGAATCCCGCACATTATATTTTTTCTTATTTCAGAGTAAGAATGAAGGTCATCACCATCAGAAAGATGTTGCAGGTAGTAAGGCACATCTTCCACTTGCTGAAAGAATGAGGCCTTCGTCTCTTACAACTTACGTTGGACAGGAACATATTCTTGGACCACAGTGTCTATTACATCAATTACTAAACAAAGCAGAAATACCTAACATTATTCTTTGGGGTCCACCAGGATGCGGAAAGGTTAGAGTCTGATTTTGTAAATGCTTTTTGAAACATGTACTATATTTTATTGAAAAAAAATTTCAGACTTCTTTGGCAAATGTCATTGCTGGAATATGTAGGAATGAAAAACAAAAACTTCGCTATGTTAAGCTGTCTGCTGCTTCTTCAGGCGTGAATGATGTTAAGGAAGCAGTTAGTCTCGCTGCTAATGAGTTAAGGTTTGGTCGACGAACAGTCATGTTTATGGATGAGATTCATCGATTCAATAAATTGCAACAAGATATATTTTTACCTCACGTAGAGTCTGGTAAAATAACTTTAATAGGTGCAACTACTGAAAATCCATCTTTCAGTTTAAATTCCGCTCTTCTTAGCCGCTGTCGTGTAATTGTTTTGGAAAAATTGTCAACTCAAAATGTAGTAGTTATTTTGAAAAATGCTGTAAAATTCTTAAAAGGCCATGATACTTCACACGAGGGGGTCAATTCTGAGTTTCTCATAGATTATGCGACCTTGGAGTGGCTGGCAGAAACATGCGACGGAGATGCTAGAATAGCTCTTGGTGGATTAGAATTAGCTATTCAATCAAAGGTTTCTGGTGAAAACGAAAGTCTCAGTACAAGCCAATGTGTAATAACGTTAAATGATGTAAAAGAAAGTCTTAAGAAAACACATATGCTCTATGATCGAAAAGGTGATCAACACTATGATATTATTTCTGCTTTACACAAATCGTTACGAGCAAGCGACGAAAACGCCTCTATATACTGGTTGGCTCGAATGATGTCTGGCGGGGAAGATCCAGTTTATATTGCTAGAAGATTAGTGCGATTTGCGAGTGAAGACATCGGGTTGGAAGATACAAATGCATTGAGTGAGCTTGCAATTTAAACTAGGCAATCCAAGATTTTTTTTCTCCAACGCCTGCTCTGAAAGTGCAACTTGTCAGGTTAGTAGAGGTGACGAAAAAATCTGCCGACAGTGATCTAAAATTACATATCTTCTCATCGGCCTCTACATAAAAGATAAATTAATAAATAGAAAATAATGCATTTAACTTTTTTCCATTGAATCATAAGTGACATTTCATCACTATAGGCGTTGGAGAAAGTATAATATTGCTGAAAAGAAATTAAAATGTACAATAACTTTCAGGTGTTGCAGTGAATACTATGCATGCTTGTAAAATGATTGGCATGCCTGAATGTGATGTCTTACTGGCACAGTGTGTTGTTTATTTGGCTAGAGCACCAAAGTCCAGATTAATGGAAGATGTTCTTAGAGCAGCTCAAAAAATTATTGCAGAACATAAAGGTCCACAACCTTCTGTACCTTTAGTTTTGCGAAATGCTCCAACCAGGCTAATGGAAAAATTAGGTACATATTTCATTTTCAACAATTCGAATTTAAAATTAATTTTTAATAGCATTTTATTTTTTCCAGGACATGGAGCAGGTTATAATATGCAGCACAAGGATTATTCTGGTTTAACTTACCTTCCTGAAGGTTTAGAGCATATTAACTTTTTCAACATAAAGCCGTAAACATCTTGATCGTGTATTAAGAATATAAAATATTTTTTGTATTTGTTACTCTGGGTTTTACAATATCTCTTCCTTGTAGGGGGCCATCCCCCCCTCGTTACCATTGCGTTAAATTCCTAAAGTTTTTTTCCAAGTTAAACATTTATAAATATTTAAATCTCTTTTACTTTTCTACAACATAGAAATTATGTGCGGCATTCAATTTTTAAAAACTTGAAATTGTTATAAAAATGCCTTTGAAAACAAGTTTATGTAAAGGCCAACATTTTTTAGAGTCAACTTACGTATAAGTTCCTAACTTCCTAACATTTTCCTATTTTAATTTTTTAAAACAATCTAATCACACAGGATTGATATCTTAAAAAATTATTAAGATTTCTGCACATTCAAATTCAAATTCAAACGCAAGCGCATCTTGAGAACGAATCAAATTTCATTTTTATCGGAATATGTTCATAACATCTTGCAGCCATGCTCGACTTTATTGATATTTTAGAAGAATAGGAAGAAGAGTAAAACACTTAAATATTAAAAGATTAAAAATTCTATATTTGTTGAATAATAAGTCTGTAAAGTGTGATTTCATTTTATTTACTCACTCTATAACACAGTGATATTTATTTACGTACGTACATTACATAGAAGCACTGTATTTTAATTAAAAATACTTTGTGTACATACAATATTGAAACGTAAATCATTTTTAATGTTAAACACTATTTCATAAGTGAACACAAACATTATTTTTCATCCTTGAGTCATTGTTACATTACAGTATTTACCGAAACACTCAGTTTCTTCGATTATTTTAAAAATTATATAATTCATGTCTTTTTACAAAAATTTAAACATTTCCAAATAATTCTGTAATTATACTGCTAAGAATAAGTTAAATATAATTAAACAATGGACACTGAAAAGTACAAATACAGGTTCGTAATTTTTGTCTAAAACATACACATAAATAGATAGTTGTCTTTTATTTTCATTTATTTATAATTTTTCACTGACAATAATTCTGTGCTGTATATAATGGGATGAAACACAATCTTAATTAATATTTTTTCTCGTAAAGAGAATTATTATAATAAAGATCTTTTAGTTATAATGGTAAAAATAATTCTAAAATAAAAAAATTTGATGACTGAAGCTTATTACTTTATTAAAAGTCTGATTTTATATAAAAGTATGTATATTATGTATTTAATTAATTTATTTAATTTTAAAAATCAATACATTTTAATTAATTAAAATTGAATATTGATCTGTTCTTAAGTTTCGCTAATGAAATTGTGGATTAAAGATCTTTTTAAAATTAAAATGAAAATATTTAAAAGTGAAATTAAACCTAAATAATGCATTTAAGTTTTATATTTGTAAAATGTAAATATGTATTTTTAATGCACATAATCCTATATTTTTTCCTGTAAAAGGACATCGCTCCCTGCCGAAGGACATTCAGAAGTAAATATTTGCTCAGTTTTGTCTTTGGGAAAGGATTTAAGTAAAATTACAATGCCAGTTATATTCAATGAACCTTTGTCGTTTCTTCAGCGAGTAGCTGAGTATATGGAATACTCAAATTTACTAGAAAAGGCGTCTTTGGAACCAACATCCGTTGGTAGACTACAGGTCAATTTAAAAATTTAATAATAGAATAAAAAATACTATACCAAGTTAAAGCAATAATTTTATTAATATCGACTAAATTCAAAAACAAAATATTGATAAAATTTTTTTCTTTTTATGAGGATTAAAAAAATTTCTATCGAGTAACAATACATATTTTTCAGAAAGTTTGCACTTGAAAATTTTTTGCAAAAAAAATAAATATAGTTTGAAATTAAAGGCACCATGGTTTATATAATATATGTAGCTGAAAAAGCACTACATTATAAAATTATTTTATTTATTCAGATTGGCAGATAAATGATTCTAATTGTAAATAAGAATTTTTTTTACAGTACGTGGCTGCATTTGCAGTAAGTGCTCTGGCTTCTAATTGGGAAAGATTGGGAAAGCCGTTCAATCCACTACTTGGTGAAACATATGAATTACAACAAGATGGTTTTCGGTAATACCTCTTCATGTGCATACTACATTCATTCACGGTATTTAACTCTTTAAGGCATACAAATTTTTCATTATAATAATGAAATTATTTTTCTTGCTACAAAAAATTAGTGTACTATTCAAACAATAGGTATATAAAAAAAATTGCAATTTCTTAATATTTTTCTTAGTAATTAATAATAACTTTGAACTCTGCATTTCTGCTGCGCTGCAAAGGGTTAAACAGTCAAATTTAGAATTATTTGAGAAAATTATTCCTTTAATCTGCATTTAAATCAGCAAACCAAACATTTATAAAATTGTTTTGCTGATTTTTTTATAGGGAAAATCATTTGAAATTTCAGGACTTTTACAAGATATTTATAGACATTTTATCATCTTTGAAAGTGTTATTATTAATTATTATATTATCATTTATCAAAAATATAATAGAAAATTTTTAAATAAGAAGAATAAATTGACTGAAATATACATATAGCATTTCAATTTAAGGAAAAGAATTTTTTTTATTCAGAGGTGATTGTCGTTAAAAATATCGGGGGTTTGTAACAAATGAAAAAGGAAGAATTTTATCATATTCTATATATATCATTTTTCAATTTGAAAAATGATGAAAGTATTACAAATATGACTATTGATTTGCTTGTAGAATATTATGTGAACAAGTTTCTCATCATCCACCAATTTCCGCTTTTCATGCGGAGAGTAAAGACTTTACATTCCATGGGAGTATAAATCCCAAATTAAAATTTTGTGGCAAATCTATAGAGATACATCCGAAAGGAGTATTAACAGTGAAATTGATAAAGTGAGTATACCATATATTTATATTGATTCAAAAATTTCTTGGCTACAAACTTGTTTCATATTAGAACGGGTCATAAAATAACACTTGAATCTTACTTTACTAATATTTTTTATAAGTTTACGGTAAACTTCCAATGGTTATTCCAATTTTTGTTTTTTAATAGATAAAATATTTTAATATCAGAGGGATTTTATAAGCTTTTTAAGTAATATTTTAAATAAATTTGTATCAGATGGAATGAAACATATACCTGGCAAAATGTTAACTGTATTCTACATAATGTTTTGGTTGGACAAATATGGATGGAACAATTGGGTGCCTTAGAAATAAAACAACATGAAGAAAAAATGTTAACAGCCACTTTAAACTTTAAAAATGCTGGTACAAACGGGAAAGATCTTCACAGAGTAGAAGGATTCATTACGGATCAAAAGTGAGTATTAGTATTAGAATTTATGCGTTCAGTTATCTGGCATTCTATTATACTTTTAATTTTAATTTTTAGTAAAAGGAAATTGCTTTATTTGTATGGCAAATGGACTGAGGGTTTGCGATCTTGTGACCCATTATTATATGAAGATGCACTTGAAAAAATAAGAAGAGAAACGAAAAGTCCTTTAGGAAGTTCAGGACATAAAAAAGTTTTAGCAAAATTGCATAGTTTAAAAGTGGGAGCTTTTAAACCAGTACATCAGGTTGGTTTACAATATTCATATAAATTTGTTTTTTTTATTACTATTATGTACGCTATCATCTTATGCTTGCAAACGTATATGTTTAAGACGATAGTGTACATAGAGGGTACAACTTTTATGAAACATAGTATATATTAGTTTATAGTATGAAAAAATTACAGGATGCCGTTGATGATTCTTCAAGTTTTGAAGGTGATGAAAATTCTTCGTTTCTAGATGAAATACCAGAATCAACTACTTTGTGGGAAGCAGTCTCAAGACCTGCTAACAGTTCAGATGTATGCACTTTATTAATGATTCGAACCAATGCAAGCACTTATTAGCACTATTAGATTTATAAGAAATTAATAAGCAGAATACCTTTTGAAAATGTAGTTTTTATTTGCTATCTAGAAAAAGCAACCAGAAATGACAAAAAGTTTCTATTTCTTTAATTAACTTGAGCCTTTTTGGATAAACCTGTTTATACAATTATAAACTTGAAGTGTTTTTCTATGTATTTATAGTTTTATCAATTCACAACATTCACAATGTCGTTAAATGAGATGGTGCCAGGTATGGAAAAATATCTTTGTCCAACTGATTCAAGACTGAGATCAGATATTCGTAAATTAGAATTTGGAGATCGAAGTGGTGCAGCGGTGGAAAAAGCGAGGCTTGAAGAAAAACAACGTGATTGTAAAAAATTAAGGAAGCAAAAGAAATGCCCAGATTGGGCTCCTAGGTAATGTCAATTTAATAATTTATACTAGTAACTATTTTTTACTATTCTAAATCATTTTAAATATTAGGTGGTTTCGAACTGAAATTAATCCCTACACTAGTCAAGACGATTGGATATTTCTTGGAAATTACTGGGACCGAAATTATTCAGAAATCGAAAATATTTTTTAAAAATATCATTCGCATTTTTAAACAGAATAAGTTTCAAAGTAAACAGGTACTATGACACACTTTAATTCTCATTTTTTTAGCAAATTTTATTTATATTAAGTTAATATCAAGAATAAGTAGAAGTAAATTTGAATATTAAATTAATTATTCTATGTAGAACTGCATATTCAATTTTTTTTAATGCGCATTAATTGTCACATTATTTAATAGGTATATTTGATTGATTGATCGATTGATTGTGGTGAAATATATGTATATATGTAGATTTAGCTCTTCGAGTTAAATTAAATGAATAGAAAAATCTTTACAAAATGTCATTGACACTTGAAATCTGAAATATTTAGACTTTGAAAAAATAAAAATCTTAAATGTCCTAAATATATTTATTAAAAAATTCTGTACTCTGAAAATAAAATTCAGTATGCTGTAGGATATCTTCAGTATCTGAATGTTTCCCAAATAATTCGGGAGAACTATAATTTAGTAAAAAAGTGCTTCGGGAAATACAAATTCGGGATAAAAGGAGTTCGGGAAAATGGGCGGATATCAGACGGTATTCGCATTAACGTTAACACAAAATACTTCATAATTTGAAAAAATTATATAACCATATTAATCAAATAGGTTCTGAGTTACGGTTTCTCAGAAATATGTAGTCAATTTTTCATCAATTTTGCTCGAAAACCCTTGATTCTAAGAATCTGGGGTTTAATGTTTGAATGTTTGACTTTCTGTCAAATCATTGACAGAATCATTTCTTCTGAATCCATCGAGAAAGGTGACGAACTCAATAACATTTTTCTCAAATCACTTTTCACGTATATGAGATAAGTATGAAACAAATTTTTACATATTTTTCAATTGGACGGTTATGATACAAGTTTGTAAAGTAAGTAATTATTACTATATGTCACTATTTCTCTTTAAAATGACACAGCGGTGCGTAAAGTGATCATTTTATGCACTAAAATTTACTTCACGCATTGAAAAGTAAATATTTTACACATAGTAAAGTTCGTTTATTTAAAAAAATTTAGCCTAAACTTAAACGATTTTTTCGATTTTATTATCTATATGAAATCTTTTCTATCTAGATAGTCTAGAGTGTGCAATATAAAAAAGATAAAAAAATTTTGAAAGTTAAACGTTGAAATTTAATTTACTATAATTTCTATTTTTTAAAAAGGTATTTTTTTTTAATTGACATTTTTTAGGTTAATTAAACAACTCAATATAATTTATATTCTTGAGTTATTTTAAGAAAAAAATTTATAAAATTAACTTGAGAAACATATATGGGTAATTCTCTCAAAAAGGACAAATCACGCTTTCACGGTAATTTGTTCAAAAATAATAAAATTGATTGAAATTATTAAAAATTCTGTTAGCCATACGTTCAAGAAAAGGCCAAATAACTGAAATATTAAATAAAATCTGATGTTACGGAGGGGAGTTTTAACACTACTTTTCATTTAATAATGAACCGGCTGGCAGATTTTTATTAATTGAAATTAATTTTATTATTTTTTAACAAAAACACCGTCTAAAATCGTGCACGTTTTGATTTTTCCTTTTTGAAAGAATCAACCATATAAATATTATAAAGAAAATTAAATTTCTGAGCTTACGTTGCACTCTTTTTAAAACTAATAATTTTACTTATTACAAAGCTAATTTAAAAAAATAATTTATTTTAAGTAATCTACGATAAATATGCTCAGTTTTGATTATTATTGTTTTATTTCAATGTGAAATTTAATAACACTTAACTTTAATTACTTTTTCTAACGCTCTCGCTCATGAGTTTTTTAAAAACATAATTTTAAAATTAGAACAAGAAACTTACTTATTCAGGTAATGAAGAAAAAAATAAAACTTGAAATAATATATAGAAAAAGACTCATCAATTTATATTATTTGATACTTTCAATATTACAACTTCATCAATACAAAATAATATATTAACTAAATTGCTCACATTTGACAATAAACTTTGAAGTAAACCAGTAGATGAATAAAAAATTTGTGAAATAAAACAAACTTTCCCTTAAATAAGTAAAATCGACTCACTGAATTCGAGAACAAATGAAATTGACATATAAATAATAGAAGATATAACCAGATGAACTTGAGAAATAACTTCATAATATCCACATCAGCTGTTTACCAAATTGAATCAGATGCACTGCAAAAAAAATGTTATTTAATAATATTTAACGTGAAACTCGCATTCAAAATTATACATAAAAACAGATTCTTTAAATATTTCAATATTTGTCTTGGGAATTTATCATTTTTAATGCAATTAAAATTCGGCACAAAGTTTTATTCATTATTGGAAAGATTTGAAGTTAAATAACAAATATTAGTGTAAAGCACATATTTGCTGTCCAAAGTAAAAACCCAGTATGTCGTTTTTTCATCAGAAGTTTCAAAGTTGATAGATCCGACCAAAACAGGGTTTCTACAAATTTCTCTTCGCAAAATTCCATGATTTCCAGTTGATAAATGATAAAATTTCCATGATACTATAAACATAAATTATGATACATTAAAATACTGAAAATGGGTCATTTTCAACGAACGTATAAATTCGAGTCTTAGAAACGAAAATTGAAATAATTTCCATGATATGATCAGAAATTCCATAATTTGTAGAAACCCTGCAAAAGATTTTCATCCTTACGAAAAAGCGACTTACTAGGTTTTTACTTTTAGCAGCAGGTATGTATAACGTTATGTTAGAGAGAAAAAATGTACAAATTTTTATTTATTTATTATTAAATGATGAAATTTTTCTACGCTAAAATACGCAAGGATTCGCCTGTTTCTCTAAAAATTTAGAATATTTCAGTTTTACTTAAAAAACCATAACAGCTGAATTGATGCTCATTTTAAAAAACAACACGGAACTTAACTACTAACTCACTTTTAAGGTACATCATAATCATCTTCTTCCCTCTTTCTTTTAATTGAATCTGACTCAGTTTTTAATTTTACCACAGACAAAGCTTGTCCAGGCGTTTGCTGCATTTGAGACTTTATAATTGGTGTTTTCATCGTCGGTGCTGATGTTCCTGTAAATCATTTAGACCAGCAATAAGATTTAATTCCAAAAGAATTATTTTACAAATAAATTTTTGGACTTACCAGCTGAAAATTTAAAGACAGGTTTAGGTACAGAAATAGTTTGCGTTCTTGCAACAGTAGAAAGCGTTCCTGGCCTTTTAACTACCGAGAGGCTTGCTTTATTATTATCTAATTTCATTCTTGCCTGCCCACCAGCACTATTATTTCCCATGGCACTTAAAGATTTAACAATTGTCTTCTTGGAAGTATTCTTCAATTTGTAGTTAGTAACATTTAAGCAATATCTATCTGGTGGCAATCGTAGGCCATTATTTGGCTTTACAAATGGTAAAGGAACATTATTTTTTAAGCGTGCCACATCCAGCAATACATCTCGAGGTGGTGGATTAGTGAAACTCCGTTCCAATTGCATTTTCACTGCTAATCGAACATCATCTAAATCTATAAACTTCTTTTTTGCATGATTTGCATAGATTCTACTGTCGTCGAGTATACAAGTAACATAGCCTATGTAAAAAATTTCATTTTGTATCATTAATCTGTTTTTTCATTTTTAAAATTAAGTACTGTAAACAAACTTACGATAAGTAAATTCAAGGAGTTGATTTATAACTCTAGGCTCATATTCCACTATACCCATATCCTTCATAATGGACATAATAACTTGAGCATCTTTGGGAATATGTTTTACATGACTTAAAGATTTGTTCTTCTCAGCCATTTTATTTTATTAGAATGTAATAATAATACAAGACAGTTCAAATATTAGATTATATCGATTATATTTAGATTCAGACAGACATTTTGTTGATATGTATTAGGCCTTAGCACAATGAATATTTGAAATGCAAAACTTTCATAGGGTGTTTTCGGGAGTTGCTGACAGTAAAAAATTACCCAATCAGAATAAACATGCTGATGGATCAGCCAATCACAACATACTGACAGTATACTCACAGCAGTCACAGCAACTCTCGAAAACACCCATTGTAAGTGCCAACGCATAATTGCTTCGCGAACGAGATTCATGCGTTAGAAACGGACAGAGATACATATATTTGTGTCCTTTTAAGGCCTTTCTCCAATATGTTTCTAAAGCAGCGTCTACAATAAGCGCGTCCACGTCCGACGCGCTTATTGTAGACGCTGCTTAAATGTTTGCGTTGCGTGACTGACGCGTTGTTGGTTCGCAAGCGCAGTGACGTCATCAAAGCATTGATACCAATCTCGAACAAAATGTTTGGTTTATGATTTTAAGACACTGAATTTTTTAATTATGGATATTAATTAATTAAAATTATTAAAAGCCGTCGAGAAACATTTGCATTAAAAATTGTAAAGTTGGAAAACAGGGATAAGAGGAACATAAACCAAACTTTTTGTTCGCGATTGCTATCAATGCGCTTGCGAACCAACGCGTCAGTCACGTAATGCAAACATTTAGGTCCATTCCACAATAGCTAAACGCAAAGTTAAAGCGCACGCAAAGATGACGCGCGCGTTTTTGGTTGGTTAGGTCCATTCCACAATAGCTAAACGCAAAGTTAAAGCGCACGCAAAGATGACGCGCGCGTTGGTTTGATTGGTTAGAACCAACTAGTGTTTTTAAATTCTCGGTAAAATTGAAACCTGAGAAGGTAAGAAAGAAAATTGCGGTAAATTACCGAAAAAAAGAGAATTTATGAGAATATTCATTTAAGTGATTGATAATTGCCTTTTTTAAATCTAAATATGTATTTTTATAGTATGTAAGTTATAAATAAACGACCGACATGTTATTAAATGAATAATTTGAACAATGAATATAATAGACTGTAAGGGTGCAGTCCCATGGAGCAGATTAGGAGAATAGATTTCAGCCAATCAAAAGTTAGTCTCTCGCGGCAAATTTTGCATTTCCGTTAGAGACTGTTTTTTTATTGGTCAACGTCTAATCTGCTAATCTGCTCCATGGGACTGCACCCTCATTTTCTCTGTGTTCTTACTGATAAGATGACAGTCGGGTATATATGCCTGCACTTTTATCATTGTCTAACACGTGCGTCGTCATGACAACATGTGTGTTAGACAAGGATAAAAGTGCAGGCATATAAATGTACCTGATTCAATATAATAATGTAATATTATATCAATATTAATATATTAATATATATATTATATATTGTAACAAAGATATTTTTCATTATAATAATAATTGTACAGTCAGGAACATATGTCTGTACTTTTATCCTCGTCATACACGTTGTCATGACAACGCACGTGTCAGACAAGGATAAAAGTACAAGTAAAAATTCTCATAAATTCTCAGAGAAAAAACGATCCGGTAATTTACCGGTAAATTACCGTAATCTTCTTTCTCTTCTTGACGTAATTTACTGTCTTTAGAACACTAGAACCAACGCGCGCGTCATCTTTGCGTGCGCTTTAACTTTGCGTTTAGCTATTGTGGAATGGACCTTAGAACCAACGCGCGCGTCATCTTTGCGTGCGCTTTAACTTTGCGTTTAGCTATTGTGGAATGGACCTTAGGAACCTATTGGAGAAAGGCCTTAAAAGCTGAAAGCATGAGAACGAAAGAGATGAACATATCTCACTATCTCTTTCATGCTCATGCTTTCCGCTTTTATGCTTGCGTTTCACGCTGTCATGGGACGGGGCCTTTATAATTTATTGTTATTATCGTTTTTTTAATAAGTGAAATGACATCAAATGTAAAATTATCTGATATACTTAATCTGATAATATTCATATTCTTGATAGATTTTATTAAACGATTGGATTTTGTCCTATTATATACATATATCTGCTGTTATAAATTATTTACAAAGAATTAAAATATTCAAAAATAGAGAAATATATAAATAATAAAAGGGTTTTAAGATTAAGTTGATTTTATAATACATTAAATAAAAAATAACAATATTTATAAAGTTTTGAATAATAAATATATGTACATTTTAAAAAATGTAATTATTATCTGATGTTTAACATGAAATTAATAAAGAAACGAATTAAAATTTTAAGACTTAAACAAATGAATGAACGTAAACATTTTTGTACTTCAGAGTCAAGTTCCATGACTATGTTTTGCCTTTGTTATAATAAATTATTATTTATTTATTATTATCGTTAAAAATGTTGTCAAATAATTAAATATATTAACAAACCAATTTTTTTATAATAATAAATTATGTTAAAAAATACTCTCCTTACTCTAAAAAAATATTTATAAAAATTGTATTAATATTTAAAAATAATATTTAGAACTTTAATTAATTAAAATATTTTTAATTTAACATGTTGTTCAAATTTTCTTAATATTTGTTTTCTGATTTGATTTGAAAGCGCGCGGTTAATATGATTCAATATGGCCGGTGTATTTGGATGTGTATTTGGATCATGCATTGCAGTATGAAAGTGTCAGGCTGATTATTAACTTGAATTACAAATTTTTAGGATTGTTTTCTTGTTTAATGAAAAGCTGAAAAAACCAATATGAATATTACATCTGCTGGTAAATTTATTATCTTAATTATCTAGAAATATTTTTATAATGAATTATAATATAGTTTATTAATGAATTTAGTTTTTCCTTTATTTCTGTATGTACAGTGATTTGCAAATTATGTGTAACATAACCTGAATTGAAACAAATAATATATATTAATTAATATTGTTAAACTGAGAAACATTTTGTTTGTAATAAAAGATATTTATCAAATATATATAATTGTAATCTCAGTTAATCTTTACGTTTTATTGATAAATTAATGTTAACAGCAGGTATAATATCCCTCCTTGAGGAGCCAATGCCGGAGTTGAAAGTGTTTGCTTTAAAAAAATTAGATGTTATAGTTGACGAGTTTTGGCCCGAAATTTCTGAAGCTATCGAAAAAATGTAAGTTTTTAAGAATTTGTTTTCATGAAAGTTATATGTATATAGAACTTGTTTTACATACATTTTTTAATGAAAAATATTGATGTTAATAGAATAATTTAAATTTGATTTGCATTTCAGTGAAATACTTCATGAAGACAAAAACTTCAATCATCATGAACTTGCAGCTTTAGTTGCGAGTAAAGTTTATTATCATCTTGGAAGTTTTGAAGATTCTCTCACTTATGCTTTAGGGGCAGGAGAATTATTTGATGTCAATGCTCGAAATGAATATGTTGACACAACAATAGGTTCAGTTTTAAAAAAATGATATGCATTAGTGGGTTCCAAATTGTATTAATTCATTCCTTTTAAAATATGTTTTAGCTAAATGTATTGACTTTTATACACAACAACGTGTGTTAGAAGCCGAAGGAAAATTATCCTTAGATAATAAAGGCATAGATCCCAGATTGGAAGGAATCGTCAATAGAATGTTTCAACGATGTCTTGACGACAATCAGTATCGCCAAGCATTAGGACTCTCGCTTGAAACTAGGAGGATGGATATATTTGAAGCAGCTATTATGCAATCCGTTAGAGACACATATTTATTTCTACTATTCTATTCTAGTGAATTTAATTTTTTAAGTTTTAATGATTTTGTAATTGTTTATAGGATGATGTTAGTGGTATGTTATCGTATGCTTTTCAAGTGGTAATGAGTTTAATCCAGAATCGTGGTTTCCGAAACACTGTTCTGCGATGCTTGGTTTCACTGTACCGCAATTTGGGAACTCCTGACTACGTAAATATGTGTCAGTGTTTGATTTTTCTTGACGATCCGTTGGCAGTAGCTGAACTCTTAGATAGGTTGAGTAAAGGATCTCAAGATTGCGTTTTAATGGCCTATCAAATAGCATTTGATCTTTATGAATCTGCAACTCAACAATTTCTTGGGCGTGTTCTACAAGCATTAAGAGCTACTGCCCCTATTCCAGGCGCTCTTATGGTTAAACCAATTGTCAAACCAACAAACGTCAGTACTCCTGAAACAGTTACTAATTCCGTTTCCGTTTCCGTTTCTGCAGAAGTTGAAAATAAAGTAAAGGTCACGGAGGAAGTTTCCCAACGTAGTATAGACAGTTTGGTGAGTAATATTGTATTTTCTTTAATCGTTACTTAAAAACCATATCTCAGTTTGCACATTGAGATTTCTTATTTTTTATACTCTATTAATAACTGTTCCTTATAGTATCAAATGGATTACTTTTCGAAGTCAAATGTTTCTGAAATGTGCCCATTAGCAAACAGAAAAAAAACATTTTCTTTACTTTAATAAAAAGTTTGATTCAATATTTTTAGAATTCAGAAGAACGAGAACAACAAGAAAGAGTTGATGCTTTATCCAGTATTTTGGGAGGTGAAGTGTCCATTGATTTACACTTACAATTTTTAATTCGTAGTAATCATACTGATATGCTGATACTAAAAAATACTAAGGATGCAATTCGTGTTTCAATATGTCATACCGCTACTGTTATTGCCAATGCCTTTATGCACTCTGGTACTACCAGTGATCAGTTTCTTAGGTTCGTATTACAAAATTTTCATATTTTAAATTCAAATTTGCGTTTCTTTGTTAAAAATAATTTCGGGCTACTATTACAGAGATAATTTGGAATGGTTGGCTCGAGCTACCAATTGGGCAAAACTTACTGCAACTGCTTCCTTGGGAGTGATTCATAGAGGACACGAACAAGAAGCTTTAGCTCTAATGCAGTCTTACTTGCCCCGTGATACTGGTGCTGGAGCAGGTTATTCAGAAGGCGGTGGATTATATGCGCTTGGTCTTATTCATGCAAATCATGGAGCAGCCATTACCGACTATCTACTTGGTCAGTTAAAGGATGCTCAAAATGAGGTAAGTTTTTTATTTCAAGTTTTATTCAATTTCTACGTACTCTTATTAAAAATTGATAAAATAATCGATTTAGATGGTGCGACATGGAGGCTGCTTAGGTTTAGGATTAGCTGCCATGGGATCTCATAGACAGGACGTGTACGAGCAGTTAAAATTTAATCTGTACCAAGACGATGCGGTAACTGGTGAAGCGGCTGGTATTGCTATGGGGATGGTAATGTTGGGTTCAAAATCAACTCAAGCTATTGAAGATATGGTTGCGGTAAGTCATTTTTATTCAAATAGTTGTATAAATGAATCTCATATTATAGTTAACATTTTAATTTTCTTTTCATTCAATTTTTTTTATTATTATTTATTTAATATCTTAGATTTGTGAGACTCGAGTCCTAAGTCCTCGATATTTTTAGAACTTTAATCATTTTTAAATTATCATGTGAAAATAATATTACATAGGTATGAAATTTGTTGAATTTTTCCTCAATATTTTAAATATGAAATAAAAATTAACGTAACTACTATACGGAAGCATCTAAAAAATTGAAATTAAATCTAAAAAGTGAATTTTATCAAATCCGAAGTAATCGATTTTTGATATTTTTTTTAATCGAGGGTATCGATTATGTAATACGATTTGATTCTGACGTCAAAGTCGAATTTATTTTAATTTGTCAGAATCAAATAAAATGACATAATTGACACCCTGGATTAAAAAAAATTCAAAAATCGATCACTTCGGATTTGACAAAATTCACTTTTTAGATTTAATTTCAATTTTTTAGATGCTTCCGTATAGTAGTTACGTTAATTTTTATTTCATATTTAAAATATTGAGGAAAAATCCAATAAATTTCACATGCAATATTATTTATACTGTTTTTGACGACCTTAAATTTTTAAAAATCATAACTTCCATAATTTTAATCAAATATTTTCTTATTTTTCATAAAGATTTTGAAAAAAATGTTCATGTCAAAAAAAATTTTTTAATGAAAATCTCACGTGGAATAATTTAACTTATGAATTAAATTTTTTTAACATTATCATCTTCATCATCATTTCAATTGAAAAAGTTTTCTATAATACTCTGTGAATGTAGATAACATTTAATAATGATTTAATTTAAATTTGACTAATTTAGTATGCACAAGAGACTCAGCACGAAAAAATTTTACGGGGACTTGCCGTCGGAATAGCTTTTACCATGTACGGTCGTCTCGAAGAGGCCGATCCTTTGGTGGCTTCTCTAACTGCTGACAAGGATCCTATTCTTCGAAGAAGTGGAATGTACACTTTAGCCATGGCTTATTGCGGGACAGGAAATAACCAAGCTATTCGCAAATTGCTTCACGTTGCTGTAAGTTTCATATGATAAGCAAGCTCTTGAGCAATTAAATTTTGAAATGAAAATAATTATTTTACTTTTATATAGGTTTCAGATGTGAACGATGACGTAAGACGTGCTGCAGTTACAGGTCTAGGATTTCTTTTATTCAGGTAAAATAAAAAATGTAACCAATAATTTATAAGTGTTATTTTAAATGATTTATTATTTAGGACCCCAGAGCAGTGCCCCAGTGTAGTATCTCTTTTGGCAGAAAGTTACAATCCACATGTCAGATATGGTGCAGCAATGGCGTTAGGAATTGCTTGTGCAGGTACTGGATTGAAGGAAGCAATTGTACTTTTGGATCCAATGACTAATGACCCAGTTAATTTCGTAAGACAAGGAGCTTTAATCGCCTCTGCGATGATTCTGATCCAACAAACCGAGGCTACGTGTCCTCGAGTTAAAGATTTTCGTTCCCTGTATGCCAAAGTTATTGTGGACAAACATGAAGATGTTATGGCAAAATTTGGTGCTATATTGGCTCAGGGCATAATTGATGCAGGTATGTATATACATACTACAATATTAGCAATACGTCTATTTTAACTTATTTAACTTATTTTCTTTTGCAGGTGGCCGTAACGTAACTGTTTCACTTCAATCCAGGACTGGACATACAAATATGTTAGCTGTAGTTGGAGCTTTAGTATTTACTCAGTATTGGTATTGGTATCCTCTGGCTCATTGTTTAGCATTGGCTTTTACTCCTACTTGCATAGTAGCTTTAAATGTTCAGCTAAAAATGCCTAAGTTGGAAATAAAGTCAAACGCACGCCCCAGTATTTACGCTTATCCGGCGCCCTTAGAAGAAAAGAAACGAGAGGAACGAGAGAAAGTGACTACAGCTGTGCTGAGTATAGCAGCTCGTGCTAGAAGGAGAGAATCGGAAAGACGTGCTCGAGACACCCATGAAAAAATGGATGTGGTAAGTGAAAACAGTATTTAAACAATATTTAATACATGTATTGTGCCTATTAATTGTCTTTTATTTTACATTCTCTTAGGATGTATCAACTACTGAAATAAAAGAAATCGCGGAAGTCAAAGAGACAGGCTCAAAAGATAAAGATGAGAAAAAGAAAGATAAAGAAGAAAAAGAATCCAAGGATGTTAAAGAAAAGAAAGGAAAAGAGGAGAAAGATGAAAAACTCGAGAGGAAGGAATCAGAACCAAGTTTTGAAATTCTACAAAATCCAGCACGAGTTCTTCGTCAACAGATGAAAGTGGTACAGTTAGTTGAAGATAGTCGTTATATTCCTGTTAAAGATATTCAGATAGGAGGAATAGTTATGGTTAAGCACATTCAAACAGGCAAGGAGGAAGAACTTGTGGAACCTGTCGCTGGTAACTTTGAAATACCTATATCATTTAAAGAATAATAGACTTGAAACTTGAAAAAAAAAAATACTAATTCATCATTTTTGTTGTAGCGTTTGGTCCAAAACCAGATGAAGAGAAAGAAGCAGACACTCCAGAGCCATTTGATTATACTGAGGAATAAACTTAATAAATTATTATTCATCTTCAGTAAGATAAGTAAATACAATAAAATATTCATTCATATATAACGATCACAATGTATTACATTTACTAAAATTTGTAATAAAAGTTATCAATAAAAAAAACTCACTAAAAGTGTTTTTTTTACAACTTATAATTACCTACAGGTCTTAAAAACGTGTTAACTTCACTGAATGAGTAAATTTTATCTACCATATCATAACAAATTTAATTAAAATTTTAATTCTCCTATCGAAATATTTATTTAAATCGATATATCAATGCAAAATTGAATTCATTTCAGTAAAGATAGTATAACATTAAAGCTCTTATTTTATTGGTAAATTATTTTATTTTATTCACGTAACAAAAGCGATTTGTGCACAAAAGTAAAAAATTATTATTTATACTTATCAATACATAGAATAGTATGTATGTATAACTCAAGTCGAAATTTTTATTTTCATTGAATCTTTTATTGGGGTCATTAGAAAGGAGATTATAATATGTTTATTAATTTTTTTTAATGAAAAAGTAATAAGCATTGATGATTTTAATGTTATTTTCTATTTGAAATACCCTCGACGTTCAAAGCCCCTGATTACAAAATATATGCATATACTGTGAGTCAACTTTTGGACTTATCTGGAATTTGACTATTCTTTCACATAGCACAACATATGACCGATCGGAAGTTGGAATTATTTTAAGACAAAATTATTCAAGATGAATCATCAAACTAAATTCGGGTGGGTTAATTTTAAAATAATATTTAAACGTCAATATTGACAATAGGATACGTCGAAAAGTATTTCATTGAGTTATATATAGTTAAATAGAAATTTAAAAAACTGCCCCTTTTTCTTCGTGCGTCATCTTCATTCTTAAATATGTCTTTTATAAGAATCAGCCGAAAATGTAAATTTCGACTTGACAATAATATACATATATATATTACAATAGTTGTAATTTTAAGACGCAGAATATTGTTATGTGATATTTCACAGGCAGTGCTTACGGCTATTTGAAGCTGTATAGACTTACTAATTATTTCCAACACATACAGGGAAATTTTTACCAACTAATTAATTTATTATACAAGACGATCACGGGTCATCTACTATATATGAACGAAATAAAAATATAAGTGTATCAAGAAAAAAATTGTAATACACTCTGTAAAGGTAACATAATATATACTACACTATATTCTTATTCGGAGCGTATAAATTTTTGATCGCACCTTTTGTTGACAAATAAACCTTGAAAATTTGTCATTTTTGCTCATTTATGCAATAATACGAACAAACAATAACTTTTTTCTGCATAAAAATGTTATGATTTGCAGACTGCTTATTTTTCAACCGGATCTTCAGCACACACAACCATTGTCGTTTTCTGATTCTGCTCCATTCTGTAATGACTGGTTTTGCAAATCGACAGCTAATTGTGAAAAGCGTTAAGGCACATAAGAAATATTTATGTTATTATATAAATGTAACAACATACATATCCTCAAAGTACTTGAAATGCATTTTAAATTAAAAATTTATATTTAACAATAACTATGTTTATTGTTTATACATGCAGACAGTATTTAGCCCTTACTTGTCACTTCTCTAGAGTCACGTACTTGCCACACAACAAAAATTGTTATAAAACATAAAGTCAACAAAAATATGAAAAATATGGCTTTTTTTACTAAAAAAACATTTCATAATTTCATTACTCTATAATATAAAGAGCTAATATTTTAGTCAATTCTTCTATTGATGTATTAGAAGCATCAAGAAAAGCAAATAGTTGTTAAGTAGCTTCTTTAAAGAAGATATTTTTTCTGAAAATTGAAGAAAAATAGACTTGAGATCCATTCAACCTCATAGTGACAAGTATGGGTTAATGGAAACCAAAAGTTTAAACTTTTCGCAAAATTCATGTTCGATGTCCAAGTAAAGCTTGAACCAACAATTTCCCTGCGCAATACAATATCTTTTCAAAATTACTTGAAACTTGCATTTGAATATGAATAATTGGCTACTGCAAACAAGTTTCAGGCAATCTTTGAAAGAAGTATTGTCCTGTACAGAGCATACGCATTTACGAAAACTTGTAAAAAGAATTGAAAGGTACGGAAAGAATGGAAATTGTTATAATAATGCACGATCACTATTTAGGAAAATTTGACTAAAATAATATAATTTTTTCCTCATTTTAACAAATCCATATAATTAATTTAGTTAATGAATATACAAAGAAATTTACTACCCTATTGAAAATGCTCAAATCCAAATTGGGGTATAAAAATCCATACGAAATCATATAATACACCGTTTTCGTTATTTAAAGGCTTTTATGATAACTGAGTACCAATTAATTGTCATAGGTATTCGTAACTTAGCGACCCCGAAAACTTCCGAGTAATGAATTTTAAGCTATATATCAAAAGAAAAGCGCATTATTATTGTCTTGTTTAGTTTAAATCAGTTTTTTCGGAAAGTTAATTTTTGTCGATAACACCATTTTTCAGACGCGTTCAGTGGAATCTTTTATGAAATCTATATCATGTTTAGCACCCTGTGCAGTATTATTCAATTAATTCTACTATATTACTTTCTACTTATTTCAAATTACCTTCCAAATTTATATAAAACACTAAAGAACTTCTCAGGTCAAAATTGACAATAACTATTGTGAAAATGAAAAAATTTTGTGCAGAAAATTTGATTGGAATCCAACCAATACTTGACAGATATTAATGTAGATTTCCACACCAATTTGTGTTCAAAAACCATACATGATTTCGTACGGTTTCCATGAGGGGATACTCTATTAATCTGAATCAGTGATAAGTATACCACTTATTCAAATAAGTGAAATTCCACTGATTCAGATTAAGAGGGTACATAAAGAAATCTATAATATGAGAATTTTTAATAGAGCTAACTAAACTAATGTCTAATATAGTATGTAAAATAATAATTATAATGTTTTAGACTTATAAGAATTTTAATGCTCGCATGTCTATTTTTCATTTTGACCCTGAATAGCAACCGTGTATTACTCTGTATAAGTCTTTTGTTCAATTTTGTAAGTTAACATAATTATACTCTTATTATATTTGTTATATTATGCGACCATCTTTTTTTTGATGATTGTAGAACAACATTAAACTTTAAAAAAAAAAAAAAAAAAAAAAAAAAAATTGTTTTCTATTAATTTTCTAAAAACTGAAAATTTTTTGAATGTTATAGAAAAATTAGAAAAGACATTAAAAATTGTATTTTTCTTAAATATCTAATTAAATAGTTAACATACTCTTTTCATATAGCTTTCAGAATTAACACCTTTTAAAAAATAAAAAGAATAAAATGTAATTCTTATGTTTTTTAGTTTACAGTTGTTTTTCAATCATGAAAAAAGAAGAGGGCGCATAATTCCCGCCGGTATTAGTGTATGTAAAAAAATGTCTTAAATTTTATGTAGTTATTTAAAATTTGCGAAATACGCAATTGTTTAAAATACTCGTCTTATTGGTATACAGAGTGTTCAAAAAGTATGGTAACTTGCAAATATCTCGAAAAGTACGCATTTTCATGATACTTCTTTTTTCACTGCTGGGTCCAGGGCCCACTGTTTTGGGTTCAAAAATGTGGATCTTTTTGTTGGGAACAACTTTTGTGTTGAACATTTTTCATGAAAATGCGTACTTTTCGAGATATTTGCAAGTTTCTATACTTTTTGAACACTCTGTATATTATTTATAATAAATTACAGTTATAAATCAGTCACATTACTCATTTCTTCAATTATATACCCTATGGAATACCTATCCGGCATCCACTTTATTTAAAAGTATAATAAATTTTTATAATATTAGAAGCAGATTTCTTATTTAAAATATATGAATAATATTATAATTCCGTGTTATATTTGAAATTTAAAACATAATGGCAACATTTTTATTTTCCAGATATAAAAAAATTATTACGTTTTATAAAAACGCACGTACAATTTTAGAAAAATATACGATGCAAATACACACTCTACAAAATAATGTAATATGTATAGCAAATAAATTATAGAAATAATTAAATTTGCAATTCATCAATAATAATTAAATTATTTATATTCATTTTCAATTTTTTTTCTTCTTCTCAATATCTTTTTGATTGGAATGTAAGTCATTCTTAAATTCTATACATAAGACTCTAAATTATTGAAAAAACTAACAAATTAATTTTAGAAACCATCAAATAATTTCATTAGTTATTATTCATGAAATGTTAGAGTAATTAGGTCTACAATCTGAGTATTTTTTACACACGCTATATATATAATTATATATTATAGTCTGATTTGTTCATTATTTAATTCAAAAGTTGTGAAAAAGTAGTCTATTAAACTCGTTTTAGAATGTTAACTCATTTTAACCAGCAGTATTGACTTAAATTACTTGTTTATATTTTTTCAATCAAGTCAGTATTTCAACATAAGATAAATAAATTATTTATTCAAGTGAAATAAATAAGTCACATGCAGTAAGCTGTTATACCTCTGAAATGAAGATATTTTTTCATATTCACTTAATTTTTACTTTTTATAAAATAATTCTTTTGTCACAAATTTTATTCCATTTTAAAGTTTCTCGTACAAACAATTTCTCTAGATTTTCCAACTGAACCTAAAATTACGTAATCACGCTTTTTTATACATTTTACACTGAGAAAAAATGTTATTGAATTTGTAGCACGCATATTTACATACGTACAAAAGCAAATGTAATTCGTGTAATATTATATGTACTTGATTTTATAGTATTACTGTTGGAGCAAAAACTAATTCCTTCGATTGAAAATTATCTAAATATCACATTAAATAAATTAAATTTGCGCTTCTGAACGTATCTGAATAAGCGTGCTATAAATTCAAAAGGATTTTTTCTCAGTGATACAAATAGTGTTTTTCATAATATTTGAAACTAGAAATCCAGATAGCACGATAGATTGTGGCAATATCGGCGTGGAAGCTTGCAAATCTTGCAGAGAAGGTTGCTGCAAGAATGCAGTAAAATTGCGTACAATTTCCAAAATATTTGATTAAAACTTTGTGCAGTTAATTTATATATGGCATCTAGAGGTGGTACTTGAAACGCAATAATACTTTTCATATTGCCTTCCTATTATAAAACAAAAGAAATTTCTATTAAATTCAAACATTTTTAATTAATCTTTCCACAAGCTTGTCATAACTTTGCACTGCTCGTGCCAATCTTTAACAGTATGTAATCTTTCTGACATGGAAATATTTCTTTACTCGCTGCAGTTTTGGGACAACTTTGCCGTGAAATGTTAGTAGACTTACACTGCAATGTTACCGCAACCTAACGGGATATCTGGGAATTTAAGTAGCTATGTTTCAAAGAGGAGTACATATTCCTATTAAAGTCTTTTTTTCTTTCTTTATCATATACCAGTTGAATAATAATTTAACATTTTTTTTGCTAACGCTTCTTTAAAAGAAATAATTGATATTTGCAAATTGATGCAAAAGACTTATAAATAAATAAATATAATATAATGAAACAAATAAAATGCAAAGAATGAAAATAAATAAAGACTAAAAATGACAATCACTGTGTGCGTTGTAAACGCTGTCAATTTATGTGCCTTGAAACATTAAATAAATTATCGACTCTACAGAACATTAAACTTATTACTTTTGTAAAAAAAATTTATAACACAAATTTTACTCTTTAAATTTTCTTAAATTAGATTGTGGTAATACCACTAGGACCGTTGAAGATTTAACATGCACAACTGCTCTCCGACGATTTCAGTTCAATTGGCGTGTCCTTGAGAACTACTTCTTGCACTACAGGTTAAAGACAATTTAAGGAAAACATAAAAAATTTAACTGAAAATATAAACAAAAAAGTGATTCAAATATTTAACTGAAAAGAATATAAAACCTAAGCAAACAGATATTTGAAAATACTTGAAGATACACAAGTCATAATAAATGTCAGACGATTTTCAATATTTTCGCCTGCGATTAATTTCATTCGTGAAATACTTATGAGTATTCAATTAGGTCGTATTTTATCCTAGTAGATTCCTCACAACTATTAAGAACATTTCCACTTGACTTTAATTCTGCAAGTCTTTACTTAACCAAATTAAAATTTATTTATAATTTAAAAAATCACAGATCTGTATTAATGTTTAATAATTCAAAACCATATATAAAGTGTTTAAATTAAATATTTACATTTTTCATCTTAAAATGAAAATGTAGAAATCTACATAAATGCCCATTTTCTCCGTACAGTTTTGAACTTCCTTTTTATTAAAAAATGTGCTTGTTATTTGAAAGATTAATTAAATAAAAAGCATGCATTTCTTAAATTCTAATATTTGAAAGTTATTTTTATCACAACAAAATTTAATAGTATGCTTTAGTGTGAACAGGCATTACTAAAATTTTTACTAAAAGGATACTGTCTTCTGGAGGCTTATTTTCAGTGGAATCCATTCCAGGTAAAGCTGCTGCTACTCTTCTAAATAACTAAAAAGAAAAATATTTTAACTGTTGAATAAATACAAGCATTGTTACCTTTCAAGGAAAATTAAATTAGATTTCTTTTAAATTAAAAAAAACGGTCAAATTTTGTAAAATGAACTATTAAATATTAATATTATTAAATATTAACTTAAGGCCATATATGGGAAAAAGACATCTTTTAGAACTCTCAAACTTTTTCTAAAATGAAAAAATATTTCGGGTCTATGTATGCGCCGCTTGTTGTTTGCTAACAGCAGCACAGAGTAGTTGATTTCTGCTTAATAAAGTAAGTAGTCTACAGCGCATGCGAATCTACTTTTCTGTACCCAAATCAAAGCTTTGGGGCCGCTCATTAATTATTCTTATATATGTATATGAGGCAAAATTCCTGAAATGTCCGAACAAAAAATTAAAAGTTCTCGAATTTAATCCATACTTTTATAAAATGTTGTCATTGTTGGTGAAAGTCTAAAAATCAATTATTATTGAATTTGATAAAATAGTTTTTGAATTACAACGTTTTTAATTTTTGACTTTTGAAAAAAAAAATTTTCAATGTACAATATTTATAAGTAGAATGCATAAAAGTTAACATATATATATATAAAATGATTTTTTTATTTTTAAATAAAATTTGACCTTTAAATTCAAGGTCAAAATGTTAATTTACGTATATCTCAAAATCGGATTTAAAAATTTTTTTTTAACTTTCTCAATGGAAAGCTTCACAAATTTCTTACAAAATATGTAATTTTCAGAGTGGGATCTTTTAAAGTTTTTGAGATATTAATTAATTAATTAATCCCACTCTGAAAATTACATATTTTGTAAGAAATTTGTGAAGCTTTCCATTGAGAAAGTTAAAAAAAAATTTTAAAATCCGCTTTTGAGATATACGTAAATTAACATTTTGACCTTGAATTTCAAGGTCAAATTTTATTTAAAAATAAAAAACTTTATCACCATCGTGTAGCCCGTCAAAAAAGCTTTAAAAATCATTTTATATATATGTTAACTTTTATGCATTCTACTTTTTTTTTCTTTTTGCTTTGGGACTATTGGGAAATCTGTATACAGATACCTTGGCTTCCGCATGCCAAGGTTATGTGGGGTTGGTAAAAAAAAATAGAACAATAAACAAAATAAGCACACCAGAAAAGAAAACAATAAAAAGTCAATAAATAAAATAAAAAGTAAAATAAACAAAGTCAAAAATAAAATTGTAAAAAGACAGATGAACACACAAAATATAACATAAAACTGTAAAAAGACTAAAATAAATAAACAGAAAATTGTAAAAAGACAATAAAAGACAAAATAAATAATAAAATGGAGACGGTCAATTTCGCCTATCTGCGGCCATCGAGATCCTTTCTCATCATAACAGAGATGATAAAGGTCTCGATGAGCCGCCAGTTTTCCTGGGAATGGATCATCAGCGCTACCATGTTCTCCGGTGTAACTGTAGCGTTTACACCGGTGAACCTGGCCTGCCTCTCCAAGTCCCATCGACTGCAGGCAAAGAGGGTGTGCTCTGCGTTGTCCACAGGGAACTGGCAGTAAGCACACACCTCACTCTCTCTCCCTTCTTAAAGCTTATGCATTCTACTTATAAATATTGTACATTGAAAAAATTTTTTTTTTAAACGTTGTAAGGTGAATGTGCCAGTGCTCGTCACCTTAAGACTAAATCCATTTTTAAAAGAAGTAATTAATAATCTTAGAGACAACATTGATTAATAAAACAAATTTTATCGTTTAAAGTAGAGTTTCTAGAAGAGAACTGTTATTAATTTTGATAATATTAAATTATAGGTTATATTTATTTGTAAATTAATGTTAAAAATATCTAAATGCTTTAGTAATCGGCAGGTACTAAAACTAGTCGATTCAGTAATAGTTACTGTCAGATGCACTCTCATTGGTCGGTTCAGTGTTCGTCACTTGCGTGCCTTAGTTACCGTTAGGTACGTTTAAGATGGTATTTAAACAAACAGCTTTTATCTGACGAACACTAAAACATTACGCTTTGTCATTCAATTGCTTCAGTTATCGTCATCAAATTAGATAGAAAGTATTTTTATTTAACAAGCAGATATTACCTGACGAATACTAAAATTTACTACCATTAATATGTATAGAATTAAGTATTGCAAAGAAATAACAGTTTTTTTAATGTTATACTATTAGAATATGCGATTACTTTAGTCCATGTCAATTTTCAGTGTTCGTCAGTCGCGACGACTTTACAAGTAATACGTAAATAAATGTTTCAGTCGTCGTCATTGCTATTTTAAACCAAATTTATGAAAATAAAAGTACTAAAAAACATAATTAAACAATAATAGTGATATTGACAAATACAATAAGCATAAACTTACTTTATAAAATGCAATGGTTTTGAACCTGCAATGTTTTTAATTTCTCGTGTTTTCTTAACCTCAAATTTAACGATTTCGCTACATCGAATTACGTTTACTTACCTACCACAAAAAAATTAATAATTTTCAATTGAAAATGAATTATGAGCGAAAACAATAGTTGCTATTCAATGTTGCAATATATAAACTTACTAAAAATCTTATAATTTGACCCATAAAACGACCATGCGTCTTATTTTTAGGTAATATTGTGAATAGTTGACGAGGATTAACGCACTGACGAGCACTGGCACATTCACCTTCATTCAAAAACTATTTTATCAAATTCAATAATAATTGATTTTTAGACTTTCACCAACAATGACAACATTTTACAAAAGTATGGATTAAATTCGAGAACTTTTAATTTTTTGTTCGGACATTTCAGGAATTTTGCCTCATATATTAAATTATGGAAGAGTAATACCGAAAGCCATTGAGAAATCTCTCTTAGACTGATATGCTTTCCGCTTTTACGCCACCATGGAACGCGCCCTCAATAACATTTTTATCGAGGTAGGGAGGAGTGATCAAAATTGACCAAAATTATTGATCTAATAGTTCCAGTTCTCATCCAGTACAATCATACAAAAGATTAACAATGTTAATTTGACAAATATAGTTTGCAGTTAGTATAATGTCACATAGTTTCCACAACACCCCTCTAATCATGGTCACAAATTATATACAGCAAATTTTGTTATGTTATGATGCTTTTCCTTGTTCGGTTCTCCATTTATCAGTCTTTGTCTTTTAAGTTGGTTTTACGATAGGTGCAAAAGACAAGTGCAAGTCGAAAACAAATTTAAACTTGGTCTTCAGAACTAAGTTCCCGACTTCACATACGATATGGCGCATTGAATTCAAACAAACGCAAACAGAAGATTTCTTTAGGTGCAATTTTACCGTTCGATATATTACAAGTCACACCCGCAATCGGCAAATCGGGGCTGTACGAAAAGTTCTTTATTTAGAAAATGTGATTATGTGCATTGGACCACAACATAATACATATTTTAATATATCATAGCATAATACGGCTAGTGTACATAATCACGGTCTTTGACTAGCATTTTTCATGCAGATTTCTCAGACATTTTTAGATACGCTTTCTATAGCATGTTAAGTCTCCTTAATATTTCTCCAAAAAAATATGAGACAATGATGTTTTTGGAATTCCATATTCCAATTCCATTGTTTGTCAAAACTGAAGGTTACTCTGTGAAAAAAGTATTGGGATGTCCACGCATATTTCATATAAACAAAGTAAACGTATCCTTCCGTTTTTAATTTTGACATTGTAAAATTTCTTTATAATTGCACTTGCATAAATAATGTAATAAATTTTAACATAACATGCTTTAACATAAAAAATAAAAACATGCAAAAAAAATCAGTGCCGAAATATGAACCAGCAAAAATAAATTATACATCAACTTAATGCGTTTTTACTGCCCTGTTGACCACATATTCCTTGCTATTCATCAAACCAGCAATAAGTTTTTCTCAAAAACTGCTTTGTAGGTAGTATAAATGAGAAGCAAGTTTTCAAAACCTGATAAATCCATATATTTTTATTTCGAGAAATTCAAACAAATGACTTTCCACACATAACCACTAGAGTTAATTTTAAAATAAAAAATGTATAATAATTTATTTCTATAACAATGTTTTTATATTCAATACGTTATGTTTCTAATTGAACTTTGTCATAATTGAGTGATTTACAGGTTTTGGTAATTTTTTCTAATATAAAACATACAAATTGTAAATCATCTTGGTTATGTCAATAAGTTTTTAAATTAAAAATTTGTAATTAATAAATTTTTTTCCTTAAATTTAACAGTGACAGATCGATTTGTGAGGTCCTTAAAATATTAAATTTATGGTTTTCTCCATTTTTTTGAAAAATGGATTTATCAAGTTTTAAAATTTGCTCCTCAAATTATAACACAGAACGGTTTTCGAGATATGACTAAATTTCAATTTTTTGAGTTTCGAAAAAAGTAGGTTGACCGTTTTTAATTTATTTTAAAGTAATTTAAAGGTACATAATTAAATTTCTTGTAAAAAAGTATTTATAACATTTTTTAATCAGACTTACGGTTTAGGAGCTATTTATGAATTCTTCTGGAATTTTTCATTATTTTTAACAAAATTTTTGAAAATGATTTACTTTTTCTGTAAATGACGTCATAAAAAACGTGTTTACTTCATCATTTTCAGTACCTAGATTTTCTGGCAAGAAATCCTAGTGGGAGTGTATATAGGAAATGGATTTTCAAAGACATATTTAACCTATTTTAATAAAATAGGATTAATATAAATAAAGTTAGGAAGTTAAGACTGTATTTGGGCGACTTTGTCAAATAAAAATGCCACACACTGGCATCATTAAAAATGAAATATTAAAAATTACCCTGATTTTCTTATAGTTTGTAAACATGGTTTTTATCACGCAATTTACAGAAAAAGTCAATCATTATCTACAAAGTTAAAAATAATGATAAATTCCAGACAAGTTCATAAATTAGCTCCTAAACCATCACTTAACTAACCCATTAACGCCCATGCTTAGACACATGGAAATATCTGCAAAATCAAAATTAGAAACAAGACTGTGGTCCAAACAATGACTTTTGACATTAAAAATTGTTTAAAAATAGTTTGTTCAAACAAATTGTTATAAACAAATAAAGTGAAAATTTGTTGGATTTTCAAAAATTAATATCGCCATTCGATCCTACCGGAAAAATTACTACAGGAACATGTACATATGTCTTTTTCAAATTTTTTTTTTAAATTTGTTTTAAAAAATTATTTGTTAAACAATTTTTAACATCAAAAGTCATTGTTTAGACCGCAGTCCTATTTCCAATTCAGATTTTGCAGATATTTCCATGTGTCTAAGCATGGGCGTTAATGGGTTAATATATGACATCATATTTGGATTCAGGAGAAAATTTTACATATAGTGTATATAAATTTTACTTATAGGCTTAAAAATTTCATTTTTTAAATTTAAAATCAATAAATATAATACAACCAAGTTAAACTCAAGAAGGGGAGATAAATTTAGATACATACTTTAAAAGAGCAATTTATAGACGATTGCTAGAGTAACACATATTAAGTAAAAAGTACAAAAAATAATCTTACCTGTTTAACATTATAACCTGCTTTAGCACTAGTCTCAATGAACATTACATTTAACTCTTTAGCCTTTCTTTCACCTTCTTCAGTGGACACTTGTCGTTTATCACTTAAATCAGTTTTATTCCCAACCAGCATAATTATTACGTCACTACCTCGTTCCGTTCTGACATCATCAATCCATTTTGAAGTTTGATGAAAAGAATTTGCATCTACAAAAATCAATTCAAGTAAAATATGAAGAATATGAATAAATATTATATATATATTATACACAAAAACGTGTGAAGAAACAATTTGATTGTCAAAGTACATAAGATCTATATTATTATTATTATCATCATTAATATTAAGATTTTTAGAAATTATAAAATTCATTGAGTTTTTTGGGAATTTTAAAGGTGATTTTTTCAGAAAATATTTAATTGGAGAACGTTTACAAATATAATAGTCACGCATTTTTTAAAATATTTTTTTACATAGAAAAAACACATTACGTTTGGTAAAAACTTCCTACTTCCTCCTCAGTACCCCAAGTAGCACGGAATAGTGCTTGAATGTCACGGTGATATCAAGCGGAAATATTCTTGTGAGATTCATGCGATATTATAATGTCCGCTTTACGGGGACATTCCATGACATTCGTATGATACTGAGGGAATATTAGTGTGATGCATATTGATGGAGTAATTTTTAAATGTCTATTATTTGTTTGTTTTGACTATTTAAATAAGAAAATAAACAAATACATAAAAATAAAATAAAATTTAGAATTTTTTAAATTACCCCATCAATATCACCATGAAACGGACATTATGATATCGCCTGAATGTCACATTCATCCCGCTTGATATCACCATAACATTTAAGCAATATTCCGTGCTACTTGGGACGTGGCGTCATTTGTGAAATTCCCTTTTTACAATTACCTAAGTTAATTATAAAAGACACACATAATTAATAAATCAATATTTTAATTCCTTAGATAAATAAATCCTGCAAAAAATTATTTAATTTATTTGTGAAATGTTTTTTGTTTTTGTAAATCTTTAAAAGGTTAATTGCATTAACCTTTATTCTTTATATTTCATAGACTTTTAAATACGGAAATTTGAAAAATTTATTGTGGAATATTAGGAAAAGATAAAATAAAACTTACTTGTGATATCATACACTACAACTGCCACTGTAGAGTCTCTAATGTAACTAGGAATTAAAGATCGGAAACGCTCTTGTCCTGCAGTATCCCACAATTGTAATCTAACAGTTCTATCCTCCAAGTACATAGTTTTACTTAAAAAATCTATACCTATTGTAGCCTGAAAAATGACGGTTAATAATATAACAAAATAAATTTGCGTTTAAGTCAATATTTATAAATAAAGAGAATTTTTAAAACATACCTGATAAGTGTTGTCAAAACTGTCATACATAAAGCGAGTGATAAGAGATGTTTTTCCCACTGTAAAAAACCAGAAAAATGGTTCAATTCTTCTAAAGTTGGAATTATCCATAAAGGATAACACATATTAAATTCTATTCACAACTTAATACTTAATAGTTAGCCTCTGCTAACTTTTCCTTATTCCAACGCTACATAAACTATACGTTTACATTATTCCCAAAGTCACCGCCGGGTGTTCGAATAGAAGATTTTATATTACAGTTAAATGAGTAAGTAGTGGATTAATTGGTTAAAAATTAAAATGCATTTTTCTCAATAAATATTTAGGTTTATTTCTGCGAATTTTCATAAAATATTTTGAAATATTTTAGATAAAATTAGAAATCAATTTAAAATAAACTATAACTTTTATATTGTAAATGTAATAAAATGTATACTTATAAACAAGAAATTAACATATACGTACACATGCGTTTTTTGTGTATTTACGGATTCTTAAAAAAAATTTTAATTTATTTACATTTACCCAATATATTTAATTTTTTAACAACATGCAAATGTAATATTAGAAAATACATTTGTCTACTTTAATTTAGTACTTATAATTTTTTTAAACATACCCATAAACAAGGGTCATTTTAATTCAGATGCATTCACGCATGATTGTTTATGGATTTAGGACATGAATAAAGAAACAAATGGTTTGTCTACATCCTTTATAATATTGTGAGAGTTTTTATTTAAATATACTAGCAGATTTTGTTGCATAGTTTAAATATGTATCAAATTACTTTTTCTTTATATGTGTACGTCCGCATGAAAAGGGACCACTTTGTCGATTTTATTTTAGGAGATAATCGCAATTTTCTAAAAGTAGTTCAGATTTTTGATTTCTTTTTTATTCTTGAAAATCAATCTACAAAGTGTTCGACGTTAAATTATGCATTCACGATGTACTCATGACATTGTAATTAAAACAATTATTATTCTTATTTTTAATTTTTAATTAACATGGGAATTAATGGTAGATTTGAACTTCAAACTCGTTTTTCTTTAAATTAGGTTTTTGGCACTTCTAACTTTGAATCTCTATAACTTCGCGAATTTTTCACTTAGAGCAGCTTAAGACCGTTCAAATTGTTCGAAATTTAATCAAGAATGCACTCATGTCCCTTTTCATGCAGACGTACACATATTTTGTTCTCTATTTTATTTAAGACATAATTTAATTTAATTTAATTCTTCTCAAATATCCAGGATTATAATCAATTCTTTTTATACGACACTATATTAATTTCTAGAAATTTATAGAAAAGCCTAATTTTATTACTTCAAATAGTTGATGATTTCTTATGACTCTTATTATTTTTTGTCTAAGCCACTTTTCTTTCGAAAAAAATATATGAATATTATTTTCCAGTTACAACAAATTATTAAAAGTAAATTACAAAAAAAAATTTTCTATAAATAAATAACTTATAGCAATCAATAAAATAAAAATTATTAATAAAAGTTGAGATGAAAAAATATTTATTCTCTCTTAAAAACAGAATATTTTTAATGAGTAACCTAATATTCTTTATAAGAATAAAACTTGTACAATACTATATTTCTTACGGAATTGAAGCAAACTTATAATGTTGTACACTTTCTCACCACTTTGTTCGCCAAGAAAGACAAGTTTAAACTTCCTTAATGGATTTCCAAAATCGCCTGAAGACGACATCTTTTAAAATTACTAGTTATCGTATATAATTTATTATTTCTAACTATCACTAACAAAATATCAGAAAAATAAACAGTCTTCGCATTTGATCAAGAAATCAAACTACTTTGACAGCTCTACAATGTAACAGCCACTCCTTTTTAATGCGGCAGCCACGTTTGGCATTAACTAGGAAATGACGTCACTTAAAAGTTGCAAATGTGGGAAACAACACAGTCGTACTCGTACATACAGGCCGTGATGTTTCAAACTGGATGGACACCAGATAAAGGCCTTTCTCCAATGGAACCTAAACTTTTGCGTTGCGTGACTGACGCGTTGATTTTAGCATTGGTTGCCAATAGCAACCGACGCAATGCATACGCAACGCAAGAGTTTAGGATCCTATTGGAAAAAGGCCTTAACGGAACCAAAAGTTTCTGTCAGGCGGCGCAGTTATCGACTAGTGTATAGGCCTTAAGGTACGGTCACACGACTTTTGGAAAAACCATTCATGTCTTTCTCTCTCCTAAGACAGAGGCATAAGATTGTCTCACTCTGCATTTTCTTACATTTCCCAAAGACGGAAAATGCAGAGTGAGACAAACTTATGCGTCTGTAATAGGAGAGAGAAAGACAAGAATGGTTTTTCCAAAAGTCGTGTGACCGTACCCTAAGCCGAAAGTTATGCGAAAAGCGTTCGCGAACATGAAGAAGAAGATAATATATTCGTGTCCTTTTCTATTTCATGCATCTCGTTCCCGCCGAAAAGTGTTTTGTCATAACACAAACAAATTAATTTGTTACTCACAGCAAAAAAATGGCGCTAATGTATACAAAAATCTGTTACATGGGGGAGGGGGTTCAAATTTCAAAGAAAAAGCATTACGTAATTAAGGTACGGCCCCTTAATTGTGCGTTGGAAAACGGATGCGTCAATAGGCCTTTTTATGCTGACAGTTCTGTCCTTATCTATCGCGTATAATGACGCATGAGTTGGAAGAGGACAGAATGATCAGCATGAAAAGGTCTATGTTTCGCGCAACCGTTTTTCAACGCACAATTAAGGCCTTTCTCCAATAGTGCTCGCACACCTCCGGCTGCCTGCCTGCAGGTTACCATGGCAATGCATGAGAGTGAGTGCGACAGAAAGTTTGAATATTTAAATTTTGTCTCACTCACACCCGTGTGTTGCCATGGTAACCTGCAGGCAGGCCGGCAGCCAAGAGGTGAGAGTGCCTCTTAAGGTTCTTTTATACCTCTAATATTTTGGTCAAGCAATCAGGTAGATTGAATTTTCGCGGAGAATCACTGAATTTGATTGCCTCTAACAAAATTTAATGTTCACGGTGAAAATGTAATAGTTGTCAGAGCCAATCAAATTTAGTGATACAACTGTGAAAATCCAGCTGATTACTTGACCAAAATACTAGAGGTAAAAAAACACCTTTAAAGGAGGTTCTACAATAAGTGCAAAAAGCAAGTGCAAGTATACATGTCCAAATACAAATCCTATGAGTGCAAGAGAGATAGATAGACTATCTATCTCTTTCGCACTCATGTACGGAAGCTTCTATGCGCCACCACTAAGTACTCACTAGCTTTACGAGGCACAATTTGGCTCTGTCACTTGTGACGTCAGAGTCGATTCTAGGTGTGACGTCAGAAGCCTGGAGGGACAACAAACAGACGACACAATGTTATTCTTATGGAGAAGAAAATTAGTTTCCACTTTCATCAATTTTATTCATACTTTAAATATGGAAAACGCTTGTTGACATATAATAAAATTAAAATGTGTGTTGATAATTAATTTTATTATATATTTGATTCAATTGCATTGATAGATTCTCTGAATTTGTGATAAAATATAAATTTTGAGGTTAAGGGTGTTTGTTTACTAACTTAAAATCTTTTACTGCTGCGGTTATTCCCACTTAAAATATATATTTTATTTCTTTTTTACTAACATGCATACTGGATATTGTTTAATAATGTAGTTAAAATGTAAAATGTGATTAGTAAATAAACATCGATAACCTCAAAATATATAACAAAATTAATTATCAACGCACATTTTAATTTTATTATATGTCAACAAGCGTTTTCTATGTTTAAAATATGAATAAAATTGATGAAAGTGGAAACTAATTTTCTTCCCCATAAGAATAACATTGTGTCGTCTGTTTGTTGTCCCTCCAGGCCTCTGACGTCATATCTTGAACTCGAAATATTTAATTTATAATTAAAAATTGAATCCAGTATTTTCAACTGCGCCTCAGCGACAGTTGGCAATACGTTGCGCGCGCATCCAAGTACAATAAATTTGCACTTGTACTTGTACTTGGTCTTGCATCTATTGTAGAACCTCCTTACGAGGCGCGCACGAGTGGGTCGATTCAATTGTTTGTATGTTTGTTTTGTATAAATGGCCTCCGATTCAATCGTGCCTCGATATGTGTCTCGTAACGCGAGTGAGTGCTTAGTGGTGGCGCATAGAAGCTTCCGTACTCATGAGATTGGCGCTTGGACTTGCATACATTTTTAAACGGGAACGCAATTGTGAACGGAAACGTAAGAATGAGTGAGAAAAGAATAAAGATATTTGCTATCTTTCTCTTACACATTCTTACGTTTTCGATTACGATTGCGTTCCCGTTCAAGAATCTATTCTGCTTAAGCCTATAGTGTGAGCGAAAATGAAAGTTTAATGGAGCTTCTACAATAGCTCCGTTTGGCAAGTCCAAGTCGGTTGGAGTTGGTTGCGCGCGCATGGTGTTGCCAACTGTCGCCGAGTTGAAAATGAAAAAAAAATTGTGCGTGATCTCGTGCTCACGAAATAGTTGAGGTTATGTACCTTTGAAGCTGTAAACACTTTGTAAAGTTTAATAAATTATTTGTTGTTGCTGTTGATGTTGCAGCCGTCTCATCGTTTTTTAAAAGGTAAGAAAAATATAAATTATTAATCTTTTAATAAATTTTTCTTTTATTAATAATAAAATTTTTTTCCCCGAATAATACACACACATGCAATGAATTTAATATTTGTAATATATAAATATAGTAATAAAGAAATATCCAATAAATAAGATGAACTGTCATTACAAAATTTTTTTTATGTTTTTTATTGACATTATAATAAAAGTCTTTCATCATTTTGATTTTACAATATATTAAAAAGGTATTGTTTATAAAAGAAAAATTTATTAAAAGATTAATAATTTATATTTTTCTTACCTTTTAAAAAACGATGAGATGGCGGCAACATCAACAGCAACAACAAATAATTTATTAAACTTTACAACGTGTTTACAGCTTCAAAGGTACATAACCTCAACTATTTCGTGAGCACGAGATCACGCACAATTTTTTTTTTCATTTTCAACTCGGCGACAGTTGGCAACACCATGCGCGCGCAACCAACTCCAACCGACTTGGACTTGGAGTTTGAGTTGCCAAACGGAGCTATTGTAGAAGCTCCATAACTTTTTCTTCTTCTTGCTCACATTCATGCCGCCCCCTTGCCCCGTCAACCACAGGCAGACAGGCAGAGGCAGCCGAGTTGTGACCGCACCTTTACAATGACGATTATGGTGAAATACCCCTCCACAATCCTCCATGAGAGAGAAATTAAATGATAAAAACAGTTTTATTCTAAAAGTTTTTTTAGAATCAATACTTCTTTTCAAAATCTGATTAATGCATTTATTTAAAGTATCTTATGTGACGAGTAAAAATGACTGAAGAATTTATTTTACTTCTTCAGATATATTATTTAAAATCAGTATTAAAGCAAGAGTTAAATATTATCTTGAAATATAAGTAAAAAAAAATTCTTCATGTTTTAATTCAATGTAAATAGTAATTTTTTGGTAAAACGATTTTACGTGATGTTTTCAAGTATTCGAGAAGCTGTAAGAGTTAAAGTTAAGGTATAATCGAATACTCTTATTACCTTTTTAATCAATTATTATACTTATAATTGTTTTATAATATAAATGTAAATAAATTAAATATTTTTTTAATATTGATACTTTGGAAAAGAATATAGTACTGAGAAATATAATTGAAATATTATTAGGTGTAACGCATTGATAGTTTCTTATTGTACGTATAAATATGAATATAATTATTTGCATATATACTGTAGACGTCATTTATTTTGTTTACGCACGTCCTTATTACACTTAAGGGGTTAATCAGTTTTCCATAAGGATGGAATATGTGTATATACATAAATATTGAATCCTATTTTACTGAATAAATATTATATACATATTTTTAGAAATGTGAAACACTGCATCAACCTGAATATCGAAAATTTTCTGTTGATCCTCAAATTACATCTATAGAAGTTTTACAAAGTATATTAATTAAGGCCTTTGATATTAAAGGGTACAGTATATAATTGATTTTACTTAATTTATATAATTAAACTGCCTCACATGTAAATGTGAACGATTTTTACAGAGACTTTTCTATTTCTTATCGCGCCATTGATGATTATGGTTCTGAAACTTATTTGTTTCTTCTATCCGATTGGGATTTGGATGCAGCATTTATTAGGTAAAACCCATTAGTAAATTTTACTTACAATTAAGGGCATATGATAGTTGTGATTTCAAATGTAAATATTCTCCAAAAGTTTTCTCGCAAAATACTTGACAGATTGAGCTAAAATTTTGTAAAAAAAAAAATCAAAAATAGTATATAAGAATTCGTTGTCATGTGCCAGAGTATATTAATATTTTCTTAAAAATTGCATAATTTGATAAATCACTAAAATCGTACTGCCGTCATATTAAACTTTACAGAAACATGCAATTTTTTAAGAATAATTTTTTTGACAAAATATTCATGAACGAATCATTTACTATTTTTGAGTTCTTTATACAATTTTAGCTCAATCTATAGAGTATTTTGCGTAAAAACCTGCTGAGAACATTTACATCTGGATTTAAAACAATAACGTGACCTTAAAACAATTTTTTTATTGATAATCAATATTAGTAATTTAGTAGTTAATAATTTGCGTTAAATTTTTGTTTCTGGGTAAATCTACGGAATCGTGTGATTTTAGAAATTATTTGACTTACTACTTTGGGTATTTTTTCGACTTGTACGAATATAATTTTTCAGCAGAAAACAAAATCATTTGAAATTCACGGCGCTTGATATTTCTAACATTGAAAAATGAATTATACATGACGAAAAAAGTTTTTGCTTCCTAATTAAAACTAAATGACAACTATTGAAACTATTAAAACTCCTATTTTCAATAAAATTAAAAATGAAGATAATATAGCAATATGTTTGTTCAAAATAAAATATTTTAAAAAATATAATGTTTATATTGCATTCAATGAATATTTAAATCAATTTAAATTATTTAAATTAAATCTAAAAAAATTGTCAGTTTAAATAATTTTTGAGATTTCAACATCTGTCCCCTGTTCAGAAGTCTTTATTTGTTTTGAACAATGTAATCTTTAAGCACTAAAGAAAAATGGTTAACATATAACAATTACATATTATTATTTATTGTAATTTAAATATTTTAATATGGTTCCGTGAATTTGCCCTTATTTCGTTGTATAATTTTACAGTGCATCGGAACCTTATCTTTATCTTCAAGTAAACTTAAAGCCATTAGGTAAAAAAGAGAGCTTTAAATATGACTACGATGAAAGTTTAAGAGAAGTATCGACTAGGCAAACGAGCACAGGGTTTCCATGTAAGACTCAAAAACTTCCGGGTTTAATATTGAACAAGGTAAATTATTTTATTATAAAGTAATAGATTTCTAATAGTCATTCATTTACCATAAGCTTACATCGTAATGTAACTGTAACTTTAGATCATTGCATTTAGATTTATTGAAATTCACAATTTGCTTATCTTATTAAAATAGATTTAGACACTGTATTTTAAAGTTGTTTATTTGAATTAATTGTTGTGCACATTTGAAATATATTAGGTGCTAAACCAACTCTCCAGGATACAAACGGCTAGCAATGCAGCAACATCATCTTTACAGATGGAAAGGACATTTAATTTAGTACAAAGAGCTCTTGGAAATTTAGCTGATGATAACGTTGAACCACCTCGTCCACCACTAACAGATACTGAATTTAGAAAATTTTTAGATCCAATAGGACAAATAATTTATTCAAAGGAATTAAGAGCTGTAATTTACTTTGGTGGTGTTGAACCTAGTTTGCGAAAAGTTGTATGGAAACATCTTTTGAATGTCTATCCTAACGGAATGTCAGGACGCGAAAGAATTGATTATATGAAAAGGAAAGCTCAAGAATATGAAAATTTGAAAGAGAAATGGAAGTCGTTGATTCACCAGGGTCAAAATGTAGGCGACATTGAATATGTTACAAATATGGTTAGAAAAGATGTTCTTCGAACAGATAGGCATCACAAATTTTATGCAGGATCTGATGACAATCAGAACATTGCTAGTCTTTTTAATATTCTGACAACTTATGCCCTTAATCATCCAAGTATCAGCTATTGTCAGGGTATGAGCGACCTTGCTTCTCCTCTCTTGGTTATGATGCGTGACGAAGCTCAAGCCTATATTTGTTTATGTGCCTTGATGAGAAGACTTAAGGATAACTTTATGTTAGATGGAATTACCATGACTACTAAGTTTGCTCATTTGTCCGAAGGTATAGTGATAATGAAATGAAGTAATCATTGAAACCGATATTTGTCGAGTGCTTGTACCGCATTTTTTATGTCACAGGTATACAGTATTATGACCCGCAATTTTATGCCTATCTTAAGTCTCATCAAGCCGATGACCTTCTCTTCACTTATCGATGGTTATTACTGGAAATGAAGCGGGAATTTGCATTGGATGATGCTTTAAGAATGCTTGAAGTAAGTTGGGCAGCTTTACCTGCTTTACCTCCTATTGGAGAATTAAGTTTGACGGAAGCACCGTTTCCTCCATCTTCACCACAGCCAAGTTCTGGTTTAAAACAAATTCGAGGAAATGCCTATACTAAAGTTTGCGCCATTCGTCGACAAAGTTCTCTGGCAAATATCGCGACTAGTAAAAGAGGACAAGCAGTCGCAGAAGAATCTGTTTTGGAAAGTGATTATGTGGATAGTAGTTTAGAAAAGTAATATATTATTATATAATATTTAATATAGAAAGAAAATATTAGACTACAGATTTCGTGAGAATCTTTTGCTAAGTACGAACTCTCTGATGTCTTTGTAAAATGTAATCTTTATGGCCCAATTATTAAGTCAAATATTCCAGTAAGAAGGGTTTCATTTAATAGTTCTGGAAAATTCAGTCAAATGAATGTTGGCTATTTTGAATTCAGTCCGTAGTAACACACGCACACTAACTAAAATAGAGAAAATTTTAAGTCTTATACGCGACCTTTTACATTAGGTGCTTTAAATGTCTCGTTACGTACATTTCTACAATGTAAACTAAATTAAACTTTTATATATTTAAATGAAAGAAATTATATTACTTTATTAATTTACAATCATTTCTAACAATTTGGTGATGCATGGGAATTTATATGGATTGGTGTGTGTGTGTACACAGAACAAGTTGGACCTTTAGAGTTATGTTTTGGTCACTTCGTAAGGCTGCGTCTACAATAGATTAAAAAATTTGTAACGATCGTGTAGTGTAGTGTAAAGTCGTGTATCTTGTATGACTTAGATATTGCAAATTAACATTTTTTTTTGTTTTTGTTAATAAACAAAAACATAACCTCAAATTCAGATTTTTAATATATTAAAATTTAATATATTAAAAATCTGAATTTGAGGTTATGTTTTTGTTTATTAACAGCAGTTAATTTGCAATATCTAAGTCATACAAGATACACGACTTTACACTACACTACACGATCGTTACAAATTTTTTAATCTATTGTAGACGCAGCCTAAAGGAAACCCTAAATAAACAAAAAATAGATTGAATTGATTTTTTATACTTTTTAATCTAAGTTTTGTTACTGGAATACTATATAAGGAAAAAAATAATTTATTAAATTTTATAAGATTGTTTGTATTTTTAGATATATTAATCAATTTTAATTACAAAAGTTTGTTACCTATATTTGTAGAGGAGTTTTATAAAATATTCTATAATTTCAGTAAAAAAAAGAAAATTACACTGTGCTAGTTCTAAAAATGAACAATAGTGTATTAACCTACTTTGGGTACGTTGAATTCAATGGCGTTAGCCGTTTTTCAAAATCGAATCAAATTTTTAAAATAATTGACATTTTTTTTGGTTCATTATCAAAATACAATATATCAAATTATTTCCTAATCAAAAAGTATAAAATTGACTTGAAACACGTTACTCGGGGGGTTTTCGGGATCGCTGATTTCGAATCCAGTATCAGTTTTTCAAAATTCAAAATGGCAGCTCTAATATGGCGGACTTTTTTTTAAATCGTTTGGATTCCATTGCTTAGAAGCTCTTGTAAACATTTCGAAATACATATGTGACTAGTCTACTAAAAGGAACACAAGATTCAAAAAAACAATGTTCTCTTTTTGGCGATTTTGATAGGAAAAACACGCTGTTTAGGAATCCTTCAGTCAGTTTCAAGAATTTCAAATTTAATATGGTAAATGAATTTCTTACAATACATCGAATTCACTTAAAACTCGTTACTTGTTGGTGTTTTGGGGTCGTTCATACCAGATTTGTAATTGGCGACCCAAAGACCTTTGAGTAATAAATTTCAAATTAAATACTTGAATTTTTAATAAATTCATCCGACATTTTGAATTTTGAAAAACTGACTCTAGATTTAAAATCATTTGTATTTTGATAATGAACCAAAAAAATGTCGATTATTTTAAAAATTTGACCAGATCTTGAAAAACGGCTAACGCCATTGAATTCAGCATACCCAAATTCTGTTAATACACTAAATGCCCAGTTTTTTCCAAAAAAAAGTACTTCTTTCGAGCACAGTGTTATTTAAATTAAACTTTAAACAGATCTACAGATTCTGCCAAAATTTGCTATAATACATGCTAAACATATTTATAAGAAACTTTAACTAATTATTTTTTTCCGTCAACTATTTGCATCTATTCTCATCATAATTTAAAGTTGTACTTGAAAATTTTTCACAATTTTTCTGGTACTAGAGGAGACATGTAAACGTTCAAGTAGCACTCTAGTCTGAATCAAAGTCTATTCAAGATCAATACGCTACTCGAACATTTACATGCCTTTTTTATGGTCTCACCTGTATGTATACTGAGTTCTAGACCCAGAAAGTACGCAACTTGGCAAACTCAGATTTTTGCGAAATCTTCCTGCAAGCTTGCATAGAACGCATTTGATAACTAACTCAATATTTTTAATGAAAATTATATAGTTGCGCAATAGATTTTAGTAACCACTGATGCTCAATGGATCAGTAATTCTTCTAATGCATTATAAAAACAATTATTAAACCTTTCTGAATAATTTTCATATACTCGCAGACAGCATCCTTTCTTTCTAAATCTGAATTATTACAATTTTACTAACTTTTAGTCAGATACACTCATTAAAAAGAAAAATGATGCAAGAGAATATATTTTTTCATTTCAACAAAAAATATGAGGCCATTTATAAACTATGTGACCCATTTTTTTTTTTGAAATTTTAACCTTCTCCCCCATTTATGTGCCATTTTTTCAATATATAATTTCAATATTTCGAAAAAGATTATTTTAATCAACTTCTAGCAAATTCGCTATCATTTTAGCAAAAATAACTCGTAAAAATACACCAGAATACCAAATGGTAGCCCTTTTGGTTAAAAATTGTAAAATTAATAGGGGAAAAAAATTATTTAAATCAATTTCAATTGGATTCTCTGTAATTTTTCTGTAATCTTTAGTTGAGATACACTACCAGAAACAAATTTAAAAAAAATTCATCAAAACTTTTGTTTTTGGAGGGGGGAATCAATCAGACGGATAGTTTATTTTCTAGAGCAGGATAAAATTGGACGGATGGACAACGTAGCAAAAACAATAGGGTTCCGTACTAGGATACCATAATAGGGTTTCCCTAAAAAAATAAAAATTTCACATTCATACTCGAATAATAATGTTCGAAAAATTAAGAGTTTTGTCTGCTGAATACGAATCTAAATCAGATTTAAAAAGTTGGTCGGATTCGCTTGAAACTCGTCATTCGGGGGTTTTTGGGGTCGCTTATTACGAATCACTATAAATAACTAATTCAATATCAAAATATTTCTTATTAAATTAAATAAATGTTTGTTAATTCACATTTAGAGAAGGTTGCTAACTGCATCTGTCAAGCTTGCTAATCGCATGTATGAATATGTATGTATCAAGTTTGCTTGTTATATATAAAAAGAATACATTAAAATTTATGCAAATTATAAATCTGTATAGATCATCTTCTGGGCCAACATCATCAAAAGAATTGCCTTCAGAAATGAGTACAAATGCAAAGCTCATGACAAATAAAAATATTTATTCAAAGGATGAGTCTTTAAGCACTGAAAATTTATCAAATAAAAGTCCAACTATAAAGGTAAACTTGAGAGAAGAATTAAGTCTTGTTGATGGAGGACAGAAAGTTTTAGAATTAAATGAATCTGAAAAAAAATCCTTGCGAGTCGTTAAAAATTTAAATGAATTTTTAAATTTCACAAGTTCCAATCGCAGTAAAGTTATGAGCGCAGATAATGATCATCAACAAAAGGAAATTTCTATGGAAATGACGGATGCTAAATCACTTAACGATTCTTCTCCAGATGATTTAACTGATTTTTATCCTATGACTACTGCACTGACAAAAGAATTGAAGCTGGAAATTGAATCCTTAAATCGTCAGGTTCGTTCATCTTTATGAAATATTAAAACGTATATATGTATTGTTGTATTATATGAATTCTGTCAACTCAGAATAAGGTTTTTCTGATGGAAGCCTTTTTTAAAAAATGATGGGGAAATAGGACTTTGAATTTTGATAAACCATAACTTTGTTTCGATTCAGTTATAATCTAAAATTTCAAGGTTTCAAATAATAATTTGTCTCAAAATATATTTCAACTTCTGCGTACTCAAAGTGGCCATTATCGCTTTTCTACATTTAGAGTTTATATAGCTACTTGATACTATATGACTATATTTAATTTTAATTTTTTTTATTTAAAAAAGTTTATGGTTACAAAATTTTTAGTGACATTTATTGTTTAAGACATGTGCAAATTTTGACAAACATCTATTAGACTGCAAATTATATTATAACATATCGTTGTACTTCCACTTTTTTACATCTTTTATTTGAACGAAGAAAATGAAAATTTTGTAAAGAAGGAATTTTTAAAATATTTAAGTAATAGTTTATTTCGAAAAATTGACATATAAATTTTTTAGGTATTTGGTCCATCTTCATCTAATATACACACGTACGAGGAAAATAAGGCAAATGAGTTTGACGAGTGTCAAGTAGAAACAAGTGAAGATAATTACAGTTCTGCAGATACTGAATTTAGTTGGAGGAATCCAATGTGGAAATTGGAAAAAGAAAATAATCTTTTAACTTCAAATGAGCATATAAATCTTGAAAATAGTGAGGATGGTCAAGATGAAAACGGAATAACATCTGTTACACCAGTTAGGTTATTTAAATACTCTTTGAGGTAAGTACCTATATATTTATTTAACATGAGTATAATACAAAATATACATGGGTGATTCTCGGCGTAGCGCAAAATTTCATGCTCCTCATGTTTTGCAATCAACATTCTAGTAATAAATTCAACGTGAAAATATTAATTCTATGTTCAAAAACAAAAGTCAATAATCGTTTCTATTTATAACTTTTTATAAAAACAGTAAAAAGGTGCCAAAACCTCATGGTCTGGCCTGTCCCTAAATTAATATTTTTAGTAAAATATAGTAATAAATAATATAATTATTATTGTACAAGTTACTAGAATTAAGGAAAACAAAGTACTTGTCAAAATTATTTTTTATTTTTTTGCTGTGATTATGAAACAGAATAGCAATCGCTGATAAATTGTTTAAAAAATCAGTAATTGTTAAGCGTCATGATCTGGCTCTTTTCTATTTATTTGCATGTATCATAAAATTATTAGAAAAATTACAAATATTTCATTTTAGACCCTTCTGCTTGTAGAATATGTATTGATATTAATTTTTTTACAGGCCTGAGAACTGCTCAGAAGGAGTGGGAACTGACAATGTCAAAATTGAGAGTACTCAAATATCAATTCAAGAACAGTGTCAAGAAGCAACAGAAATTATGAATCTTATACCATCTGGTGCAAGTGAAGATGCATTGACTGGATATTCACTTCCTCCTCCAAATGAATTTGGACGTGGTAATCCATTTTTAATGTTTTTATGCATTACATTGCTTTTGCAACATAGAGATTATGTAATGCGTAATCAAATGGATTATAACGAAATGGCCATGCACTTTGATAAAATGGTTCGTCGACATAATGTTACAAAAGTCTTAAATCAGGCAAGACAATTATTTGCTGGATATATGAGGACGCATTCTAAATCCGATTATATTAATGTATAATAGTATTTAAAAAGTGTTTATTAAACATTATTACGCGCTTACAATGCAAGAATGACAATTTTTTTCTATTGTATAGAAATTGAAATCCTAATTTATTTTTTAATTCAAAAGTATTTCTCAAAATAGTCAAAATGGAAATACTATAACAAAATCATATTTTGTTGAAAATGAAAAATGGATGTAAACACTATAAATAAAAACATTATTATTTAAATATCATTAAACTACTTTCTAATTTTAGTTATAAGAGATTGCACTGAAATTTGTCGAGTTTAGACTGCACTTATGATGTTTTCGACGGCGGAAATTATAAGCACTTAAGATATTTCTTCTAAGTACAGTCACCCTTCAAAGTTTTGTGTATTTTCATTGACGTATTTACAATCTTCCATACTTTGAAACTGTACCTCTAGACTTTGTCTGTTTTATGTATTGTTATTTTTCATGGATCAATGCAATTTTTTAAGTAAATGCGTATAGAAATATTTCCAATATGTTTAATACAAGTTCAAAAGCACAAAAGGTTAGTGCAAGTTTTCTATTCTAAAGTAGCAGGGTGGTTCATCATACTGTTAATCTTATAAAATTTATTCAATTTTATTCTGTAATATTAATATTTAGCATGCACAGAATATTCTGAAAGAAATGTTAATTAATTTTTATAAGCCAAATGTGCGTAGGAACAAAATTTTTTTTCATCTCCTTGCCATGCATTGCCATGTCTCTAGCGCGACTTCTATCAGTTGATTACATTTTTAGAGAAACTTTTAAATCTTTAAATTTATGTAAAAAAAACTTCAAATAAAGTTTTAATATGTATTAAATGGAAGTTTGTAACTTAATGTTTATTTTCCTAAATATTGTTTATATACAATAACAATATTTATAATGTATTTATATTATATTAAAGTCAAATATTGTTGAGAGAAAAAATTCTATTCATCTTCTAAGTCACATTATTTTCTAAGATTTCTTAAAACATGTTTGTTTAATTACATTTGAATATTTATAAAAAGTTGAAAATAAATATTTTTCATCTCTGAAGTCTTTTTGCGAAGTACACTGTAAGATTTCATTTTGTTAGATATAAACAGTTAATAATTTTTTCGTTTTGACATGTCCAACCTAATTTAATATTTTTGTAATTACAAATAAACGAAATAAATTAGAGGCTTTCAGTATGGTTTAATATAAATTTTTATTCTTTTAATAATTTTTCGCATTTAATGTTCACTGAAATTCATTCCATATATGTATAAAAATGTAATTTATTATTTCATTTTTTCTGAGACTAGGATGCATAAAAATAATTTACTGTAGAACCCATATTTTTAAAAATTAAATTTACGCCACTTGTTTTCTCAAAGTTGACTATCATTAAATTTGAAGTGGTTACAAAAAAGAATTGTAAATTTAAAAGTTTCTTTAATGAAAATTTGAAATGGTTATAGTTTTCGAAGAATCACCCAACAACATTTTTTAACAATAAAAATATTTTAGGAACATTCATAAAGAATTTTATACTTTTTAATTAATTCCCCCCCCCCCCCTCTGTTACATGCTAACGCAGGGTTTCTACAGAATTCTGTTTTTAAATTTCCATGACTTTTTCAGGTTTACCAGGACCAGTTTTGAGAAATTTCCAGGTCCACTTTTTAACATTATTAAATAGAATTTTGACAATTTTTATACAAAAAATGGGGCATTCTATGGGAAATTTTCATTGAAAATTTTTTTTGTCCGAAACATTTTTTTTCGAAATCTATATGAAAAATAAGGAAATACGTATTTTTTTATTTTTTTATTTGATGAAAATGAAGGAAGTTATGATTTTTTGAAATTTAACGTCAACGAAGTTTTTGGCACATTTTTTAATCTACTGTACTAAGAAATTAAAAATTATGCTATATATGAAATTTGTTAATTTTTTCTCAAATTTTTCAAATATGTGCTCAAAAATAACGTACCTATAACAGAAGCAACAAAAAAGTTGAAATTAAACTTATAAAGTGAGTTTTCTCAAAAGAGACACTTTCGATTTTTAATTTTTTTTTTGCATTACAATCTCTGATGATTGAAGAATTTTTTCCCCTATCTGCGAAAGTGGTACTTTTAGTTTTTAAATTACTATTTATAATTTTTTTAGTACGGCTCACAGAATTTAAGCATTTTTCATTTTTAACCCCTTTTCCCCTCTTAAAAAATTTTTTTGTTATTTTTATTTGAAAGATGAGATTTTTTCCAACAAAACTGTATAAATATAAAAAAGGGACAACATTAGGTTTAAGAGAAAATGTAAAAAAAACCTATTTTTTGCCCTGTTTTTTATATTTTCTCGCCGACACAATGTTGTCCTGTTTTTATATTTATACTCTTTCGTTGGAAAAAATTTCAGCTTTCAAATGAAAATAACAAAAAATTTTCGAAGGGAGAAAAGGGGTTAAAAATGAAAAATAAGGGTTAATTTTGAAAAAATAGGGTTAAAAATTTCTTTTTGAAAAAAACATTTTAGGCATTGAAAAGTTTATGAAAAACTGAACAAAAAATCCTCATGATAAATTAAAATCCATAAAGTTTTGTAGAATAAACGGATTAGAACTTCATTCTCCTCTACTTTTCATAATTTTTTAAAAAATAAGTTTATATTTTAAGATTTTGTTACTTTCATATAGGATGTCCAATAATTTACCAAAGTATCAAGCCATTTTTCAAAGACAAAATTTTTTTTTTTAATATGAAGTGGAATAAAATTTCAGGGATTTTTTTTTCAAATTTCCATGACTTTTCCAGGTTTTCCAGGTCCTGTAGCAACCCTATTACGTCTACTTTAGAGCAATTTTTTTTACAAATAGCTTCCCCCTATACCTAGATGCGCAAACATCTTTATGGATGTGCTGGGAGATGATCAAAATATACCAGACCCCTAAAAAAAATTTATTTTTCCAAATTGACTTTTTTTGGTTTTTAAATAGGTATAAAAAAAGTCAAGTTAGAAAAAATTTTTTTTGAGGGGTCCGATACATTTTGATCATCTTGTAGGTATATTTTTCAACTCATTTTGAAAGAAAGAAGAAAAGAGCCTCGGCAAAAAGTGCCCCTTTTTCGTATCTCGAATTTTGAAACTTTTTTTATGACAAATGGTTACATATGATGACCCAATAATCCCTGCAAAATTTCAAGATGAGCATGTGCCCCCTTTCCGAAATACAGGGGGTCAAAGGGGGCCATGTCCAAAATTAGAATATGCAATATAATCGAATAATAATGTTTAAAAAAATCTGACCAAATGGTTCCCTTAAGATTTTCGTCTGCTGATTACGAATCTAAAGTTCGTTTTTAAAAATTCAAAATGGCGGATCCAATATGGCGGACGACATTTTTCAAAATCGATCCAATTGACTTAAAACTTGTTACTCGGGGGTTTTTGGGGTCGCTGATTACGAATATGATGTCCGTTTTTACAAATTCAAAATGTCGGATCTAATATGGCGGACGACATTCATCTTACCTTTGTTGGTTGGATTATTATCTCTTATCTTTGCTGATCGGGTTGTCGATTACATCTTGCCTTCATTGGTTGGGATACTACTTCTTATCTTTGTTGATTGGAATATTACATCTTACTTTAGATGGTTTTGTAATTATTACATCTGGCCTTTGCAAGCTGAATTTAGCCTTAAATCTTGCCTTTATTCGTTATATTAGATCCGACATTTTGAATTTTTAAAAACGGACATCATATTCGTAATCAGCGACCCCAAAAACCCCCGAGTAACAAGTTTTAAGTCAATTAGATCGATTTTCAAAAATGTCGTCCGCCATATTGGATCCGCCATTTTGAATTTTTAAAAACGGACATCATATTCGTAATCAGAAACCCAAAAACCCCCGAGTAACGATTTTCACGTCAATTAGATCGATTTTTAAAAATGTCGTCCGCCATATTGGATCCGCCATTTTGAATTTTTAAAAACGGACTTTAGATTCGTAATCAGCAGACGAAAATCTTAAGGGAACCATTTGGTCTGATTTTTTTTTAACATTATTATTCGATTATATTGCATATTCTAATTTTGGACATGGCCCCCTTTAACCCCCTGTATTTCGGAAAGGGGGCACATGCTCATCTTGAAATTTTGCAGGGATTATTGGGTCATCATATGTAACTATTTGGCATAAAAAAAGTTTCAAAATTCGAGGTACGAAAAAGGGGCATTTTTTGCATGGGGCTTGCCGAGGCTCTTTATAGGAAATTGTTTTTTATAGAAAAATGCACCTTACAGAAGATTGTGCATATACTGAAGTACTGAAAAATATACTAAAAACTTTAACATTTTTGCTTATTTTTTAATTTTTTTTATTCATAAAAATTTGAAAATAAGGAAAAGAAATTTAAACTTATCTTAATTTAAATACTTAATATCAAAATATCGGTAATAGGCCTTAAAAATATTTCATTTATCATCAAATATTAATAATACTTATTTCAAAAAATTTCTTAACTTACATGAGTTATTAGAAACGATTAAAATATCCATTTCCAAAAGTATTATAAATGTAAAAACAAATTCACTTTGAAACTGTCAATAAAGTACATCTAATATTTATCTATTCATAGTCCATATAGGTACTTTTGGGTTTCGAACGAACATCCAGTTTTTATATTAATAAATAATTGTCACCAATAAAAAATGTTTAATTAGTTTATCATTCTTTAAAATACATACAGTTTAAAGCTGTTTCTTTTAAATAAATTTTTAATTTATATTCACTTTAAAAAATTTTAATTTAATCTATACCTCAAATACCTTTAATTTTCTATATTTCGCACGGCTTTTATTTGCGATTACCGCCACCAAGGATGGAGAAAACACGAACAAAAATATTAATAATGTCCGTGTAAATATGAAGCGCACTGAAAAGAATAGTATTAAATTTTTTATTTTACTATAAAAATAAATTATAAATACTGAGGGTAATGGGTACAGTATCGACGCTACATAAATAGCAGGTAAATAATAAAATATAGGGTCAGCCGGGGTAAATCCGAACGCTAATTATTTCAGCTTAATTAAAATTTTTAAAAAAAAGTTCGATATGAGAATTTTTACCTCAGATCCTCTTTAAGAGATTCTAAGTATTATCCCATTTTTCGTTTGGTAATTAGCAACAGCATAAACAAAGATAACGAGTATTGCAAAAAAGATTGAAAATCAAAGATGACACTCTTTCAGTATTTTGTCTCGTATTTGAAGAAAAAGAAGCTAAAAATTTATTTTATTATTTATAATTGTTTGTTATGAATACTAGAACAAACTATTTTTCATTTTTGCCTTCTGTAAAATTTTATTAATAATATCAGACCGTTCGTATTTACCCAGGAAAATTGGAAAACCGGGGTAAATCCGAACGGTATTTTCAATCATTTTTTTTACATCAGAGCCACACAAAATTCTTTTTATTTCATTATACTATTATTTTAACATTATAAAAGTACATAGAAAAAAGTTTTTCTTTCTATACGTATCCTCGTTAGTAATTAATAAGCAGAAACTTAATCTCTGTTCTCTCGAAGGAGTGTTTCAATTTTTTTGCCAAATGGTTTGTTGAAAAAAGTTTTTCAGGATCTTAATAAAATTTGGTATTCTACGGTTTTTGGGGTCGCTAATTACCAATTTCAAGTCAGTTTTTCAAAATTCAAAATGGCGGACGAGAATTAAAAAATTCATTGGATTCGCTCACAGTTTTCCTAAAAGTATCAAATTGAGACCAAAAATTGCATCAAATCTTTGCAACGTTTTGATGCACATAAGTTATATCAAAAAGAGATCGTTTTGTGTATCATTTTTAGAAATGATACACGAAACGGTCTCATTTTTTTATGCAAAAAATTTAATCAATTTATATCAATCATGGCCGAATTGAATCGACTCAAAATTAAACGAATTTTTTTCAGATATTTTGGTAATAGTACAATTGCGCAGACCATTTCACTATTTAATTTGAAAATGAAAATAACAGAAAATCAAAGACAATGTGCAATTCGATAATTAAAAAGTGACAGCTTATAAACATAACCTAAAATGCATGAGAAAAAATTTGTCGATAAAATCAATATAGCCGAGCTTTTTAGAAGGTAGATGTCAGCACTCATCTATTTTCTTTCTTTAAATTTTTTCTGAATCGTTTTTATAAAAAGCAAAACTGCCATCTACCTTCTAAAAAGCTCGGCTATATTGATTTTATCGACAAATTTTTTCTCATGCATTTTAGGTTATGTTTATAAGCTGTCACTTTTTAATTATCGAATTGCACATTGTCTTTGATTTTCTGTTATTTTCATTTTCAAATTAAATAGTGAAATGGTCTCCGCAATTGTACTATTACCAAAATATCTGAAAAAAATTCGTTTAATTTTGAGTCGATTCAATTCGGCCATGATTGATATAAATTGATTAAATTTTTTGCATAAAAAAATGAGACCGTTTCGTTTATCATTTCTAAAAATGATACACAAAACGATCTCTTTTTGATATAACTTATGTGCATCAAAACGTTGCAATAGAAAAAGATACAACCAAGTTTACTGTGCTCGAAAATTGTTACTCGGGGGGTTTCAGGGTCGCTGATTACGAATTTGGAGTTAGCAAATTTGATCATTTTTAAAAATAAGTTTTAGGAAAGTCCGCCATTTTGAATTTAAAAAATTTGACTTTTATTTTTGTATTTACATTCAATCACTCCAAAATACTTTCTGTAGCAAGTTTTGCAAAAATCCGTTATGATTTGATAAAGTTATTGAAGGTTTTAATTGTGTAATGCATTTTAATTTTTAACCTGTTTGATTTTTGTATTTATATATGATGCATTATTACATAATAGGTTTATTATCGTATTTTTTGAGTTTTTATATAAGTTTAACAATTGCAATACTTTAAATTTATTTTTCCTAAGATTTTTCTGAAATACAGTGGCGTTCGTATTTACCCCGGTATTTTAGGAAAGTTGCAAAGTATCGAGGTAAATACGAACGCTAAGTTTCCTGCGATTGTAATTTATCAAAAATTTTTGCTACCCCATAAAATTGTTCTATGGAAGTAAAGTAACAACTTCATGCACCAGAATACCGGAAGTATTTTTTTTTAAAGAAAAAACTTATGTTATTGTTGAAACTTACTAAAAGCGTTCGGATTTACCCCGGTTGACCCTACTGATTCATCAAATTCAGTCTAGACAAAAAATATGTATTGTAATTAATCAGATCAGAATGTTGTGTTGCATTCTCTCGAGTTTCTGGTTTTCTAGTTGATTGCAATACCTTTTTCTTTGCTTAAGGATGGATTTATATGTTGATGTAAATGCAGAATGCAAAACAGAAAATAATGAGAGTAAAGGGGATAATGATATATTCCTGTCGTTTTCACTCTCATTATTTTCGGTTTTGCATTCTGCATTTACATCAACATGTAAATCCATCGTAACGCTTTTAAAAAAATCCTCTATATATGACTTGAATCTTTTAAATATAAAAAAAAAAAATAATAACCAATAGAGAAGTCTGATTCGATATCAAGTTTGAAGTTTGAAATCAGTCATGCATGTATCTTAAGAAAAAAAAGTGAACAAGACAACTTACTTGTTTATAGGATCATAAGCTTCATAGCCCTTCATGTTGTACTTTGGATATGTTTCTGCTTTTTTAATAGCCTTTTGTGTATCGTACAAAAGAAACATTGAAAAGAGAATGAGACCTCCGTACAGGGCAACTGAATAAAGACCAGATCCCAAAACACTTGTTGGCGGAATAAAGAGAGTAGCAATGGAACTGGCGAACACGACTCCGAATCCAATTGCAAGTGGTCCACCTAGCATAAGGAATTTCTCACTAGGAGCACAAACCGCTAAAGTAGACAATCCTCCGACTATTCCAGCAGTGTAGGCACCAGCTCTCAAAACTAGAGCTCCTCCCATAAGATATAGAGGGGCAAATATTGAGCCTACGATGGCTGTATGCAGCAACCATGCCATGTGCTTCATAGTAAATTTACCCTCCTCATAAGGCAAATTAAGCACGACCGAGGAGGACAACATTAATGTTGCAATGGTGGCACCAATAGCGAGCCAACTTTGGCTAGCTACTGCTCTCATTACAATTGGTGACCGCAAAGCCACAGCAGCCGCTGCTACGGTTGATGCCACTGATGCTGCAGTATACATATATGTTGCATGAATCCTATCTTTCACATACTGCGGCCAAATACTGCACAAGTTCATAACAAATTAAACAAATTAATCTCTATTGTTGTTAGTTTATAATATTTATTTTACTAACTGTACATGATCGATGGCTCCACTTTGTGATGACAATCCTAATCCATAAAAACATAAGGCACCTAATCCTAGAGCGGATCCACCAGCAACAGCGCCTTTACCAATGTTAAAAGCTATGGCAAAATTCAAAAGCATGTACTAATTTTATTATTTTAAAATAGTAAAATTACACAAAAATGACACCAAGTTTTACACAGTTGTGTAAATGAACAACTATCTAAATGAGGAAAAACTTACAACTGAAAAATAATATATTAATTAGTTAAAGCAGTCAGTTTTTACATATCAATTTTAAATAAAAATTCTATTTGAGTGGCAAATGAGAAAACTTTGACTAGAAGAGAGCAAGAACAGAAATTGATAGTAGAACGAGTGACTAGCATTATTTTCTTCGAGCGGACATTACAAACAATGGAGAGTATGATTTGGAACACGACAATATAAATTATTTATTTTAAAAAGTACAGAATTTCATTCTCTTAATATTTACAATGAAAAATACAGTTTACGGTTTTAGAAAAATTAATTAACTAATATTCCATTTCATTAACGAATTCTTAACTTAGTCATTTATAACAGTTGAAAAGTTTCCCTGAACTTCCTTATCGAAATAATCAGAGTATCTTTAACTTGGTTTCTAATTTTTACGTTACAGTTAATAGTATTTTTAAATTGTTATATTTGTTAAGTATATAAATAAATATTATAACAGAATAATTAAGTAACTATATCTTTGGTATGTTGTTATTTTGACTGATCGACATCATTTTCTTTCCTGTAGTATCTTTTCTTGTTTTTTGATGTCAAAGATTTATCTCACTAATTAAAATACCCCCTGATCAGTGGCCACTATGAGCCTTAGTATCCGAAGCAAAAAATTGCCTCTTTGCAATAAGCAAAAATTGCTTTATTCTGCTTTGGTTAGCATAGTAGAAATTTCCTTGTTTCAAAGTATATTCTCCATTATTTTTTTAAGTGCTTTTTTAAATCGTTTCACCAACGATTCTGAAATGATTTTAAGGTTAAGTTGGCATAAATGGTACAACTCAGGGGCAATTTGCCCAAGACGGGTATGACGCATATTTTCGATGAAATATGAAATAGTTAATTAAATGATAACCCACCTTTCTAATCGAGAAATTTTAGCGTAAACAAAAGTGCCATAAATGTAAATTTACTCGATTATTTCTATAACCTAAAAAAATAATTACCACATATTGAATGAAGCGAAAAATCATTTAGGTATAAAATTGCGGTGCATAATTGTGTAATTATACTATTTAAACTCCTAAAATTCATTGTCTTTTTTTTAAAATTAATTCATCAAACAATAAATACACTTACCAGTACCCCCAGCAGGTTTCGAAAGTTTTTCAGTTATAGTTTCTCGAGAACGAGCAGTCCTTGTAAATGTTTGTTTTCCATCGTTTGTAAATGATCTAGCAATTTGCGTATTTCGGAACAAACCCGGAGATTTCAACAAGGATACTTGTGGCAATTTTGATTGGCAAATTCTCAAAAACATGCTTTATTCTTTATTTTGTTTTTATAATGTCAAAAATATCTTGTCGTTGTATACAGACTTGAATAATTGCAGATAATTCCGATTTCCAAAAAATTTTAAACTCTGTTGATGTTGACCGGTGTTGAAATATGTTGTAATATAGCAGAAAGCAAAATTTGAGACCCAAAGAAGACTAAGACTACAAACTCGATTACAGTATTCATTTGGGCCAACGCATAATAGCTTCGAGAAAGAGGTGCATGCGTTAGAAGATGATGGAGACATATTTGTGTCCTTTTCTATATCACAGGGATTCCACATGTATGCGAAGTCGGCACTAAAAGTTTAACTGGATTGATTCTTATAAATATAATTTTAACATTATAATATATTTATAATTAATATACATATTTATAACACAGGAAAGTAATATTTCATATTTAGATTCTTAAAATTACTGATCGGCACATTGCACGCCCGCCTAACAAGCAATTAATATAAAAATACAAAGCAAAAGCAAAGCAAGTACAAATGCAGGTTGTTGTGGAACCACCTTCAGGTGGCCCCTGAGTCAGAGAAGGACACAACATTTCCTCATGCTTCACGATGATTACGTCACATCCACGTCAGATATAATATTGTTCAGGTCTTTGTAAATATATATTCTATATATTTTTTCTTTGTCTGCTTCTGCTATGTGATCGTGATTCTTGTTTATTTTGAATTGAAAATCATTGCCTCCTTTGATTTATTTATTTATTAATTTTGAAATATACCTATGATAATATTTATAAAATCTAGAAGATTTTTAAAAGATTAGAGAATTAGTATTTTTCTGAAGCAATATACAAATATAAAACGAATTATTCTGTTAATTGATAATGCATTTTAAACTAAATAGCAGTGTTATGTTAATATTATGCCTACTTTCTTATTTAACAGAGTGTTTTCTAGTTGAAAAAAACTTGTCTCCTGTTATATTTAGTAAGTTTCAACATTAAGAATTACATACTTTTACTTAATTCGCTAAAGAATAATAAAATCATAACCTTTCAGCTAATGAAAATTAATTCAGAAATTTATTTCTCATAGTACCTTTAATAATTTTTTTTCTTCTACTACTGAGCATGTTAAATTACTTTTTGTGGGGTAAAAATAATGAAATACAATAATAAATTACAGTGTAGAGATATATGTTTTACTTTTAAGTTATATGCACAATATTTTTTTTATTTTCTCACTCACATAATTGTTTTAACGAATTCGTTGTTTTAATTCTAAACATAAATAATGAAATGCATTTATACATAGTTCCAGGTGATGGAGGTAGTCAGGTTGAAGCAAAATTAAATAAACCATCAGTAGTTCATTATATTTGTGAAAAAACTTCATCTGATTTTTTTAACATCTGGTTAAATTTAGAATTGTTAGTTCCAGTTGTTATCGATTGTTGGGTATGTATATTTTATATTAAATAGATTTACATATAAGGAAAATTCAGAAATTTTAAAGTTTTTTCATTTTTGAATGCTTATAACATCTTTGAAAATGCAACAATTTTAAAAGATTTTTTTTAATGTGTGTGTTTTAAACGTACTTAAAAAAAATGAAATTTTTTGCCTAGTCAGGTCGTGGGCAAACGATTTTTCTAATATTTTCAAAATTTTGAATTTTTCAACACCTTTTGAAAAAAAACTTTTAAAATTGATGCATTTTTAAGGAATTTATAAGCATTCAAAAATAAAAAATCATTAAAATTCTGAAATTTTGAAAAATTTATATCTCAAGACGTCTTAGTCTTAGAGGACTGTCACGGAACAATCGTATCGTGGCTGGTCTGGTCCTAGGTACTATACGATTATTAACTTCACAATCGTATCGTGTCCGAGTACGATACCAATAGTGACTTGAGATTTGTATATTGTCCAGATACGATACGTAAAATGATTTAGGGAATCGTACTGTACCCGGCCACGATACGAAAAATTACTAGAGAATCGTATTGTATCCGGGCACGATACGAATAATGACTTGAGAATCATATTGTTTACGGGCACGATACGAAAAGAGACTTGAGAATCGTATTGTATCTGGGCACCATACGAATAAAGATTTGAGAATCGTATCTTGTTTATAAACAATCTAAATAGTAAATAGAGAACTTATTTTAAATTTATTAGATTATTTTATAACAAAATCTTTTTTTTATGACAAATTAAATTTTTAAAACATAACCCAGAAAATATTATAATATAATATAATTAAATATTTTGTGAAACGATAAGATTCTAAAATTACAAATTGTATCGTGTCGGTCACGACACTTTCAACCCATTACTAATCGTATCGTTCTTGAGCCCGATACTTTTCTCCTATTATTAATCGTATCGAGTGGGGACACGATACGTTCCATCTATTACTAATCGTATAGTGTCTTGAACCCGACTAGATACGATCATCATATACCGTATAGTTTCCTGCAGGTTTTAGTTTTTTTAGCAGATTTTAATGATTATTAAAAAAATCGCAGACGTCGACCTTACGGCCTTTAATTTGGATTTGTTTGCCTCAATTGTTTGAAAAAAACATTCTAATAAATAAGCTATTCCAAAAAATGACTTATTCTGGAATTAAAGTTTTTTATTTTTAACAGATTGATAATATGAAGTTAAATTACGATAATATAACACGAACAACTAAAAATCAGGAAGGAGTAGAAATAAGAATTCCAGGTTGGGGTGACCCATTCAGTGTTGAATATTTGGATCCTAGCAAAGCATTTCCTGGTAGCTATTTTAAAGATATTGGAAATATGCTGGTGAATGAGTTAGGATATGTACGCAATTTGTCTCTTCGAGGTGCGCCATACGACTTCAGAAAAGGACCAAGTAAGTTATACATTTGTGACGCGCTCCAAGAAGTTAACGAAATATAGGATACCTTTACGATAGTATTGTACTTTAAATAAATTTGAGGCTTTCGCAAAGGTATTCGTCTTAGGCCTTCACTGGTGATTGCGGGTCTCACAATGTTGCATGCTTATTTTTAATCAGACTTATAGAATGTTTGCAATGATTTAAAATATTTCGGCAGACTTTCATTCCTTAAAATTTTTTTCCTTTCTTAAACTTGCGAACGGTTTAACAAATTAAACTTAAAAATTCTGGCTATTTTGCTTATAAAAGTTATTTAAATTTAATGAAAATAAGATATTGCTAAATTGGTCCCACAAGAATATTCTATTGCAACTTTTTTTAAAATTTATAAATTACAAGTTTGACAAAAAGTAAAAATAACTTAACCATAATCCGTCAGGTTAAGATGTTTTAAATTTTTATTCACTTTTAATAATTGCATTTGTTGTTAATTAATGCGTATGTGCATTTACAGATGAAAGTGAAGAATTTTTTGTTAAATTAAAATCACTTATTGAAGAAACGTACACAATAAATAATAATGCACCAGTAACTTTAATAGCTCATAGTATGGGAGCTCCTATGACTTTAATATTTTTACAGCGTCAAACTCAAAAATGGAAGGATAAATATTTAAGTTCCTTAATTACTTTAGCAGGAGTTTGGGCAGGCTCTGTGAAAGCATTAAAAGTTTTTGCAATTGGTAAGTAATTTTTGTATGTATTAAAATAATTGATGGTTGTTTACAGTTTACACAATTAAACCTCCCAATTCTGTAACTCGTTAAGCGCTCGGCCGAACGCTCTATTGGTAGTCGGGTAGCAGCGAGGGAGCCATTGACGCTCGCCGCTACCCGACTACTAATAGAGCGTCCGTCCGAGCGCTAAATAAGTTATAGAATTGGGAGGTTCAATTAAACTTAAAAATGTAGGATAAGGACATAATATTATCCCACAAATAACTTGTTTTTTGTATTAAAAAAAAATTATAACTTTCGCCTTCTCCGGTTATGTTTAAATAATCTGTGTAGCAATATTTTGAGGTTCTAGTAAGGCATTAGTTAGGCCGCCTCATCGCTAGTAGGGCGATAACTAGACTATTATAGCGATATCATTGACATAATAATTATAATCATTGAAATAATAATAAATTTTTAACATAATATATTTCATCAATAAATTTAATATAAATATTGATTATAAAATTATTGAACCATGTAATTGTACTATTCAATATTTATATTAAATGTACATAACAAAATATGTATTATTTTTCTAAGCATAAATATTTTATTAATACAAAAAAAGAATTATCACTTTTATTGAAACATTCTTTTAAACAAATAATCATTTTAAGTGTTTCAATTAATTTGTAAAGTTAATATAAATAACAAATGTATTGTTTTAAATTTTGTTGCACCATATTACCAAAAAGTTATAATTTTTTAACTATTTCATATGGTGCACAATTATATAGGTACAGTAAGCAGGAACTCTTAAGACGTACATATCTGACTTGAAGACTTTCTAAAATATTCCCATCTTCACACATGGAAAATATTTGTTCTGGCAGCGAACTTTTTGCTGACACATCAAATAACGTTAGCTAATGTAGGGACAGCGAACAAATTTTCTGTGAGGTCAAAAAAGTTTGCTGTGAAAGTCAATTTTTAAAATTTTTAACTGTTATTGTTTATCACAGCAAACTTTGTCGTTGTCATAGCAAATAATTTAACTAATATTACTAACGTAATACATTTAATAGATTCGACAGCAAACATCAGTTAGCTTCTGTAAGCAATTTCTTTTTTCCGTGTTGAATCTACTAATAGGTATGAACCACACTTGATTTTTGCTAATCGGGAAATCATTGAACTAGGCTACCATAAAATATTGCTACCCGGGAAAATTTTTTATTTCAATTCTGAGTACACATTTTGAATTTTTAACACAATATTTTTTTTTAGACAAAATGAACTCTTAAAAATATTATTTAGGGGAGACTACACTACAATAGATAATAAAAAAAATTTTTTGCATCGGCAAAGGAAGGAAAGATCACGTATCATTAATTTACTGTAAGTTACAAATTTTCATTTTATTTTTTCTTTAATTTATTTAAAACGTGTTTTCCTACAAATTTTGTTTTTGGGGCTTTCTATGTGAAGCGGACCACCCGAAATTTCTAATGTAAAAAGCAACATTTTTTAAATGTTGTTATTTTCACAAAAATCATAAAATGGAAAAAATTACGGCTGTTTTTTGTAGTAAATTTGATGATCTTTAATGTGGTATAGGGTCAGTTGGGGTAAATGGGGACAAGAAGTGTTGGAGCTTAATTTACAGTTTTAAAATTAAGTTCTACGTCAATATTTTAACCTCAGATCACCTACAAGAGGTTCTGAGTATTGCCAAGCTTTTATCTTGACAATTGGCAGCAAGATAATTTAAATTATCGCTCAATGCATAAAAACATGAAAATAAAAATGAAACTGTTTCAGTATTTTGTCGAGCATTTCAAAGAAAACAGGCTTAAAAATCATACAAAACTTTTATGAGCCAAAAGTTCTGAACGTTCAAATGAACAAAATATTTTTTTCAATCTATAAATTATTAAAAATTATGATGTAAATATAAAACAAAACAGTAAATTAAACAAATATTAAATTAATAACTTCTTTTTAGATATTTAAAACAATATTTTGTAATAAAATTCGTAATTAAAAAAAATGGCAAAAAAAATTTTGTTCATTTGAACGTTTAAAACTTTTGGCTCATAAAATTTTTTCTTATTCCTTATGACTCCTATAATAGAAATTCACTTAAATTTTTGATTTTTATCAATTTGTTTAATAATAACAAGCTGTCCCCATTTACCCTGAGTTTTCAAATTTTTGGGGTAAATGGGGACAGCTTGTTATTATTAACCAAATTGACAAAAGTCAAAAATTCAAGTGAATTTCTGTTATGGGAGTCATAAGGAATAAGAAAAAAATTTTGTATGATATTTAAGTACGTTTTTTTTTAAATGCGAGACAAAATACTGAAAAAAAAATAAATTAATTAATACTTAAGGAAACTTTTTTCTTAAATCTTTCTTAGAAACTATGCTGTACCAATTTACCCCAAATTTTATGAAATTTTCTAAATTTTGGGGTAAATGGGGACAGTCAGTTTCATGCGTTTAAAACTGATCTAAATTTTTTTCTGCTGCATAAAATTAATCCTTGGAATGTAAATAACAACTTAAAAAAATATAAACCCGCAAATATTACCTTTAAAGCAAAAAACTTACGTAATTTGTGAAAAATAGGGATTTTGTCCCCATTTACCCCAACGACCCTACTTGATTTTTAGAATTAAATTTATTTTCATTAAAAAAATTAAATTTTCAATTTTATTTTTTATGACCTTCGACCATTTAAAAAAATGAAAAAAAATAATTAAAAAAATAGTTTAAAGTATTAAGATTCTGTATGCCAAGTTACAGAATGGCATTTTTCATGGTTGAAAAATTATGAAATTTAAAAAGCTGGGATTATTTTTATAGAAAATGAGACAATTTTAATTAATGATTAGACGTTTTCGACATATATGCTAGAATGTTCAAAGTAATGTTTAAAAAAGTGACACAAGAAACGTAATATTTTGAATTTATTTAAATTAATAACCACAAAAATCTTTATTATTTATTACTTTTAAGTAGATAAAGAATTTTATCATCAACAAAATGTCTCCTCTAGGTGATAGGTGTTTTAATCCTTTCCAAATAGCTGAATTTGAAAATTTATAGACAGGGCATGACTGCAATCCAAGTTTTTATTTATTTATTTATTGAAGATAAATCTTGCGTTAATCAATTTAACAGGCAAAATATATTTAAATTATATTTTAAACTAGGTAATTATTATAATTATATTTTCAAAAAAAAATTTATTTTATTTATTTTTTAAATTAAAAATTTATTATTTGAAAATTACAGTTGAGTGCGTCAATAATTAATAAGATGACTTGATAAAAAAGTAAATAGATAAAAATATAGATGGAAAAATAATTAAATGTACATTGAAAAAACCAAATTAATAAAATATTAACTAAAACATATCAAATTATTTTACATTAAAATGTATCAAACTTCTACGATTATAAATTTAAAAAAATTCAAAATATTACATTAATATTAAAATAAATAATTATGAATATTATAATTATAAATAATTAATAAAAATATTATATTAATTAAAATTTGTTCATTTTCTATAAAAATAATCCCAGCTTTTTAAATATAATAATAATTTTTTAACCATGAAAAATGCCATTCTGTAACTTGGCACACAGAATCTGAATACCTTAAACTATTTTTTAAGTATTTTTTTTTTATTTTGTCAAATGGTCGAAGGTCATAAAAAATAAAATTGAAAATTTAATTTTTTTAATGAAAATAAATTTAATTTTAAAAATGGTGTGTGATAACCACACCGATCACCCGACTAAATTTTTTATATTGCACATTAAATTATTATCTTTATTCATAATAATTCGAGTGATGACCATTCAACCTGAGTCACGTCATTGCTTGCAGTAGCAATATTTTTTAAGTTATTTCATAAAATTTGTTTTCTGAAATTATTCTTTAATATTATTAATAACAGAGAATTTTAAAAATTGTGTTTTCTTGTCATCTGCTACATGTGCAAGTTATATATATTGTATATATTTACACATTAAAATGTAGAAATAGAATATTTAACACATTAAAATTTCTTAAGCTTTGCCGAGCAAAATTTTTTTATTTGAATAATAATGTTCGAAACTAGTTGGGAGTAATAACTACACATGAATTAAAACAAAATAACCGTTCTAAGTTAAAGTAAATTTTTGAGAATAAAATTCTATATCCTATTGGAAAAATCGTTATTTTATAATTATAAATATAAAAGTATGTGTTGTGGTAATTTTCAGGTGATAACTTAGGAGCTTATGTCTTAAGAGAAAGTGTTATGAGAAATGAACAAATTACAAGTCCAAGTTTAGGTTGGCTTATCCCGTCAAAATTGTTCTGGAAAAATTCTGAAGTTTTGGTGCAAACAGATGAAAAGAATTACACACTACTCAATCTAAAGGAGTTCTTTATGTAAATATGCTTAAAATTTACTACTGTTTGGGATACGCGCATATAATACCTAAGTTAATTTATTTTATTTTCTATTCATGTAAATTGGAATTGCTAATGTGATACGTAAAATTGAATTATGTATCGCAACAAAAATTTCGGTTTAAACCTCAGTTATCAATTCGTATTCGTCTTTTCTGGGCGACTGACTTTGGCCTTTTGTTATCTTCATTAATCCAATGACGGATGACTAAGGTTCTATCCATTTGAATCCGCGAAGTAAACCTTTTTTATTCGTTAGGTGTGATTTTACATGAGTGGTATTAATTAATAAAGACGGACATGAAATTGGATTAGTCCAGTTGGTAAAATACCTAACGGAAAAAGAAAGTTTAGCTCGCCTATAGGAAAATGAAAAATTGAAGCATATGAAAATGAAAAAGGTTAGGAATACTTTCAGAGTGGATTAATGAAGATGGATAGATAGTTAAGGATAGCACGTATGCTTGCGGCAAGCTTACACTGCAAGTATGCTACTTACCCCAGTCAACAAAATCTACTGTGCAGCCCTAGATGCCAATGCAAATTATTGTGGACCTTACCTTGCAAGAGACTTACGCTGCAAGTTTGCCATAAAGTGGATATTTTGCAACTTGCGGAATGGTTGCAGTGTAAGCTTATCAAGCATGTCGAAAGCATGCGTGCTATTCAGGTAAAATATGTTTGTAGCTTAGTGGCCGTCCACAAATTAGGTAAGGCTTATTTTGGAAATTTTAATCCCCTCCTCATACAAGAACCTGTTTCATACATTAGCGCAATCTTTTCTGCTGATCGTAAAAAATAGCTTGACCCTCCCCCCTTAAAGCCTTACGTAATTTGTGTACAGTTCCTTACTGAGTCTTTCAAAAAATGTTTATTTACAGTTTGTTTTTCATAATTGTTTTTGCAGTGATATTAATGTTCCAAATGGATGGGAATACCGGCTAGATAATGAAAAATATCAAGCATACTTTGAAGCTCCTGGAGTAACACTGCATTGCTTACATGGTGTTAAAGTGGATACAGTTGAAAGGTATTATTTAAATGTATTAAAATAATAAAAAAAATATATTCCTATGTGGGGTAAAATTCCTGTACTGTCTAGGTCTAAAGTAAATTTTCGTCCTATATATGAGAGTAACAAATCCCTAAAATATTAGCTCATTTAAATATAGGGCAACAATTTACCAAAATTACAATCCAACTCAATAACTCAATTTCAGACCTGGACAGTTAAGGAATTTTACCTCATATATATACTTTTTATATCATTTTTCACGTCCTTTCGATTGGTAAAATCGAACTGACTAAGAAGAGTGAAAATAAAATATAAATTTGATTTTTTTTAGTAAAATATCTATTCATTTATTTTGTACTTTTTGACAATAAATTATAATGCGTAACTAAAGTCGCTTTTATTTTATGAACGCAATAATTTTTGCTGTAAATTTATTTAGCTCCATATATTATATTATAAAATTATTTTCAGGTTATACTATAAACCTGGTACATCAATTGATGGGTATCCTGAACTTATCAATGGCGATGGAGACGGTACGGTTAATCTTAGAAGTTTAAAAGCTTGTCTTAATTGGCAAGAAAAGCAAATTCAGAAAATATATCATACAGAATTTGATGGTGTAAATCATATGGATATTTTGAAACATATTGATGTTTTAAATTACATAAAAAGTGCACTACAAATGAAAACATAATTAGTGATTTTGTTAATCTGTCAACAATAAAAATCTTTCATATTTATACATAAATATATTTAAAATTTATTTTATTATTAATTTCTAGTCAAATCTACCTATCTGCTATTCTATTATCTTAAAACTCAAATTAATGTTCTTCTCAAATCCTTCTACATTGGTTGAAATGAAGTTCCATGATTTTTTCTATCTCTTTTTTTTAATAGCGATTTAAGAAACAAATGTTTTTGAAAAATTACCTTATTTTTTTTAAAAGCTCATAACTCGGACAAATATTTACTAAATTAGACGTTTTTTGTTTTATACGTACTTTTCAAAAAAAAATATAGAAATTTAAATGTATCAGTTGATTCTACGTGTTGAAAAATATCTAAAAATATTTTACGTTATTAAAATTTAAAAAAATATATTTTTGACTGTTGAAGTATTTAGAAATTTTATTTTGTGAAAAAATGACAAATTTTTAAAATCCATTGTCGAAAATGGACGAAGAAAAATATTTAAAATTGTGGAAAAAGTTCTATTTTAAAAGAATTACCAGTTAAATAATAAAAATTTTTACATAATATAATGTATTTATTACTTTTTAAATTAAATTAATAGAAAAGTATATTTCCCAGTGAATAGAATTTGATAGAGTTTTACTACAAAAATTATATTATATTTATCAATTTACTTTAGAAAACTTTAAATTGCTTTAATCATATAGGTATAAGCTCCTTTCAACCAGTACTAAAAGATAAAACATAGTTAAAATAAATCAGAGATACAAAAACAAAATGGTGTCCAATTTGACGTGGAATGCCCCATATTCTATATACCAAAACATATTTATTTAATTTTAACAGTGGATTAACAATTTGGAAATAATTCATAACTAAAATTAAATAACATTTTAAATAATAATAATAATAAACATAATTTGAGATAAATTTTACATAGGTGTTTTTGTATTGGAAACTTACAATTCAGTTAATTGTATATTAGTTTGTTTAAGAGTCAGGCAAAAAACCGATTCACATATGTTATTTTCCCCTCTAAATAGACAAGGTGTAACCTAACAACACCTGTCAGAAGCGTAGTTGTTTCAAACGACATTTTATGCTGGGGTCAGCAGAAAGTTTAGTTGCTTTCTTATAAGTACAGTAAAAACGAAGTAATGCTGCGTACACGATCACAAACTAATATATGGTATTTATTTTTTCTATTTTATTTAAATATTATATAAAGTTTATTATCTATAAATATTTTAATTGTTAAAAGTGAACAAGAAGCGAAATTTGTTCAAGAAAGAATTTCTACAACAGAAAAAAACTTTTCTGAACTTCATACAGCTTTTGCTGCATATACGAGGAAGTTGGCTAGGTCAGTATATATAATTTTTTATGAACCTATAAGTTTATTGTATAGTTATGACACTTTTTTAATTGATTAATTTATTTTATATTTTTAAAAATTTCAATTTATTAATTTTCGCAAATGTATATCAAAACTCACTCGAGGAACCTTTAAATAATTTAAAAAAAAAAAAAAAAAAAAATTAAGAAGACTGAAACCGCAACTTTTCCTCTCCGTACCTTAAACGAAAGACAATGCATTGATCCTATTGTAATTTGCATTTCAGGCTTAGGGACAAGAATGACGAAGTTGCTGAAGTAATTAACACTTATGCTAAATCAGAAAGCATAAATCGTTCTTTAAGCATATGTCTTAATAATTTTTCATCCACTTTCGCTGTTATTAGTGATTACAGGTAAGGCAAACATCAGCACATACTTCTTAAGTTTAACCCTTAAGAAATATGAATGCCAAACAGAATCCTAATAAATGTACGATTCTAATTATTATAAGAAAAGACAGTCTAAATTTGCTATAAGATGACAAAATGTTAATGTATTATCAGTAATAGATCCATAAATTTTTCAATTTTTTCATATCTACAATAATTTTTATTAACAAAAACTCTCAAAAAAGTTGCAAAACTGCATTTTTCCTGGATTGTTGCGACGGCGGTCATCTCTAATACGTGGAGCGTTAAGCAATTATTCTTTTCTTACAGAACGATTTACAATTATACGTGATGAAGTTCTTTTACGAATAAAATTTAAATCAACTTATTTTCTAGAGACGCTGCAGTAAAACGAGTTGATGCAAAAGTTGTTTCTCCGTTATTCCAATACTCAACAAGTTGTAAGCATGCTCGGGAAGATGTTAAAAATACATTTTCTGTTCAAGAAAAAGAATTTAATCGAAGACGTCAATTGGATAAAATTCGAGAACGAAATCCGAAAAACCGTCAATTAATTGTATCCTTTTTAAAATATCTTGTTATAATGTGCCTGCGAAGTTATGAACGTTCAAATGAACGCAAAATTTCTTTACTACTTCTTTAACTTTAAATTTTATTATAAAATATTATTTTCTTTATCCAAAAATAAATTAAATTTAATGTACTTTTTTATGTTTCATTGCTGTAGTAATGTTCAGAACTGCAGGCACATCCTTTATCGAATTAACATATGGATTAGCTTTCAAAATTACAATATTATTATTATTATTATTATTATTATTTGAAACCTTAAACACAAGTATTAGTCCCAAGCAGAGACTGAATTAATTAAGGCTTCAATGGAAATGACGCGAGTGGTTAAAGGATTAGAAGAACAAATTGATTCATTTGAAAAGCAAAAGTTGCATGACGTGAAATCAATACTTTTGGATTTTATAACTATTGAGCTCTGTTTTCACACTAAAGCTGTTGAGTTGTTAACAAAAGGATTTCAAGACATTTCTGATATCGATGAAGTGAAAGATTTACAGGTAATAAGTTACGATAGATGGGTAGTTTTTTTTATTACCGAGATACTTTGCCACAAACTTGCAATTTTTTAAGAATAATTTTTTGACCGAATATTAATATATACTCTGGCACTTGGCAACGAATTCTAATACTATTTTTTATGTTCATCACAAAATTTATTTAGTTCAATCTATCAAGTACTTTGCCTAATCCTTCAAAACATTCCAAATAACTATTATAACATAGTTCCAAGCGAATCTGGTCAGTTTTTAAAATTTTTTGTCGATGCACATTGGATTGCCTACTTTGTATTTTTTAAATATAACATTTAATTCGGATTCAACTATCCCGAAACGAAAAGCATCGAATAAACAAGTGTCAAAAGTTAATTAAACTGTCGGAGGCTTTAAACTAATTTTCAACATTTTACAGGAATTTCGAGAAGTAATGCAGATACCAAACTTTATGACTCGAATTGATGCTATTAAAAGAAAATCATTTCGTCAAGCTAATTCTCTGTCAAATTTAACAAACAGATTTTTGTTTCTTGGTACACAAAAAAAAACTACTACTTGGACCGTGAGTATAATTTATTAGGATAAATTAAAAAAAAATGTGGACTACAGAATTAGAATTAAAAAACAGCTCATATATCATCAGAATATTTCCAGAATGTATTGAATGTTTTAAAATACTGAAATGTGAGTTTGAAAGATACTATAGTATGAAAATGTTTGCTTACGAGGTACTGTTTTGTGTCAAACTTTAGATTAGAAAATATGTACTTGATTCATGTACATAATACATACAGGGATTTTCAATAGAGTAGTAGACAATACGGTTTTATCAAATAATCAATTCTTATGAAACTTATACTTTTTAAAAAGTATACCGATAAATTCGTCAACGAAGTCAAACGTAATTTAATTTAAATAATTAATTTTTCTATATGCAACATTATCTCATAAGCGGATAATTTATACTCGAGTTTATACTTATAGTTTGACAAAAACTAAAAATGATTCTTAACGAGATTCTTATTAAATTTAACATGCGTTTTTGTATTTATTTTTCCACATATTACAGGATTCATTAAAAGCAAACACTACTCATTCATCTGAATCAGCTCAAATTGAAGATTACGAAGAAACATCTGTAGATACAGAATCCGAGTTTGAGCAAACGATACCAGTGAGAGTTAGGCATAAAACTGTATGATGTTTTTCGATGATTTTAGATTATGTGTAATGAAATGCTTTCTAAGTATAATACATCTCTTTTATTTTATTTGAATACGATTACATATTTTAAGTACTAGAAGAAATTATATTACATTTAAACCAAGCCAAAGCACTTATAAACTTACAGCGATATTGCAGAAATAATATGTGACAGACAAGTATCATCGCAGGCAACTACATTAAGAAATCGTTGAAGAATTTATGTTCAAGCTATGTGACACTGACACTGTCATTTTCAAATTCGTATAAAATACGACAAAACTTTATAGATTTTAATTTTTAAATAGGGTTTTTTGAAGGATTTTTCATAAACTTTGTAATTTAAAATAAAAAAATTTTTTAACTCCCTTTTATTGAAAATTAACCTGTATTTTTCACTGTTGACCCATTTGTGTATTTTAAAAAAGTTCTATTTTATTTTCATTTCAAAGCTGAGTTTTTTTCTATTGGCCCCTTGTTGCTTAATATACCATTCTTTTATATTTTTCGCAAAAAAATATATATTAAGCAACAAGGGGCGAAAGGCAGCCATTCTTTACGTTAGCGTTTGCAGCACGAGTGGCAGACGAGCCCAAGGTGTGAACGAGTGCATAGAAGCAAATTTAAAAAAGGTTAAAAAATTTTTTTTATAAACAAAATATAGTCATTTCAATTTATTAATTAAATTTATTTTATAAGAACAAATATTACATTGATTTTCAATATATTATTCAATATTATTTCTCTGTTCCTTCTACTCCAGCTTGCGTCATAAGGTCTGCAATATTTTTTTCGAGATCATCTATTTTGTTTCCCATATCATCAAGTAAGTCTTGTTAAGGATTACTATAAAAATATTAATTTGGACATTTGCCATGAACATGCCTAACAGGAATTATGTTTGATTTTTTATTATCTGTCAATAATCAAGATATTTACTTCGGTATTATAATTATGATATTATTATATTTTACAATATTCTAACATCTAAGAATTTCCGAAAAAAGAAATTTGATTGTTTTCTCATGGTGGGATTCGAATACCACATACACCCATTGTCGGTGGGGTGCTCTGTAACAAATTGAGCTACACAGTTTGGGAATTTTAGTTATTATATCAGTGGATTTCTATACAGCTTTCCAGTGTTCGAAACTCACCATGAGAGAACAAGAAGATTTGTTTCTTTCAGAAATTCTTAAAACAATTTAAATTAAATAAAATTTAAATATAATAACATTATGTATAGATAAACAGGCCTCGTAAAACAATTATTACCATCACTCAAGCCAGTTGAACGGACAAAAAAGTGAAGAAAATTGAAATTGAACAATTTTTTTTTCAAATTTTAAATAATAAATAATAAAAACTGAGAATCTTGATTCAAAAATTTCATTAATTTTTAAAAAATAAATCATCGTATTTTCAAAATTATTAATTGATTTGATTAAAACTTGGTGTACACATGAATTTGGGTCTACAGAAGGCGACAATATATTGAAAAATTATTGACCTGTCGAAAATGACGTTTTTTTTACATTCAGCGACAAATACCGAGTGGGTTACGTTTCAATAATGGCGCAATATTGGTAACCAACATTGGCCTAAACTTCCAGAAATCTTGGGATGATCACGACATTGCCAATAATTGGTTTCCGCATCATTGGCTCATCAGTGGCTGCCAATAATAAACCAAGAGTAAACAAGTTGTAAATTCAGATGTTCATTACATGAACATTTTGCTTCCTCTTTACGATCATCAAAAAAATTTGTTTCCTCGTGGAGAAAGCATTAACATTGAAATAAACATACAAAAATAATATAATAATAATATAAACATTTGAGTACCTATAGATTTGAGTTAAATTTAAAGAATTAATGGAAGTTAAAAAATCAAAAATTCACATTTTAGCTGAAATTCCTAAAAATTAATGAAAAATAATATATAATTTATAATTATTTACAATTATATCGGTTTGTTTCAATGCAAGGAACACAATTATTTTATATTTTAACTTGAATTTAAAGAAATATAAAATTTTTCAGCTAAAATGGGAATTTGTTTTTTAACTTTCATTAATTTATTAAATTTACCTCAAATGTATACTTTATATATACCAATCGATTCGTTTTCATTGAAGGAATACAATTATTTCATATATAAACTTCAATTTAAAAAATCACAAAATTTTATTGCCAAAATGTGAATTTTTCTTTTTTTAACTTTCATTAATTCTTTAAATTTAAATTGAAACTATACTTTATATATACCAATCGATTTGTCTTGACGTAAGGAATACGATTTTATTATATATAACCTTAAATTTTTTGTATTTAAAAATTTTTTTGGGTATTTTTTAAAATCCTTTGGTTAGATTTGAGATATTAATATGATAAATGAGCCTACCAAATTTTATCTAAATCCATTAAAACCTGTTAAAGTTATCGTCTAAACAAAAAAGGGATCCACACACACACACACACCCGGACAATTGATCAGGATCTCATATAACATGTTTCTATATAGAAAAAAATTTGTTTCCGCCACTTTGAAAATTTTTATAAACGAAAGGACTACAAAGCTTCCTCCACGAGGAAGCAAAAATTTTTTATTTTTTTAAATAACCAAATTAATTAAAACTTTATTTTAATAACGTTTTTAAATATTTTATTAAAATAAATATAAAATTATTTAATTTATTTAAAGTCTATGACAGTAATTTTTACTAAAAAAAATAATATTTAAACATTGTTATTTGCTCAATATGCACTTCGCAATAGAGAGGAATAGGAAATTCAACTATGTACGAATTAATCAAGACTGTTATCGTTTTATATAGGGTAACTGCACCAGTGGTGGATCAGTTAAGCCCCTTAACTTTCTTATTTTGACTTTGAAGTTCTGTATAGGTTGTTTTTAGACAAATTCGAGGTTATTCTTTATAGTATTCTGCCGCCCCAACAAGAATAACCGTATCTGCATTTAGGATGAGTCACCTACTTGCCACTGCCACTGCCACTAATAAGTGACTTATCCAAAATGTAGTTACTGCTACTCTTGTTGGGACGGCAGTATTATGGACCAGATAGTTCCAATAGACATTTCCTTCAAGGTTAGACTTAATTTTGACACCTACGTTTACTTTAATGCTCCATCAAAGATAATTTGTCAATGATCCTATTCTGGATCACTGTTTGCACCAGTCATGGTTATAGATTGCTCCAGTGCACGCACTGGTGCATGATCCACCACTGGTGCAGTTACCCTACATAATATGACAAGATTATCTCGACAGTGAGAGGGAAAGTGGTGGCCATCTATTGACCACAGCTCCAAGTGAAATTGTCAATCAAGTTTGATCGTTTACTTACCAGTGATACAAACTTTTCTTCTTATGCGGAGAGAAAAATCTAGCTTTTATAGCTTGAAAATGATACCTACCATTAAAGCATGAATTTTTCCTAAAAAGAAAGCATGAATTCATACTTTCTTAGTATGATTGAGAAACATGCTTTCGTAGTATAAATTTAATACTTTGAATGCATATAAGCGCCACGAGCAAATCGTATGAAACCATAACCTACTACTATTGCAGGAGTCTAATGCTTTTTCGGTATTAGAGTCCTGCAACTGGCGATCACCAAGTTTGAGTCAAATTGAGAGTGTACGATTTGCGCGTGGCGCTTATGCATTTAAAGTATTAAATGCATACTACGAAAGCATGTTTCTCAAACCTTTTAAACATGGACACCAATCATACTAATAACGTATGAATGCTTACATATTCATGCGTTAAACGTATGCCTTATCATGCTATAAAAGCTAGATTTTTCTCTCCAACATTATATAAAGGGGTAGTGATTTTGATCAAGACGTAGTTATATGTTCTTGTATTACAGCTCTCCACTAATAAGTGGATATTTCGAGCAAATAAATTTCTTAATATTGAGGGTATCCAGCAAGAAGTAGAAAAAAATTCCCTGACTTTTTCCTAACCTTTTTCCAACATTTTTTTAATAAATATTTAATATTAAAAAAATGAAAAGTATCAAATATTAAAGTATTTTTAATAATAATTTAAGATAATAAAAAACATTTTATTTATTAGCATTATAAACTTTTTCTTGCACCAAAAAATTTAAAAAAGTCATAAAAATGTTCATTTTTGGAAAATTTTTAAAGGTATGTGGGAACCTCCCACGTGACCTAGTATGGGAAAAAGTGTTTTGGTAGTATACATTTCACTCTAAAATGAGAAAAGATTTTTGTCTACAATTTTGAGGGATGATAGATTAGGGTACAAGGAATCTCGCTGTTCTCCGAAAAATACATAATTTTGCGTTAAATTATTAAAAAATGAAATTAAAGTGTGATTTTTAAACGAAAATGAAAAGAAACATGGCGGTGCATACACAGACGTTGCTTTAGTGTGTCAGTGTTCCAGTAAACAGAGTCAATTCGAGCAAGTGGTCGCTGAATCAACTATGATATAATACATTATTTTACTATTTATTGCTTTATTTTTATTATTTTTGCGTTAAGTTATGGTAAATGAGTAGAACAGCGAGATTCCTTGTACCAAACAAAATCATTTATCCAAAATTTTAACCCGAAATCATTTTTTATTTCAGAGAAAGTTTCAAACCACAAGAAAACGTCCTTTGCCCACATACCCTTTTTTTTTTTTTTTTTTGCTTAGGGACTATTGGGAAAATCTGTATACAGATACCTTGGCTTCCGCATGCCAAGGTTATGTGGGGTTGGTAAAAAAAAAGGAGAACAATAAACAAAATAAGCTGGCGAACTACTACCAGCCCCGACCCACCAAAAACCGTTGGACACCCTTATATTGTTCATGAACTAGAAAGTTTTCAAATTTGGTATACAGAATCTAGACAATTTTAACCATCTTTTACAAAATTTTTTAATATTTTAAAAATTGTCGAAATGTATTTTCCGATCGAGGTCAGTGTAGATAAAAAAAAATTTTTATTGATGTGTAAAATTTCATTAACAAATTGTTAAGTTCTATGAAAAGGATATTTCTTCCAATAATTTGGTCGGACATCGACTGAAATTTGTCCTGCATATTTTGTAGAAGCGTCTGAACCTAAAAATTATGTATTGTTAAACTTAACAAATCATAATGTTATTGTTTTTCTGTTGCTAAATATCTTAAAATTTTTTAAACATTTTTCATCTAATTAGAGAGGAAATCGAGGGGGAATTTACTCAGGTAGTCAAGTGTACACTCTTCCTGTAATACTTGTGTAATAACGTGTAATACCGTGTAATAATGCGTTATTACGGTGCTGTAATAACGCAAAAAACTCTGTAATATCTCTGTAATAATGTGTAATACTCTGTAATAACGTGTAATACTTAGTAATAAGGGTAATATGAGATGTAATACTGGTAGTCAAGTGTACACGTTTTTAACTAGTAAATTCCTCCTCGGAGGAAATATACAGTTACAGTAGGACTTTGGTCTACTACAACTACTATAAAAATAAATTTATAGAAGGAAAATTCAGTAAAATGTATACGACGCACGGTGAAACTAGCCATTAGATTAGGGATGAACAGAAAAACTAAAAATCGTCTAGACTAAAGCTTCTAGTATCGCCAACATAACCGCCGCCACTTGAAATGCCGAGAAAAATAAATTATGTTGTGTCAATTATGATTAAAATATTCTTTGTCACTTATGTATACTGTATACGAAAAGGCAGAGATTGTTGGGATAAAAGATATTACTGACAAATGGATTTTCTTATTGACAGAATGTATATAACGAGTAAGATTATTTTTTTGTGACTTGATAGTAAAAAAATAAGATTTTTAAGTAAAAATTTTTAAATATAAATATTAAAATTTTAGAAATAAATATTTTTGATAAAGTCAATGTTCGATGATTTTTTATAATCTTTGAAATTACAAAAAATTAGTTTTCCTAAATATTTTTTTGTATTTTCTATAAATATTTCGTTGCAAATGAAAATTTAAAATTTATGTTTTTTTTCAAAAAATTTAATTAATTGATAATTAATAAATATTAAAAAATTATGTAATCAAAAAGAAAATTAAATTAACTGAAAATTATTAATTATATTTTAAAAAGTATTGAGCAATTAAAAAATATTTAAAAATTTTGAAAAAAAAGTAAACTATTTTTATATTGTTTACAGATAAAAAAATATAACAATTTAATATTTAATAATAAAAACAAATTAATAATAATAAATTTATAAATAATAATAAAAATTATATTATAATTGAAACTTTTTTTTCTATAAATACCAAGTAGGAAATATACTGGTACTGCACACAATGAACAATATTTTTTTTTTAGTTTAAACTGTCACTTAGTATATGACTTAATTAATGACGATGAATAAAAATATCCGTCGCGTTAACCATAAAATATTACGAAATCAAGAATTGTCAAAATTTTAGAAAAACAAAAGGAACAAAATAAGAGTAACTTCAAGTGTGGACAGACGGAATTAATGAATGAATGAATACGGAAATTATTATAGTTAATTTTTATAATAATCTTCGAAAATACGTCCCTATCAATAATATTTGTGTTTTTAATGTTTTGTTTAAACTATGATTTTAACCTCCGGTCACTGGATTTGTGGAACTGTCAATGACTGATTATTATGTTAAATAAATAACTTACGTATTGGGTTAGTTCTTGCATATTTTTTGGATCTGCACTATTACCAACATTATAATTTTCAGAATCTTCCGATTTGGGATCTTGTTTAATTTCAGCCATAATAGGAATTTACTAATCAAACGCTTGTTTGAATTGCTTTGAATCTAGTACGAACTTGAGAGAGATTAAGTTTTAGATAGACAAACTTTCTATAAAAAATTTGCTGCTCTTGATTTTATCTATAATGCATAAGAAACTTGCATAGAAACATTCCTTCGATTTAACAATATAAGAATTGATTTAACATAGAACTATGAAATTATAATTGTTCAATGTATGTTTATATACATGTTTATTATGATAGAAATGCTAGTTAAGGGTCAACGCACAGTAGATTTGTGTAAGTCATTTTCTAAAGCCTTAAAGGCAAGAGCAGAATAAATTCGCAAACTTAGGGTACGGTCACACCTGGATATTAGATATTGACAGAGATGGGTACGTAGAAAATCTCGAGTATAATACAAGGTATTTTACGTGTGATATACACGTATCATACATGAATTTGTAACACGCAGGAATATGAAACTATATAATGGTCCGTCTACAATCTCGCTGACACAAAAACTGAATGGTCAGGAATATGATTTTGTAGATGAAGTTGTGTAGGAACAACTAACGGTTGGTTTAGAGGTGTTTTCATAACATAATTAGTATAAACATTTTAAATAGTTCACTTTGTTTTTATTGTTTAAAAATGTTAATTGTTTATACCAATTTTTTAACTTCACTATAGTTTTATTCATTGAGTCCGAATCTTATTAAAATCCTTAAGGATTAACTTGTTGAGAGGAATTAAATATAAAATAAAACACAATTAAATTTCATATAAAATCGCTAATTGTTTTATTCAGTAATTAACTGAATCTGAGTTCGATTAAATTAAATCTTTCTATGATTTATCACAAAACATTTCACTACGCAATATTAACTTAAGGTGCTTTTATACCTCTAGTATTTTGGTCAAGCAATACAGGTGTGCTTGCAGGTGTCCATAAAACGCAGTTCTTGTACTAAAATACGCATTATGAGTCACGTTCTTGTTTGCGTATTTTAAAGAGTGTCCTTGACATTTACAAACGGTCATTTACATTTACGGCATGAGTCATACATAACCTTCTACCTCTGAGCTTGAAAGGCTTGAAATATGCAGGTGTTCTTGAGATGACTCATCTAGCCAAAGTAATTCCTTAAATCTAACAGTAGCTTTTTGACCTTGTATTTATTATTCGTAAAAACTTCCTTTTGACAAATTTTAACCTTTCTATCAAAGTTTGATCAAAAAATAATTAATTATTTACAAATTAAAAATATTTAAAAGGAAGAACTCAGATTCATTGTAAAAGGACATTAATTACATTATTTCTTATGTCTTTTTAACGTCTGCAGACGATTTCTAAATAGGTACTCGCATTCGCCTGAAACAACCTTTCAGAGGATAGGGGAAACTGCAGAAAACCCTTCCAAAGTACCTATTAAATTTTATCATTTCCTTATCATTATTCTCATCTCTCTCTCTCTTTCTCATGTCTCTCAATGTATATATATATATATATATATATATATATATATATATATATATATATATATATATATATATATATATATATATATATATATATATATATATATATATATATATATATATTTACATGCAAATACACAGATACATACATATACACATACTCCTTTTATCAAATTTCATACTAACTCACAAATATACATATACATAAACATATTCTTATACATATATACTTTTATTCTTATTTGCCCTTTTTAAACCAGTCAATTCGTTTTTCCTTCCCTTTTCTCTCTCCTCTTTTTTTGAAAGTTGGTATCAGTTCTCAGTATTGCTTAATAATAACGTTAAAATATTTTATCAAGTTTCCCAACCCTGTTGGTTGGTAACAGCGCAGCGTTACTTTTCTACATGTGTATTATACATAAGGCATAAGAAACATAACCCTGAATCGGCTTATTTCGAATTTTCAAAAGTTCTGATATTAGCAAAAATTAATTATCGGTGCTTTGATAAAATTTAAATTATATTAGTATTTCTCTTCTAAATTGAGAACGGAAGCACATTTAAAATGTTAACAATTTTTACGTAATTATTGCAAATAAGATAATATTAGTTAACTCAACTGAATGTTCACAATTGACCAATATTTAAGTATTTTATTTATTAATTAATACTTATTTACCAACAATAAACCAGAAAGTAAATAACCAAAAAAGGTTATGTTGCCTTTGATGCAGATTCAATGTAGAAAACTTGGTTTTCTACAGTATTATACGTTTAATACGTCATTTATGTATTATACGTAGAAAACTTCCAGAAAAGCACTTTTACCTATCTCTGGATATTGAGGCTATCTCCCTATAAATATAGTATTAGAGTGAAATATATATGAGTATATAATATATATAAGAATACTAGGGGGGCTTCGCCCCCCTGCGCGCTTCGCGCGCCAACCCCCTATTTTTTATTTTTTATTGGTTTTGTAGATGTTTGAGTTAATGTTTAAATAATTTCTGGAATTTAAAACTATTATTAATATTTTATTATTTATTTCTTCAAATGTTATTTACGATTTTTATTAACAATAATTTTTATTATTTTTAATTTTTAAAACAAAATTTATCTAATTTTTTAAATTTTCCAGCTAAAATTTGACCTACATTTAAGGTTATGTTCGTTTTTTGGTAATTTTCCTTCAAAGTTTGACCTACATTTTGAAGTTATGTTTGTTTCTTTGTCTTTTTGCACTAAATTTTCGCCTAAATTTTGAGGTTATGTTTGTTTCTTGGTCGTTTCCCGACAAAATAACATAACCTTAAAATTTATATCAATTTCGGCGGAAAATCCACCTCTCCTTCAACGTAAGGAAGGAGGGGGGGCTTGCGTCTATATTCACAGTCTTGAAACGAAAATAACCTTTAAATTCAGGTCATATTTGGCGGGAAATCTACCTCCACTTGCTATATTTAGAGGCTTGAAACGAACATAACTTCAAAATTTAGGTGATTTTTGGTGGGAAATACGGAGAGAGGGTAAGGGAGGGGGGAGGACTTGCGGCCCTATTCAGAGTCTTGTAACGAACGTAACCTTAAAATTTAGGTCATTTTTTGCGCGGAAGGGGGAGGAGAGGGGGGGACTTGCAGCTATATTCAGATGGGTCATTCCATATCAAATGTAACCAAATATTGTACTATCCATGTAAAAAACATGGGTTGGCTCACCCTTACCTAACCTTGTCAAAAACATGTGTTGGGTACACTTGACACGGAATGACCCATCCTTGTCAACATTTCTGAAATAGCGGCGGCGGCGAAATCTTTTTATAATATGGGTCATTCTACATGAAGTGTAACCAACCCATGTTTTTGATATGGTTAGTAGTTTTTGGCGGAGGAGGGGAAATGAGAGGAGGGAGGGGGGACTTAGGCTATATTTAGAGCCTCGAAACGAACATAACCTCAAAATTTAGGTCATTTCTGGCGGGGGGGGGAGAAAGGAGGGGGGATATCCCCCCTCCTAGGTCAAAATTTGCTGAAACAGCGGCGGCGGCGGCGAAATCTTTTTATAATATAGTAATGATATAAGAAAGAAAGAAAAAATGTTCTTATTTCTCTCACTCTTATACGTTATATTAATTGTAGGGAGGTAGCCTCCTATCTATCGAGGTGTGACCGTACCCTTAATGACCCTTAGTAACTGAGTCTAATGGAGCATTTACACCTTTGGTAAAAAAAAAATGTTTACTTTGATTTTCCGAAATGCAAACATCTGATTGGTTGTCCATTATCAATCAGATTGTGAACAACCAATCAGATTTGTGTACTTCGGAAAAAGCAAAATAAAATTTTTTTTTACTAAAGGTGTAAATGCTCCATAAACTGAGTACACTAATGGAGCATTTACACCTTTGGTAAAAAAAATTTTTTATTTTGATTTTCGGAAATGCAAAGATCTGATTGGTTGTCCATTATCAATCAGATTGTGAACAACCAATCAGGTTTGTGTATTTCGGAAAATTCAAAAATAAAAAATTTTTTTACCAAAGGTGTAAATGCTCCGTAAAACGTCAATCGAGAACACGTCAGTCGAAAACAGTGCTTGGAAACACTTGATGGAGCGTCTCCAATAGGAACCTAAGAGCATTCGTAAACGTAGACGTATGACGTCACCAACGCTTAAAGTCGGCTCTACAATGAACGTGTACGTGAACGCGACGTGCTGACGTCACAATGTTAATCAAATGGGTGACGTCAGCACGTCGCGTTCACGTACACGTTCATTGTAGAGCCGACTTAAAGTCGGTTCTCCAATGGGCACGTTTGTAAGCGAACGTGAACGTGTACGTGCTGACGTCACAATGTTCTGCAAATGGGTGACGTCAGCACGGAACGTATACGTTCACGTACAAACGTGCCCATTGTAGAACCGACTTAACTACATGGGAACCAATGCGACGTGTACGCTACGCAAACATTTAGGAACCTATTGAAGAAAGGCCTTGAGGGGAAGTGGGTAGAATTTAGGTTATGACTGACGCCAGTGTCGTACTTGTGATTTTTAAATTTAAGGTATATTCAGTGCCCCACTAGTGAAAATTCCCTAGATAAAGTTCACATTGTTGCGCAAGTACGGAAGCTTCTACGCGCCACCACAAAACCAAGTTTATGCTCGATTCATTTTAGCCTCGAAAACTAAAGAACCGTTTGTGATTTCGCTGTTTCCATGTTTTTGACGTGAAAAACCGCGAGGTGGTTCGGGTGTTCGGTCGTTCGCAGATTCGACAATTTGTCCAAAATCGTGTAACATTGTCTTTTTAGTTATATTTATAGATAAAAGTAAATAAGTTGATATTTCAATTCTTAAATTTTATGTAAGATTTTATGATGTCCGCAATTAAATAAAGTTTTTGCTTTTATTTTGAGTAGAAAATATCGTTATTTTGAGGTGGATTGGTCATATCATATAAAATAATTTTTTTTGGAATTGATAGTTATTTATTGTATTAATTTAGAAATAAAATGTCTAAAAAAGTATTCACATGTAATTATATGTCGTAATAATTCTAATTCTTTTGTTAAGTAACTTCTCTTAAGAGTTACAATTTTCTTTTTCTTTTATTTGTAATGAAATCTCGCATTATTCGTAAATTTTATAAATTTAAAAGAATCTCATTTTCAAGTAAGATGTACATGCGTCTTTTTTTAATTTACAAAACGAAATATATCATGTACTATATATAATAAAAAAATTTTATAAATTGTCTGAAATTCATAAAAAAGACTTTAGCAATTCAGACAGACATTCAGTCAGACATTCATTTTTGTAAAAAATTTGTACATAAATTTATGTGTCAGTGATTGTTGAAAATCAAAAATTTGTTAGTTACATTCAATATTATATTAAGTATTAAAAAAACATGTTTCAAAATAATTTGGACTGATCGAGAATCGAGAACAGCACTACACATTCGTCTGTTCTCGACTGACGTTTTAGTGTACTGGATATGATGTGACCGTAACTTAAAGGTGCTTCTGCTTCTCCAACTTCAGCCTGATGCTGATTCTACACTCACCGAAAACTGAGCGAGCGGTCCGCTTTTCAGTCACGCTTCCCATTTTCAACTATATCTATATATATATAAAACGTAACGCAAATGCGGACCGCTCGCGCAGTTTTAGGTGAGTGTAGAATCAGCATGAGCACTTCTTGCCTGAGCAGAATAGAAACGTAACCGTGATCGCAATCGTAACGGAAGAATGAGTTAGAGAAGGATAGTCATAAGACATATATTGTTGTTCTTCTCTTACTAATTCTTCCGTTTGCGATTACCTTTCTTTGTAGTAAGATTAATGGTGATGAACAGTACAAAACAATAACAATCAAATTTGTTATTATAAGTATTTATGAAAAAGAAAGAAATAAAAGATTCAATCCATATTTAATTGTATTGTTGAACCGTGTTATAGGAAAAAAAATGAAATTTTATTTAGTTTAAGTCATAATAATTTTAAGTGAATATTTTTATTTTTTATTACGAATGTTCAAAGTAGTGTTTGTATTGTTTTTTAATTAAATTAGGAAGAAAAACTTTCTTCTTTAGCAATTGTGTGAGAAAAAGTTGATACATTTGCAAGAATGGATGAGTGTAAAATAAAACTTAACATTGAAGAGGTTAAGTCAGACCTAGTTCAAGCTATAAATGAATGTTCACAACGGTGTCTAAATCATTCAACAAAATGGTACGTTTTAAAAAAATTAACAAATATGTATATTAAAAAAAGAATTACTGTTTTCAACTGTAAAAAATCAAAGGGTTAAACGTATTCAGGGGAACTGTATACAATCTATTTTACTGAAATAAATAAATTTTTTGCATTCAATTCTATACTGTTGGACTCTATACAAATTAACTTGATGAAATTTTAATATTGGACTCTAAATTATGGAATTACATACAATGAAACTCAATACAGTGAAATTATATTTTATTTATAAAATTGTATACATTTGATCAACTCTACACAAGAAAAATTAAAACATTTTTAACATAAAACTATACAACTAAACTCTACACGAGTAAATTAAAAACATTAAACTGTTGAATTCCATATCGTTGAAATGTGTTTTGATAAATTTAAAAAAATATTAATGATAATTTCTATACTGCTGAACTCTACACATAGTAAAACTGAATACATTGAAATTGTATACAAATATTTTTTGCTAAAAGAATGTTTTTAAACTCTATACGGTTGAACTAAGTACAATTGAATCCTATGCACTTGAATTATTTTTTATACGTTTTTAAGATATGCTTTATTTTAATTCAATAAAATTTAGCACTTTTTTGTAAAAAAAATCCTTAATGTAATTTTGAACACTGTTATATATAAGAACTACTATGAATGTTCAGTTTTACAGTTTTCTGTAAATTTACCACTTTCAAAGCAGGTAATAATTGAATTCATTCAAAGTAGTTAAACAAGTGCTTCAATAATGTAATTTTACAAATTTTTATACAAGTGCAAACCGTGATGTGTACAATTAGAAGAAAATTTTTTTGCAGTGTATTTTTTTCACCTCAAAACAATTTTGAACAAAATTTTAACGAAATTTCTTACATAATAATCCTGTAATTTTGCTATTTTAATTGCAAGATTTATTACCTTTTTCATAGCGTATATTCGATTTATAGTAATTAATTTATTACTTTTTTAAAAAATTTAACTCAACATGTGCATGTTTAGATTTTGACTTACCTTAATAAATAAATGATACTATTATTTTGTTAATTCATATATTTACATAAAAATGAACTTTTCTACACGATAATCCATACTTATTTTTAAGGTAGTGTTACTTACATATTTTTATATTTTTGATAAAAATGATATTATTTCCTTAGGCTTGCAGAATTGAACTACTCGCTGAAAAATATTAAAGTAAATACACACCAAGCGAAAGTTAATCAGGATGTATTTAATAACAGTGAAGAGGATTTGTATGTGTTGGGAAAAAGTTATTTCGATTTAAAAGAATATGACCGTGCTGCATATTTCACTGAACAGTGTCGTACTCCAAAAGTTCGTTTTTTGCATCTATATTCTCGTTACATGTCAGGAGAAAAGAAAAGAGTTGACAATATGACTGATATACCTCCAGATCCTTTAAAAAATGAAAACTTAAAGTCACTTTGCACTGATTTGAGAAAAGACCATATAACTGGAAATTTAGATGGGTTTGGGTTGTATTTATTTGGTGTTACTTTAAAAAAATTGCAACTAACGAGTGAAGCTATTGATGTGTTAGTTGAGTCAATTCATGAACAACCGATGCATTGGGGCACATGGCTGGAGTTGGCTGCATTAATTACTGACCGAGAAAAATTGGAAAGTCTTGTTTTACCTAATCATTGGATGAAACATTTTTTTATAGCTCATATGTATTTAGAATTACAACTTATAGAAGAAGGATTGGAATTATATCATGTACTGCAATCAGCTGGATTTAAGAAAAATGGTTACGTTTTAGCCCAAACAGCCATTGCAGTACATTACAGAAGAGGTAATTAATTGTATCAATAGATACAATCTTAAAAACTTGGTCGGCCCTTCATTTAATTTAAAAAATGTTTCATATTAACTTTTTAATACCATATCTGTAGAAAATTATTCATTAAAAACTTATTTTTATTTCAGATGTGGATAATGCTATTCAGACCTTTAAATCAATTATTAAAGAAGATCCTTTTTGCCTGGATAATATGGACACTTACTCCAATTTGTTATATGTCAAAGAACTAAAAGTTGAATTAGCCCATCTTGCGCATCGAGCTACTGAAATTGATAAATATAGGTTAGAAACCTGTTGTATAGTTGGTAAGCAGCAACGAATCTAAGATTTTTAATTTCTTTTACATATTTAATGTTATGGGCAAGTATAGCCTCTTATGATATTTGGTTGCAAATTACAGGCCTCGGATTGTACGACTTTTTTGACTTTTATCGACTTTTTCGACTTTTTCGACTTTTTTGGAATAGAATGCTACTGTAATTGTCTTTTTCACTAAAAAAATTTTTTTTTAAGCTTGCAAGTTATTTGAAACTGCGCTACCGAGTAAAATTTAGATAAAGACATCAATAAAATTTCTAAACAATTCGAAGATAAAAACAAACGAGTATTGGACAGACTACAGAAAAATAAATTAAATACTATTGTAATTTTGGATTCCATTCAACAATTAAATACTATAATCAGAAAAATCAAAATGAGAAATTTCGTGCTACAGAACAGTCAATAAAAAGAAGAAGCGAATTGAAAAATGAAAAACCATAGAAGAAGCCTAACAGCATGTGATGGTTAGGTTACGTGATCGCCCAATATTAACTTTTCGACCACTTTTCTTGTAAAATACTGAATGAATTAAGTTGATATTTTATGGAGATGTCTAAATTATGTTGATGAAGGGCTATGATGTACAAGAATTGTAATATTTTTTGAATTAATTATTATAAAATACATGAAAATCGTTAAAAAATACGAGCAATGACGTCACTCCTAACTTCAAATTTTCTAACGATTCACAAGTATTTTATAATAATTAATTCAACAAAATATCACAATTTTCGCACATCACAGCCCTTCCTCATCATCTTTTAGACTTTTACACAAAATATCAATTAAAAATTAAAATCTAAAACTAAAAAAAATAAACACAAAATTATATGAAAAAATTGGTCGAAAAATTAACATTGTCATGATCACGTAACCTAGCAATCACATGTTGTTAAGAGCAACTTAGAAAGCAAGAAGACTAAACAGCCTAATCTGATAAATATTCATAAAAAGAAACCTTAAATTTAAAGTTATATTTTTTAAAGAAAAAATCTTTGATAAATAAAATCGGTAATAGATTTTTTAAGAGATGTTTATTTGTTGATTTAAGACATTATTTTTTTAAAATAATTTAATTCATTTTTAAGACATCTAAAATGTGTTCTTTAAGTATTGTAAGAAAACTTTTTTATTTAATGTTCTCTATGCAATAAGAAAAAAAATCATTCTATTTTTCATGTGAAAATATTGTTTTACAACTTAAAAAAAAATAATATGTTTTAGCAGTACATTCTTTTGTTATTTAAGTTAAAACTTCCAAATATCCAAATCGACTTTTTCGACTTTTTTTGATGATTTCAATCGACTAAATCGAATTTTTTAAACTATAAAAGTCTATACGAGGCCTGAAATTACAATTTGAGTTACATCCCGTTCTGAATATTATAATAAAATATTATTGTGATTAGAAACTTTTCGTTTTGTACAATGCGTATACTTTAAATTTATTATTGGCAAATTAATATTTGATAATTCTCGTTCTCTATTGTTGTTTTTAAAAATTATATTTTTTCAGGAAATTATTATAGTTTAAGAGCAGATCACCAGAAGGCCGTTATGTATTTTCACAGAGCTTTAAAACTTAATCCGCAGTATTTGTCCGCATGGACTTTATTAGGTCATGAATTTATGGAAATGAAAAACACTAATGGTGCAATTCATAGTTATCGTCAAGCTATTGGTTAGCACTATTAATTGAATTTTTAACTTTTTTAACTTTGTCTAATTAAAAATAAAAATTATATTTGACTCAATTCATAGAAGTGAATAGGCGAGACTACAGAGCATGGTATGGATTAGGTCAAACATATGAAATATTAAAAATGCCTTTTTACGGTTTGTATTATTACAAGCAGGCACAGCTTTTACGACCTCATGACAGTAGGATGGTTCTTGCTTTAGGCGAAGCATATGAGAAACAAGATAAAATACAAGATGCTTTAAAATGTTATTACAAAGCATGCAATGTTGGCGACATTGAAGGAATGGCATTAATTAAGTTAGCTACGTAAGTATTTATTTATTTATTTATTGCGTGCAGTAAGGGGATACACCTGAATTTTAGCTGATAATGACAAGACTAGTTGAAAGGGTCGATTTTAAAAATCTATCTATCCATGTTTAAAAAAACAATTTTTAATTTAAAAGTTTTTTAGTGAAAGTGTGGACAAATTTATTTTTAAAACTTTGAATTATGGAAAGTTGCATTTAGATGAAGATTACAAATTTCTGTCAGTAAAAATTAAGAATTGTGTCAGTCCACCTCAGAAATATTAGAAGGAGTAACTGAATTGACTTATTCTATAGGGGGTAACTGGGGTACAAATATACCCCCAACTTGAAACTTGTGTAAAAAGGTTTATATTTTACATAAAACAAATTTTATATAGTGATTTTTTTTGGTTTTTTAGTCAGAAAAACAATAGTTTTATGCATTTTTTGATAAAGTAAAAAAATTTGTAAAAAACTTATAAGAACAAAATAAAAAATCGGAAAACTTAGAAAATTGATCTTTTTTTTTTATAAAAATGGGGTATATTTATAGCCCAGTTACCTTTTATGGGTAGATTTTCGTAGATGATAATAGATCTCGATTTGAGTCGGGAGATATTTTATTTTTATAACTCTTTTTTAGACTATATGAAAAAATGGGGGAATATGATCATGCTGCTGCTGCCTATACTGAATTTGTTACTGATGAATCCAGAAATGCAGATCGAGCAGAACTGAGCCATGCTTACAAGTACTTAACGCAATATCACTTAAAAAGAGACGAATTAGACCAAGCAAATCATTATGCGCAAAAATGTTTACAATTTGAGGAAACAAAAAATGAAGCAAAAGCATTTCTCAAAACTATAGCACAGAAAAGAGTTAAAATTGAAGATAATCCAATGATGGTAAGTTTTTTTAAAATTATAAATAGTTTAAGGGTTCCTCCCACTTTACATGAGCAAAAAATTAGCTTATATGTTGACATTCAACATTTCAGAAAATAATTTTAGCTTAAAAAGTAAAAACAATACCAGGGTTTTTATTTATTTATTTTTATTTAATAAAATTTCTTACATTTACCTAGGAATTTGAATATAATATACATACTTACTTATGATATATCGAACCAGTTGGAAATTTGAAAAAAAGTTTAAAAAATACCTATTATAAAAAGTAAAAAAATGTCTTTTTCACCCCACTCTATACGAGTGGGTGGTACTTCGATGTACATACGTGATTATAAGTATTATAAGTAATCTTTGTGGAAAACGTGATTACCTGAAATTATGTAGATCACTGTGTTCAGTTTAATCAAAGAAAAAATTAAAACCTTAAATTTAAAAATAAAAACTTTTGTAATTTTCATATATTGAATATATTTCAGGTCGAAGATATGAATGAAACAGACCCTGTCGTAGAACTCAATCATCGTAATGAAACTTCAAGAAATCAGTTATCACCCATGAATTTATCATTTACACCAAACTGAATATTAATTAAATGGTACTGTAAAAGGATTGTAATGAAAAATTAACACAATTTGAAGTTTATTGAAGACAGTTTTAAATTTATACTTAAATATTTTTCAATAAAACTAAACATAAAACTTTTTCAAGTGGAAATCAAATTTAAAAATAGAATAATTAAATACAACGAATAAATTAGTCGTCATGAAGGAGAAACAAATGAGCTGAGAGGATACCCCATAAACCTGCAAGCTTGTTTAATAAGTTTCCAGAGCAAACTTACATGCTCCAGAATTGAGAGGAAATTTTGCTATTTGCATCAAGCTTATTGATTATTTGGGTATAGTGTAAATAAACATGTATTTATGAATTTGTGACCGCCTTTTTTTAATACAAAATAACAATTTTTCTTTCTCTATGTGAAAATGGAAAATTGATATATAAATCTGAAGGATCTCCTTTTATTTGACTAATTATTACTGTAACTAACTAATTACTTACATTTGCGGTTTGTTTACATTTGACGAATTTGTCCTGGCCTTAAGTAACCACAACAACGAGGTCACATTATCCATAATAGAAAGTAATGTGAACTAATTTTTATTTTACCTATAATTGATAATTAATTTCAAGAATGTGTTTTGAAAAAAATATTAATTTCTCTAATACCTAAAAGTTTAAAGGTTCTAGAAATATGCCTATATAGAATATTAAGTGTTCTCAAAAAAAATATTTGACTTTTACCAGATTAAAAAAATTTCATATTAAAATTTAAATAAGCAATAATTTTATACAGTGTTTTTTAGTAGAGGTAATCGGTGGAAACTTTGATTGAAAAGATAGCCAAATATTGAAAATAGTTCACCTCATTAATTAATTTCGTTCCTTCAAAATTATTAATTGTTATAAAAGTTTAAAGTATATTAAAATTTTTAAGTACTTTTGAATATTAAAAATTACACACATAAAGTTTTTAATTTGACCCCGTTCTTTTTATGTTTAATTTTTTATTTGTTTTGAACTTGTAGCGAAACTCTAAAGAGAAATTTGATTTAATTCGAATCTGAAATGGATTAAGAAAGTAATTTACTTTCAGTTAATTAATTGTCAACACTGTTAACTGACTAATACACTGGAACTTCCATCTTATGCAGTGTGATCTAACGCAGTTTTTTCGAGTGCGGCTTGTCAGTAGTGAAGAAATTGACTGGATTAGAAAATGAGTCAAAAGAAGCAATAGGCGCCAATATGAAGGGAATATATGGTACGCATTCTGTTAATTGAGTAAATAAATTATAATGTTATTATAATTAATTTCATTAAAATAATTTCAAGTTTAATTTTCTAAATCATACACTGTCATAGCTAGAGTAAATATTAATAAAATTCAGTTGAACTTGATAAATATAGGGCAGACAATAGCAGACTACAATCGCTGTATAAACAGCTCATTGAGAAATTTTACAGATTATAATTCAGCAACAAACCCTTGAACAATTATTCCAGGAGCTAGCTCTGTAGTAATTGGTTTTCCTTTTTTGTACATATTTTTATCATCTTTCCAATTACTGTTTTTACCATATTCTTCAGACATTCGAACCATTTCATTTGGACTCCATTCTGGCGAATCTTTTCTGTTCAAGTTGTTTTTCATATTAGCACTATGTGAGAAATCCTTTTCATAATTTGATGCAGAATAATCAGTGTTTCGAGGTAGAGCAGAATTGTAACTTTCAAAAATTGGAGTCCGTTTCATTGATGCTCGTTGATGGTGAGTTTTTCGTAACATTGCCTAAAAATAAATTTTTTTATTTAATTAAATTATCATTAATATACATGATTGACTGTCACCAACACGAATCTGTCTAAAAGTATAGTTTCAGATCGCTAGACCTTTCTCCTAATGGCAGTCGCTTATCTTAGCTACTACGTTTGATAAAATGCCCTATAACGGAAAAACCTACGTGAGTGCAGAATAGGTCGAACAGAAGAATTTAAGAGAAACCATTGGCATCAACTAATTTGTCTAGATATCATTTTTCATTAATAAAAATAACCCTATTGGATAAAACTTATGTGCTCTTTCTATTGTTGCAATTCAAAATTCATTATTTAAACAATTTCTAATAAATAAAGCGCTTGTGTGATTTTTTTATAGTGAAAATACAAGGTGAAAAACATAAGGTCATTTGCGGAGTGTTTTGCTGTAAAGTTACCAAGTAGAGCAAAGATGGGTAATTTGTAGATTTGTAAGTGAGACCGGAGAAAAAAATCAGGACCTTCTAGCACAAATGCATGGTTCCTTACTAAAATGGGACGGAACTTTGCAAATATGTATGTTTATTTTCACAACGCCCCTAACGAAAACTGCACTTTCTACAGCTCTGTAGAGCTTTGAAAGTAGCCAATGGCAGACGAGATCTCACTTGTCCACTTTCTTCCCGCTACATAATCCTAGGGAGGAAAGAAAATCTGGAAAATCTAACTTATTGGTATATAACCTTGTATAACAGATATATACACAATTATTAAATAAAATTATTTTTATCAAGATGTGTGTCTTTGATCGGATTGTTGTGAAAAGTATAGTGCGTGCCTCGGAGAGACGCATCTTTCTCGCCTTGGGTGACTCAGAACGTCACCCTCGTCAGAAAAAAGTGCGTTTCTCCCCTTGGCACGCAAAATACTATTATTTATTTGTTTAAGAAAAATAAGTTTCTAGAGTATGTAAGTTAAGACTGGAAATATGTCATTGAACTGCGCTGTACCTATACTTATTAATGTATACGTATTTTTCTCACCTGAAAGTTAAAAGGAGGATCATCATCAGAGTTGTTATTGTCGCCTCTTCGACCACGCATTTGAAGTTCTTGAATTGGATTAACGCTATAAAATTTTAAGTTTAAAACTTATGAATATCACAAGAATCTTAGAATACTATGCTCTCTACATTTGAGTCAGTGAAAAGAAAGCTGATGGAGAAAACATGCAACTTTTTTGCTGAAATCAGAGCATCTAAACTCTACATCTAAAAGGGCCACCTGCATATTATGTCACACGAATTTAAACGGTGTTAGACCCCAACCACTCTCATCTCTCTAAATTTGAATCAGCAATAAGTATACCACTGGTACCAATCAGCGTATATGCGCTGAAAAATCAGTTAATTCCACTAATTCATTAGGGAGATTTTACTAATTCAAATTTAAACAGATTTTTAGTAAAACGTGATTGATCTTCATTAAAAGAAAGAATAATACTGCAGTTAACGTTTGAAGAAAGTCACTATTTACCGAATGGCAGTTTTATCTTCAGAAATTTCAGTATTTTGGGGCTTCCACGACTGATTTGGAGAAAAACCGAAGAAGAAAAATCTATTTACTCCTCACTGGAAAAGGGTTTGGTTTTGATAACAAAATGTTTAGTTTGTACTTAAGCAACAAAAATCCTTTTTTTCTAATTTTTGTTGTGTCAACTGAAGATAGATTGAGACCATCAAAATTTGGGTGAGGCAACAAAACAATTTTGGTTGCTTAAATACCAATCAAACGTTTTGTAGTATAAGCCAACCTTTTCTCAGTGCTAAATACGTAAATACATGAAACTTCTGTATTTAGGAATCGCCGTCAGTTTTCTCTACAATTTTGTGCATTCAATACGGTACTACATATCTACATTTTTGCATATATGCAATTAAAATTTATAATTTTTTTTTATTAATCGATAGAGCGTTATCCACATTAAGTGAGAATGTTGAAATGGTAAAATATAAAGTAATTATAAACATATTTTACCGAGTAATGTTTCCAATATTACTACTGATTATGTCATCCTGTTTCCAATCACTTTCCATATTGTTTCTACTCCTAGAATTTAGCTCATAATTATTGTTGATTGAGTGTAACTGACTTGCAGGTGTATGATTATATGAAATCGGGGATTGAGTTGTTTTTATCTTTGAGTGGATCGACCCAGAATTGTAGATATTCTAAAATATACATAATTTTCCAATCACTTAACAAGGTTAATCCTTTAAGGACGAGAGTGACACATTTTATGAACAATATTTAATGGCATTTTTCTAGGCGATTATTATCTTAATGATAGAACGTCCAAGCGCCTGGCCTGCCGGAAGCCTACTCTCTAAATTTTAATCAGCGATAAGTATACCATTGGTAGGTACCAATCAGCGTATATACGCTGAAAAATCAGTGAAATTTCACTAATTCATCAGTGGTGTACTTATAGCTGAGAAAATTTAGAGAGTATAATGCTAATTTTAAAAATAGATTCCAAAAATTCTTTCATCTGCCCAGCTCTAAAATTTCAATTTAGAGTTTCTATCTTTCGTGCACTAAAAATATTGTTTAATTACCTTTCGAACCATATATTTAACTTTGTTTTAACTAAATACATATTAATTTTATAACGTCTTGTAATAGAGGCCTCCGGAAGGTCAAGTTTGCCTGCCGGTAGGTTATATACGCATTTGATAATACTTAATCTCTTTACAAAAAATTCTTGTTAAATGTGGTCATAATACTTAATGGTTTTTAATTATTTCAATTCAGACTGCGGATTCTAAAGAGCGATATCATAAACATAAAGAATATATAGTATACTTCTAAACACTGCAAAAGCTGTCCGTCTTAAAAGTGCAAAAAACATCTTGCTTTAAGACACATTTGGTGTCTTAGACGCGGAAAACGTCTTAAAACAAGACATTTTTTGCACTTTTAAGGCGGAAAATTTTTCCGTGAAATTTGTTTAAATCCTAGTCGGCAAGAAAAATGACGTTAAAAATTGCTTTATTAAAAGTGTCCACCCAACTGAAAATATTCGCCCGGATTTTCCACGCCAAAATTCATGTGGAAATTTGGAATGATCTGCATAAAATCCTCCCGGATTTTAAAAGATAAAAAATTTTTCATGCAGATTTCCGCCCGGATTGTTTTAAATCTTCACATGAAATATCCGGCGGATTTTTTCAGCTAAGCGTACTCTCCTTAAAGAGTTTATGTGTTAAAAATTACAAATAATTTTGATTTTATTGCTTACTGAGTGAGGATTCTGAACTGAAAATGATTTCTTATAGTTATTATTGCTGACGTGTGGTTGAAAGTCAGTAGATATTTTATTTTGGATTGTTTCTTCTGGTGGACAGCAAACTGGTTGGTTTGGATCCCTGGAAAATGGAATGTTGATCAGACTTTGAACCCCGACGTTTGAAGAATGAGTTACGCGGTGAGGAGAATTCGTGGTTTGAACTTGAACGTCTGAAAATATAAATTAAAGTATACACTATTGTAAGAATGACAAAATAAATTACTAATGAGGATATTCAAAGCTGTCACTTATTATGTTTATTATAATAATCACTTTTTGTCCCGTTTTACGCAAGGTAAACGAGAAGTCACATTCAGAATGAAGGCAATAATTGGCTTTATACCTTATTCTCCAAGTTAGTATGAAAGCTTGCAGTTCTCTGTAAGATTGTCAGACATAGACTTCTTCGGCACTTAAGGTTGTGCAGTCCCACATGGCACATTATATTGCTGTAAACTTAGCTTGAGCATACAAGAAATATTTGTCAAGTTTACAGCTCCAGGTAAGCTTCACTGAGAAAAACAATTTAGTGTTTGCAACAAAATTGTTTGGTTAGGCAATTTTGGTTCTAGTAACCAAATTTTGGTTGGCTAAAACAAAGTCGTAGAGTTCTCTCAACCAAACATTTGGTTAGGCCAACAAAATTATTTGGTTGAACATTTTTAAATTACAACCAAAATTTGGTTACGACAACAAAATAATTTGGTTAACACAACAAAATAGTTTGGTTTAAAAAACCAAATGATCGTTTGTTGTCCTAACTAAAATTTGGTTGCGACAACCAAACATTTTTGTTAAGCCAACAAAAAACACTCAACAAAATTTTTTGGTTGACTCAAACAAATAGTTTGGTTGCTTGAATACCAACAAAACTTTTTTGTTGGCCCAAACAAATTTTGGTTGGCTCTGACTAAACATTTTTCTCAGTGTTACATCAATATATCCGCTTCACTGTAAGCTTACACTGTATAAGATCACTGTTAGCTTACCGTGTAATAAAGTATAATAAAGTGTAATAAAGTTTTCTTGTAAACGTACCGTGAACTTACAACAATCTTATAGTAAGATCATCTTAAGCTCACAGTAATATTACTGTAAGCTTCTTTTGTAAATTCAAGGTAAGGTTACACCTTAAGTTTACAGTGATCTTACTGTGTATATATAGACTTACCTTGAACATAAAATGTAAGCTTACAGTAAAGCGGATATAATACATTGATTGCAGATTGTGCAAGCTTGAAGTGAAAGCTTTTCTCAAGATTGTCGTAATGAAGACATTTCACTATTTACAGCAAGTTTGCCTGCAAGCTTACGAACCTTACGCAGCAAACTTGTTGCAAGCTTTCGTACTAATTGGATTCAAATGTGTAGAAGTTCTATTTTTGTTCATGTGGGATAATCAATATCATTAAATCAAAGACCCAAGCAGCACGGTAAATTCCCTGAATATCTCTTGAGTACCACAGTGGAATATTCTCATGATCTTCTAGGAAAATCAAAATGTCCGCATCATGGGAATATTCCACAGTGACATTCAGGGTATATTCCAGTGGCATTCATGGAATATTCCAGTGACATTAAGGGGATATTCAGGTGATATTGAGGGAATATTCCAGTGATATTGAGAGAATATTCCACGGTTATATTGAATTTTTTTTAAATGTGTTTTTAATCTTCCTGCTTATTTAAATAACAATTTATAACATATTTTTATTATTTCAACACTTTAAAAAAAATTCAATATAACCGTGGAATATTCCTTTAATATTATAGCTTTAATGTCACTGGAACATTCCCTGAATGTCACCGTAGAATATTTCCATGAGGCAGACATTTTGATTTTCCTGGAAGATCATGGGAATATTCCACGGTGGTATTCAGGGGATATACCGTGCTGCTTGGGGGAATATTTTTCTAGACCAATTGTCCTTAATACATTTCACAAAAAAAACTGAACTCAGAATGAGTTGTGTAGGCGGCTCATTTTGATGTTCAACAAAAATGAGCCAAGTTGGTGGAGCCACTTTCTATGTCGTTTAGCATTGACTCATTTTGAGTTGAAACAAAAAAGAGACTAGGTTTTTGCTGTGTTAGACAATTGAACAGGAAAGTTGCTAAATCATTTATTTTATTTATTTGCAAACTTTTATTTAAAAAAGAAATAAATATGACAATTTTTTTATTTAATAAACATCTTACATATAATAATCTCCGTATTCATTTATTCATTCCGCCTGTCCACACTTGAAGTTATTCGTTTTTTCTGTTCCTTTTGTTTTTCTAAAATTTTGAAAATTCTCGAATTCGTAATATTTTATGGTTAACGCGACGGATTTGTTTATTTATTGTAATTAATTAAGTAATAATATACTAAGTGACAGTTTAAAGTAAAAAAAAAAATTGTTCATCGTGAGCAGCACCAGTGTACATTTCCTATATACTTGGTATTTATAGAAAAATAAGTTTCAATTATAATAAAACTTATTATTATTTTTTTTATTATTATTTATAAATTTATTATATCGCATATTAATAATTTTTTATATTTTTTATAAAATTACAGATTACAGAGAATTATAATATTTTAATATATTATTATTTTTTTAATTATTTATTATGTATTATTATTTACAAAGTATCTAAACGTCCGTCTATATCCACCCGACTTTCTTTGTCCGCAGAATACTTTCGGGCATTTCCGACCCCCCCTTCCTCCAAGGTTTCCTTAAAATTTACGTAGACGGACAAAATTATCAAAAATTATTTTGTCCGTCTAGTCGGACGAATAAACGCAGCATATTATTTGTGAATTTATTATTATTAATTTATTTTTACTATTAATTATTATTGTTATATTTTTTATCAGTAAACATTTAATATTAAAAAAACAAAAAATTTTTTGATATATAAAAATAAATTGTTTTATTTTAAAAATTTTCAATTTGCTTCCAATTTTCAATTTAACCTGGAAGTTCAAAACATTACAAAACTTTTTTGGTTTAATATTTATTTATTAATATTTGTCAAAATTTTTAAATATTTTTTATTTGTTCAATATTTTTTAAAATATAATTAATAATTTTTAGTTAATTTAATTTTCTTTTTGATTAATTGATTAATTTTTATTAATTATCAATTACAGTAAAACCCCGTTTATCCGAGCTCGCTTTATCCGAGGTCTCGATTATCCTACACTGAAAAAAATTTTGGCGCCGTGACGTCCTAGTGGTGGTAACGCTGCGATCTCTTACTCAAAGGAGCACTGATATTCGGTTTACGGGATCGCAGCGGACCGGCAGTGGTGCAGCAGCTCTCCCACACTACGAGAAAGCTGCGCGACTTGCTCTCTAAATCTGAATCAGTAGAAATTTTACTAATTCAATCAATATTTTTCATTGTAACTGAAGTTTCAGTTATTTTTTGAAATTTATTAATATAATTAGTGAATATACAATCAATAAAAAATAACTTATGTAAAACAGTAATTAGTATATAACATAACCTTTAAAATTAACTATTAAATCAGTAGATTTTGCGGCCGCCGCCATATATTTATATTACTGATTCAATCAGTAATTGATATTTTACTAATTGAATCAGTAAATTTCTACTAATTATCAGTTGCTCAATTCTCGCTATGACAATTAGTAGATTTCTACTGCTACCCAGTCGAAAATGGTAAGTTTCCCTGAAGGGTTCACATAGCCTTCAGGTAACTGTTATGAAGGTTTCAAAAGCTTCATGGCAACTATTTATACATTAGACCTAAAATTCTGTGATATTTGCTTTCTGACTTCTTAACGGGAAGCTTTTTCTACAGCTTGTTGAGTCTGTTTAACTCTACTTTACTCCTTCTAAATTAGGGCTTAAATTTCGCCTCGGGAAATTTTGGGTTGTTTAACCTTCAAGATAAAAGCTCTAAAAATTTTTTCTTTCATATTCAATAATAGTTATTTTCGTATCAAGGGCGCAAAATAGGTGATTGTGGCGCAGGCGAGATTTAGGAAACCGAGGGGATGTATTTTAAGAAAATAGTTTTATTGCAGTTATAGAAACAGTAATTCAAGTATTTAGAACAATTGTTTATAATTTAATTCAATCGTTAATGACTTTTGAGATCGAAAAAAAATTATCTATACCGCTTTCAGTTTTATATCCCCTCTGATATAAATTAAATTACTAGACAAAAAGTATAAGTTGCATAAGTGTGTGTGTGTGAATGTAATACTGTAATATATTATAAACAGTAAAATTCCATTAGGCCTTCTGGACGAAAAGAAGCGGGCGTAAAAGTACTTTTACGCCCGCTTGCCTAACCCCGAGCGACAATGAGATACTTTGGGCCCGCTTTAAGTGCCCGAAATGACATACTTTTCAGGCAGGTAGGATAAAAGATTTTTTTACAGAAAGAAGTCTAATTCTAAAAAATATAATTGAAAATTAAATTTTGTTTATTTTATTTTCTTACAAGCAACATGATTATATTAAAATTTGTTTGTTGTGTTTGTGTTACACACATTCGTAAGAAAATTTAATTTAATTGCATAAAAATAACAATTATAATTAGAAATTTTTGTATATGTATTAAAATTGTTATGTGGATAGGTTCAAAAAAAAATTTTTATAGTTTATTTTTAACTTTACGATTATGTACAAGATGTAAAAAAATAAAATTAATAACGTAAATAATATAAATATATAAATATACTTTCATTACTTACTAAATTCTGCAATATGCAAAAATAGATTTTCTAAAAATGAAACAGAACAATAAAATATCACGTCTAACCACATTCATTGACAAACATATTTTATTTCGTATACTTCTCCCGCCCCGGTTGAAAGGTGTGCTGTCGCGCGAGTTCAATAAGCCCGCTGCTTTCTCGCTGTGGGTTACCTACGATCCCACAACGAGAACTCAGCCGATCCAATGAAGGGGTCACACTTCATTTAGGAAAGCTGCGCCACTCGCCGGCACAGCATGTCACCCAAATTTTTTCAGTGTAGGTGGTGTCCCAGTAGGAAATTCTGTATTATCTCTGAGTGTAGTCTACGTCATCTGAATTATTTTTAATTTAAGTTTTTTATAAATATGAGTTTATGTTTAATAAATTAAAATTGTTTAAATTATTATGGAATATATACAATATTATTTTCCCGTTTGTAATAA